TGCTTACGAAAAAAATCAGATAAGTTCAAGAAAATCCGTAAAAAGATTTTAGAACTTGTTATTTTTTATTTTATTATATATATATATTCAAGTATTAGTTTATGGATATTGATAACATTCTGAACCAATGAAAAAAAGATATCCATAATAAAACCAAAATTGGGATTATTTAATTTGTGATTAGTTTTTTATATTTTTTTGTAACTGCGGAAAGTTTACTTTGATAAAATAAGGGCCGTTAAACTAGGTATTTTATTAAGAAAGCAATACTCTATTTTTTTTTTATTAAAACCAGTCACTAGTTATTTTTTGAAGTTTTTTCTCTTTCTTTAACTTGATTTATTTTTAATTAAGTTTTCTTGAAGTAAACTACTTAGGAAAAGATAATTTTGTGATATTAACTTAGTTTTTAGTTGTAGTGTCAACTGTTAATACAAAATATATAGCTGGCCTGAGCAGCCTCTCACTAGCAAAAAAAAAAAAAAATTCAAAGTTTGGTCTCAACTCTGGAAATTAATGATTTTGCTTATTTAATCTAACCCAGAAACATATTTTGTACTGTTTATATTCAAAATAGAAACTAGGACTATAGTTAATTAGTCGAAACATACCGTTAACAAAATAGTCCGGTGACCGAGTTAAGTTTTAAAAAAAGCTTTTGTTGTTGAACAAGTGTGACGGTGTAATGGTACCCACAGTATACAGTAGCAATACTTCTTTTAGGGAGACCTCAAAAAAAAAAAAAAAAAAAGCGTGGCAAGTTGAGTTTCTTTACGATTATGGAAAGTGAATATAATTACTTTGATTTTTTTTTAACAAATGACGGAACTTATTTTGTTTTTGCTAAAAAATATCTTGTCAAAAAAAAAAGTCAAATCACATATAACGTAGTTTATGCATGTCAAATGGATACAGACAAGCAGAGAATTTATGCTGTGACAGAAACGAAAAAGAGAGGTATTCAATACATGCTATTCTTCATGTTTGGTAACCTTGTTTTGATATTATTTTTTAAACTTGAAAGTTTTTTTTATTTGGGTAGTTCTAGTAGTAATAGTTGTAGTAGTAGTTGTAGAGAAAGAAAAATAGAAAAAGTCTTTATATTTCCTGTTCTCGTTTATCTTAGATGAGAATAATGAGAATAAAATTAGTATCTTTTTTTTTAATAAATAAAATCTTCACTACGAATGTGTTAAAAAAATATGGCTGACAATTATCTTATAAGCAATGATGAAACGCCAGAAACCTGGTGTTTATTAGTTTCTAGAAACTAATTCTAACCTAAGGTATTTTTAGAGAAGTAAAATTGTACTAAAAAAGAATGTTGTTACAAATTCCACCCTAGAAAAGCGAAAAGCCAAAGGCTACACAGTTCAATTAATTAATTTGTTTTTGTGTTAGTACTACTAGTAGTAGTATGGGCAAAATATAAGCCAAGCATAACTGCAAACAATTGGGAGTGACCTGGGAAAAAAAAATACAAGGATTAACAATTAAAACAATTAAGACAATTAGATGCATCAAAATAAAGGGCCGCCAAGGGGTTTATGAAATTGCTGCTGGGAAGCGATGAGATGCGATGAGATGAGATGCAATGCGTGAAAACGAGATGAGTATCGATTTTTTATATCAATAATTATTAGTATAATAAACTTATTAAATAAAAGGCGATAATGTATGGCCACATTCTGGTAATTGGCATGTTTTAATCTCTTAAATTATTAGTTTACGATTTCCCCCCTAATTTACAGTTTAATCAGGAGATTTTTTTTTTTAAAAAAAAAGTATAGGCAAAAATAAGTCAAGTCTTCTTTAGGTCATTTAAGAATACTCAAGAATAGTTTAAACTAAATTGAAAATAAATGTCTTTTTTAGGATCTAGTGTCAAACTTTTTTTAACAAAAGATATCTTCTTGTGTGGTAGAATTGAGTAGAATGATTAGTCTTAAAGAAGCAACGAGTGTTCATGAGATCATGGTACGTGATATTATTGAAATCACGCCAGAGTACGTAAGAATATATTGATTTGTATTCTAAATGAATAAAGAAGAAAAAAAAGGTCTTTCATTGAGAGGAAATGAGGAGGAAGTTGTTTTAATAATTATTTTTAAAGTTTATGACATCAGACTTGGGTGAAATCTATTGTTAAATTTAAGATATGACATTGAAAATTTATCCTTAACAATTATCGGTTCGTTTTTTTTGTTATTTCTTGATTGATAGTCTGAAAACAAATAACTTGTTTATCTAAACTTAAGAAAATAAGCTGATAGAAGAAGTATATCTGAGACATTACATCTTAACACCCGTAAATGGCCGCATTTATATTTTTCGTCTTTAAAAATAAAAAATTTTCAACCTTTTTTCCACAATTTGACATCTATTTATTAGTATAATACAATCATTTGTTATTGAGTAGTAAATGTTCTATTCTTATAAGTATTAATATTTTTTACTTTTTAAATTTCTATACTTTTGAGGGGATTAAACATGCTACATAGATTTTCTGTTACAAGAAATATTAGAATTATAAGCATACTAGAATAAATGAGAAAAAGTATGGTAGAAGAATAGAAGAAAAAATGAAAAATGGGCTGAGGAAAAAAAATAAAAAAATGAAAAAAGAGAACGGGAACCCTCTTTCTTGGTTGCTAGAAAATTAAAATAAAATAGAAAAGAGAAAAGAAAAGAAAAATTAGTATGGATGGATATTAAACCTTTATATGATTAACTGCAAAAGTTAAGTTAAGAATCAGGTGTCAAAGCTTTTTTTTTCCTTTCTCTTAATAATTCATCTTGTAAATTATTTTCATTTTAAGGCTTTCCAACATGGGCATGTTTTCCAATTAAATGTGATTCCTTACCTCTTTGATATGAAAAAGAATTAAAACAAAAGAAAAATAAAAGCAATAAACTTAAGTTTTTTATTTTGTCACTTCATTTTGGCAACTAAGTATTGATATATAAAAAAACGCCTTGATGTTGAGGCAAAATTAGAAATACAATTAGATACCTCATGTTACGCAGTTATGTGAGCTATTTCTTGAATAAAAGATCCTTGTAGAACAAACGCCTTTGAAAGTTGTTACAACGCCTTTGAACATTAGCTTTCTGAGTAATTTGATAGTTTAAAAGGTTTCATGGTAATTTAAAGGCGTGGAAAATTGGGATTTCCAAGCAAAATAGTGGGAGGGAAAAATGTTTTGATGTGTTTTAAAAAAGAACGAGGAAGGGAAGGGGGGGGATATCAATTGCTTGAAAAACTCTTTTCAACAAAAACATCCTCAGTAGTTGAGTGGGTATCTGATGTGAATTATACAATGGATATGTTTGGACCTCTCACGTATACTTTTTTTTTTTAGTCGGGAAAAAAAAAACCTTCAATACTATACTGCACCAAGGTCGAGTATGGTCTGCTTTGAAAAAATTAAGAGCAATGATAATCTTCAACATCTGTTGATCTTTTCCTCCATGGTTTTTCCAAATAAAAAAAAATTTGAGGGATGCATTTTCTCCATTAAAAGCACAGCTGTCAAAAGACCCAGTGAACCATTTAAATATAACCGGATGAATTGTTTCAAATATGGAGGTTTTGTGGGTATTAGTTTAAAGTATTTCGAATTTAAAAAAAAAAAAAATTGTATTATTCTACAGGCTGAGGAAATTAAGAGCAGTTCATTATTTTTATTATTTCCTCCTATTTTAGTTAAACTCCCTCTTTTATCACAGTTGTATTTTTCTTTCTCTCCTCTAATATTTGTTAATCTTCTAAAAAAAAGTACAATCTTTAGATATATCGTCTTATTTGATTCAAAAAGGGAATAAGTGAAACAACGAATTTCTCTCTTTTTTTTTCTAGCATACAAACCATTGCAGATCATTCTTTGAAAAAAGCTTAGACAGATCCAAATCAAAGGGAAAAAAAAATAATAATAATAATAAGGGCGAAAGAAAGAATGAAAGAGAAAAAAATAAGATAAAACAAAAGGGTAAGCTGTACTTTTTATTTCATGATATCCACTGTTGTTTTTGTTTTTTATCTACCACCAGTTTGGGGGAGGGAGAAGGGGGGAATATAAGTTTTCTATTTCTTTAAAATTATTATTTTTTTTTTTTTAGTTGTTTGATTTGTTGCACTGTTTAAACTCTTTAAAATGATTATTTTTTTTTTCTTTTTTGATAATAATAAAAAAAAAAAAAAAAAAAAAAACGTGTGTAGAAAAATTCTTTCCAACCATTTTCTGTCATGTTATGTCAGCAAAATGATTAACAGTAACAAAATGATGTAAAGGCTGGGTTAAGGGTTAGGGGTTAATTTCCTATTTAGGCAAAATATATTTTTATATTTTTTTTTTTAAAGTTTTTTTTTTTTTTTTTTTTTTTTTCAGTGCGACGAGGACTTTTAGCAAGAAGCCCGATTATTGCTTTGAATTAAAGACCAGTTTATAAAAAAAATGATTAAATATTGACAAGTAAAAGTCAATGTTTTTTTTTAAAAAATAGATGAATATAAATAAAAGAAATGGAATAATAAAAGAAAGGAAAAGAAAAAAAAGGCCTTTGTATTTTATTTGGGTCTTACTGGGTATTAGAACTTTGTTGTTGGTTGATGTAGAAAGAAAGTTTCAATATTTGAACAAAGTGGAGGAAGCCAAATAGAAAAAGTTATTAAAAAGTTGCTTCGGTAAAAAAAACCGACTTTGGTGAATCATTTACTATTTATTGTTTTTTTTTTTCTTATAAAAATTATTGGAATAATAATAATCTAAGACTTGGGTTGATTTTTTATTTTTTTAAATAAAAAGAAGTGAACGAAACTTTGTATTTTTTTTTTTCAAATACGCACCAGGCGTAAATATCTTTTCTTATTTGTTTCTTCTGTAAACTTATATATATGAGTGCACATCATTAATATAAACTGAAAAAAAAAAAAAAAAAATTTCCATCTATTATATCATCAGTTTTTTTTTTAAACGAGTTTGACAAATAACTCTTTTTTGTTAAGCCTTTAAAACACCCGTCTTAAAGGCCTGGGTAATCATATCTTGCTTCCACCGCGAATAAATAGCCTTGTCAATGCGCGGGTTCTCCTTTGTTACACAAAGAGGTGCTAGTGCCGCTACACTCAGAAACTGAGCCTCGCCCGTTACAATGCCAATATTTTGTCGTCGGATATAACTCTTCTTCTTCATCGGACACACCCCAGGCGTTACCGTTAAGTAAATGTCTTGAGTTCCAGACCCTACAATGTGTACCAGCCCACCCACGTCCTGCGCGCGTCCATCGATTGGAACAAGGAAAAAATATTCCTCTTCGTATGCACGCTCACTTGTATCGCTACGCATTGACGACGATGCAGAGTTCGAACTGGAGTAAGAGGACATTGAAGATGATGAGGTTGATCGTGATTTCAACGAAGACTTGGATGAAAGAGGTGATGCAGGACCTGAACGAGTATCGTCCAAGTGCGGCAGTGGTGCATTTAAATCGCGGAAGGTGACAAGGTCCAGATACAATTTGCCTTTAAGGGTTGGTCGTCCAGAGACGATGGATCGGGTGTCAGACGCCGGCGTCGACTTGGTGTGAGGTCTTGAGAATAACATTTTTTTTTTTTTGATGGAGTAAAAGATGGGAAGTCTGTTGATGTATATAAATCACCAATGATGGCGATATCTTGTTGAGGAATTCAAGGATGTAAATTTAAGAAGTAAAAAAAAAAAAAGGCCAAAGATAACAAGGAAGATTTTTGTTTTAAAAACAATTTCTGGAAAGAAAAAAAAAAAACCTTGATATTTTAAACAAATATATTATCTGATATATTAAAACTAAAATGAAAACTAAGTCGTCTTGTAATTATTATTGTTTTTTTATTTTATTTTAGGATACGTGCAGCGAGTTTGAACGTTTAAAAAAAAAAAAAAAAAAAGGGAGGGATTTTTAATTTTTAATTTTTAATAATTTTGGATAGATTAAAAAAAAAACAATTAAAAAAACGAGGAAATAATGATGGATTTTATATTAAAAAAAATTTAAATTATCATATGTTTATAAATGAGGCCATTAAAAAGAAAAAAATAAAAAAATGAAGTGATGATATATGATATATACATTTATTTTTTTATAAAAAAAAAATAAAATAAAATAAAAACATTTACTAATTTTTAATTAGGGAGTCTTTAAGGAGGCGGATTGGGTGCGATTTGAACACATCACTTTGAAGGATACTTTTTTTTTTGTTTTTTCGCCTTGTAATGTACATGGGTGAAAAGGGGCTTGAAAAAGAAATAAATAAAATAAAATAAAATAAAATAAAATAAAATAAAAGTGTATCCAAGAATGAGGTTTGTTTGTGTATGTGTGTGTGTGTGCGTAACTCTAGTTAAATTTCCCAATTGGGAATCTAAAATGTATAATTCTCATAAGTTTTTTTTTTCTTTTTTTTTTTTTTTTGATATATATATAATTATAATAAATAAATTTATATTGCCAATTTTTATATATTTTATATTTTAAGTACACACACAAGTTTTTATACACATATTAATAATTAATCAAAAAAATAATAATGGAGTTAAATAATAAACAAAAAATGAAAAGAAAAAAAAAAATTTAAAACCAGAAAAAAAAATTTAAAAAAAAACACCTTAATATTATTCCTTCATTCAAAAAAAAAAAAAAAAAAAATTTCCTTCAATGGTTCTTAAAAACATTGCGAACTGAAACCATAAACGAATCCTCAGAACCAAGATTCAAGTACCGACCGTTTCCAGTCATGCTGGCAGTACTGGCACTGCTAGCACGCGAACCACGGCGACTCAACACTTCTTCCTTAGCCTGGTTTTGCTCTTCATCACTTTCAGAATCATTTCTATCATATGCAGGCCACCCAATAACTGAAAGAACCCCAGCCGTTGTTTCTTGGTATAAGCGGTGTTCCGTCTTGGCAAGCACACACATGGCAACACGTAACAGGAAAACATCACCTTCAAAGAGCAAGACATCCCAAATGCGAGACACAATATCAACCGAAGGAGCGTGCTCGCCAAACATGGGCATAATCAAGGGCTGAAGATACGAGCCAGGCGACAAGTGAATGCTCTTAAAGTGTCTATACAGTGAAGGCATTTTGCTGTGAAGCACCTTGAGGAAAGACTGATAATAGCCAGTGAGCTCACGCTCATTATGGGTGTACATGGCACTAAGTAGCTGCCAGTGTGCACCTCCCCGTCCCAATGCAAAAGATGCCTCATTAGGACCAGATGGTGCAGAGTGGTGTTGTTGTTGCCCCTGGTGTGATGATGCCCCCCCTAAAACATTAGCCAGTGCAATAAATGCATCGATAGGGTCAAGATTCAGCAGCAAAGCAGCCGCAAGGTGGCTCAAGCCTCGCTGATAACCAATTGCAGGGCGGTACAAGGCAAAAGCATAAAGTACATCAACCAGCGACTCATAATATGGGCCAAACTCAGGATCAAAGAGTTTAAGTTCAGGGAACGTATTCTCAATGTCTTCATTCATCTGGGTAAACTGGGCAAGCAGCCGCGCCTCCTGCTCTGCAGTAAGGCACTCCCCTGATTCAAGGGTATTATTTTCTTTAAGCTTACCGTGTTGGGCCTCACATTTTAAAAGTGCACGGGCTCGCTTAAGAGCTCCTTCATAAGTCTTCTTTGTAATGCCCAAAGAGTTACCAATGCGTGCCTTCCAAACTTGGGCTCTATATCTGCTAGGTACTCCACGCCACCACAATTCGCGAATCTTAGGATTGGAGTCCTGCATCAGCACAAGAGCCTTATCAAAAGTTCCTGGCTGCATCAGAACTTTCCATTCCTGTTCGTCCTTCTTGCGCTGTTTTTCGCGAGCTTGAGCTTCGTGGCGCTTCTTTGTCTCAAGCTGTTTTTCCTGCTCATTAACACGAGCCATCATTGCTTGGAACTCCAAAACATGCTTGCGCTCCTCCTCAGGAGACTTGGGAGGAAGCCATGAAGGTCTTGTACGAGATAAAACAGCCTCCTTTTCTTTGGAAATAGGCAAATTGGAATCAGATGACATCAACACCGATGTGGGAAGAGAAGCAATAGAACTTCTATCAAAAGAAGCAGACATTGGCGACTGAAGGGTGCCAGGAAGCGAAGAAGCAGAGGATGGGCGCACAGGAGGAATATTGGCAACGGGGAATGAGCGATGCTTTGGAGGAAGTTTAAGAGCAGAAGCACGATCGACACGACGCTTTAAATCTGCATCAAACGTTTTTGCAGAAGGCAATTCCTGGAACGCCATAGTAAGAACACGAGCATCCTCACAGAGATTTTCCAACCCAGCACTAGAAAAGAAAACAGTGGGCTCGGATTCTTTGATAGCAATTAAAGACTTGTCGATAGCAGGATTTGGAGTAGATGTTCCAGAAGATGAAGATGAAGAAGATAACGACGACGAAGATGATGCTGCTGAAGACAAAGCAGAAGGCTGGATAACCCCATTGGACTTGCTAGAAGAGCTACCGGATGAGTTGCGGCGACGCGAGTGCTTGCTAGACTTGGTTGAAGCCATTTTGGCCTTTTGAGTGGTGGAAGCCTGCATTTGTAGCTGCGTCTTTGCAAAAAGAGCCGGTGACAAGGGCACGTTCCAAGCCAATGAATCGTTTGGAATATCGCTATCAAAATCCTCTGAATCAAATTGCATTTCGAGTTGTTTTGTGGTGAGTCTAGTAGTAGAGCGGGACCGGCGGAGCCGGAACCGTTGCTGAGGAGTGAGTTGAGAGGGATGTTGTTGCTGTGAATTTGGGTAGTTTTGAGAAGAAGTATTTTCAGGAGGAGCTGATCTAAGGCTGGAAAGAGAAGTAGAGTGGTTCAGACCAGGTGCACTGTGGACACTTGCAGCACTACTTGACCGTTTGGGATAGCCACGTGCATGAGAACCGCCCAAAGTGGAAGGAGAGGAGGCGGAAGCTGCGGCTGTAGCGGCAGCCAAGGCAGTTAGATGGGACGAAGAAGGGGATGAAGGGAGAATATTGGGAGGATATGCAGAAAGAGAAGAATTAGAGCGGCGACTAGAGAGAGCACGCTGAAGGTTCTTCTTTGATGTTGGGAAAGGAGCAAAAGCATCGGTTTCATTGATAGACTCTGGGACAGTCGGGTGTTCAGAACGTACTCCATCAATATGGGGCAAAGATGCGGCATGTCTAAGGTTTTGGGAAGTGTTTTTAAGAGGTGTGTGAGAGTGTTTAGAGTTGGGTGAGACATTAACACTTGAAGATGAAGAGGAAACAGCTTTAGACGAAGGCGGTTGATTCATGCCAGGAGAAGAAACATTGTGTGAGTTAAGTTGAACAGGTTGTTGAAGTTGTTGTTGAGGTTGTTGCTTCTGTTGACCAGACCCAGAGTAATAATTGGGTGTAGCGGATGAACGACGAGTAACTCTAAACCCTTGAGAAGCCTGTGAAGCTTGGGCCAAAAGAATAGCAGACTGAGAAGGTTTAATGTAAGAACGGTTTGCCTGGTTTGCATAATATCCAGGGCTACGTTGGTTTGAAACAGAAGTTGGGGAATAAGAGTACGGAGGCGAGCCCGGTTGTTGAAAGTTAGGAGCATTTCTCACGGCATTAGAAGGTGATCTGGGAGAAGAGGCAGTAGCGGCGGTACTAACGTCTGAGTAAGAGTATGATCTGGGGCTAGTACGGTGCAACTGGGACACTCCTCTTGGAGAGGTATTTGTAGAAGGAGTGATTGTAGAAGTGCTGCTACTCAAGCTGCCATTGTTATTGTACATTGGATTAGAAGAAAATCTTGACATAGAGGCAGTTGAAGTAGTAGAAAATGATGAATTAGCAGAGATAGAAAAGGACTTATTGAGGTCTACTGTTGGTAAAAAGCCAGGCCCCAAAGTAGCTTGTGTAGCAGAAGCAGGAGCAGGAACTACTGAGGTAGTGATTGAAGAACGTGATTGGGAGGCAGCTTGATTAGGAGCCAAGAGAGAAATGGAAGATTTTGACTTGAGAGTCTGGATAAGATGGCCATTCAGTTTGTGAGAAACAGGAGCAATGATGGTACCATCTGAGTTTGAGGCCAGGGGGACGCAAGAAATAGGGTCCTCTGGATCTTCATCTGAAGAAGCGAGAGAAGAAGCAACGGACATAACAGTGTTTGTGCTTCCACGTCTGCTTGGAGGAGATCGAAAAAGAGAGGTTGCCATAGGGCTGTATGAAGGGGCTACTGTTTGTTGGATGTTGTTGTTGTTGTTGTTGCTGCTGTTGCTGTTGTTAAAGATGGGAGTGTTTACATTGCTATTATTATTGTTAGCGTCAGAAGAAGACGCAGGGGTTGGTTTGGTGATTGGATCCACATACTCATCATCGTCCGAAGTATTTGAGGTTGCTGTAGAATTTGTAGAGGAACGAGCGCTTGAACTTCTGAGACTAGAAGTAGAGCTAGAACTGTCTGTTAATTGAAGAGGGATACCAGAGGCTGGGACACTTGGAGAAGAAGAAGAAGTGGTGGTAGTAGTGGTAGTGGTAGCGTTAGTGTTTGAAGGGTTCCCAGGAAGGTATATAGGGGTTGAGAAGAGAGGTGAAGAAGAAGGAGAAGGAGATGAAGAAGGAGATGGAGAAGAAGATTTTGAAGATGAGTAAGTTGAAGATGAAGATGAAGTTGAAGAAGTTGACAATGAAGGTGGAACGAGAGACGTGGTGCCGGTTGAGACAATAAATTCAGGAGGATTTTGTTGTTGCTGTTGAGGGTAGTCTTTGTGTTTTGAAGGCCCAAGAGCGACCTCATCAAAATCTGTTGGAGCCATGGATGAATGGTCAAATGAGTATGAATGCTGAGCAGTTAAAGGCATTGTATTATAAATATTAATTAATTAGAAGTCTATATTAAACGAGTGTGAATATGAAAGGGTTTTTGTTTTGTTTTTTTTGTTGGGATGGTTGGATAGTTGGTTATCTAGAAGGTTTCATTTAGAACAAGGAGAATATAGAAAGGTTGACCACTATAGTAAGATTGAACGAATTATTAAAATGTGTAAATATTGAAATTGATAATAAATCTAAGAAACGAATGGATTGAGTTATGAAAAAAAAAATTGAATAATAAGAATGAAGAAATAAAAAAAAAAAAAGGGGGGAAAAAGGATATATAAAAAAAAAAAAAAAAAAAAAAAAAAAAAAAACGAAGGTAATGGTTTGAATGGTGGTGGTGAAAAACAGAATTTTTTAAAAAAAAAAAAAAAAAAAAAAAAAAGGGAAGAAAAGGAATTTAACAAGAAAAATTTTGGATATGGAAAATAACAAGGTTTTTTATTTTATTTTTATTTTATTTTTTTATTTTTTTATTTTTTTATTTTTTTATTTTTTTATTTTTTTATTTTTTTATTTCTTTTTCCTTCACACAGTGTGGGCCACACCAACAAACAAAACAAACAACTTAACACTTTGTACCCAGTCCATGATATATTACAGAATTATTATAATTATAAAAAAAAAAAAAAAAAAGTCGTCGTCTACGTCAGCAATACTACCTCTACCACCAACAATATCAAAAAAAATAAAATAAAATAAAATAAATCACCACCACCAGTAAGCCCTAAACCCTTTCCTCAAATAGTGCGGAGCGATAGAGCTGCCACCTTTTTGGGATAACACTAGCTATCCGGAAGATGGAACTTTAATAAGAATTCCTAAGTTTAAGGGTGTCTGCTACTAATACTAATATATCAATTCCAATTCTACGGTTGTGGCTGCTGCCAGCTAATGTTGATGCTTAGTGCTGCTTTTAATGCTGCTGCTGCTTCTTCTTCTTCTTCTTCTTCTTCTTCTTCTTCTTCTTCTTCTTCTTCTTCTTTTGGGTGTGTGGCTGCTTCTTCCTTCAATCTCTTTAATACAATAATAAACTGCTGGCTGCTCCTAATAATTTCCTTCTCAAATCCTCTCTTTTTTTTTTTTTTTTTTTTTCTTCTTCTTCTTCTTGTTCTTCTTTTTCTTCTTCACAGCTTTTGTATATTTCTCAATGTGGCGATTACAAGCTTATTTTGCCTGCCGGGTCTTTCCATTTTGGGCGTTTCCGGTGCCACTTTGGGTATTCTTCAGGTTGGAATTATTATAATTAATCAAGTCAAATAATAATATTATAATAATTAAAATATATATACTATTGGGTAAGTATATATATATGGCTTGCGTTTATGTTACCCTTTACCAGAAATTTTTTAAAGCTAGAAATAAAGATAAAAAAAATTTGTCTATCTGGTTTAATGATACCATTATTTTTTATTTTTATATATGAAAAAAAAAAAATCAAGATCATGACCAGGTCGCATTCCATTGACAAGTTTTTTTTTTAACATACAAATTTATATATGAGCATTCCATTCCCAGATTAACAGGAGATGGGCACTCCATTCCGCTACAAAGAACATTAAGTCATGACAGGAGACCATAAATATTTGAGAAAGAAAGCTTGAAAAAAATTTTTTTTTTTCAGAGGACCTTTTATTTTAATTTTTTTTTATCGCGGGTTTTCTTTTTTTTCTTAAAAAAAAAGACGCCCAGTTCTCTTTGTCGATCTTTTTGTCTGGTCCCTGAAAGAGAGAGAGAGAGAGAGAGAGAGAGAGAAAATAGATTTTGAGTGCATGTCTGTTCCCAGAAAGAATAAAGATAAAAAAAAAAATTCCTTGTAATCCAAAGTTGCTCTTTTGGTATGTCTGCTAAAAAACAGCAAGTAAGCAAAGCTTCAACTCTAGTGTGGCATGATGGTTCTAATGTTTGTTGGAAGCAGCAGCAGCAACAGCAGCAGCAACAGCTTCTCCAGTATGGCGCATTAGATAGTATAGTAGTCTTAATAGTGTCGAGATTCCTCCCGGACGTGTCTTCCCGAAAGATCTTCCAAAAGTTTCCGTATATAACTGTGGGTCCTTTATATATTTATTTTTTTTTATTTTTTTTTTAATCACCACTATCCTCGCTCCAACTTCTATTGCTATCTACTATCTATTGCTAGCTAACTGACTAAACCTTTTTTTTTTGTTTAGCGATTAAGATAAAGTCATTCTAGTGTAACCGGATTATTTTAGATTCTTATTTTGTCAAGAGCCATAAGACCGTTCAAGACCTTGCTTGCTTAAGAGAAAAAAAAAACTAAAATAAAATAAAATAAAATTTTAAAACTGAACAATAGAATCAAAGTTTGTTTTTTTTTTTTATTCTTTTATACTTTTATTTTTTTTCTATGACTTATTCCCGTTTTCTCCCCCAGATATTATTCTTGAAATCTTAATTTTAAAAATTAAAAATAAAAAAAAATATCTTTTGAAAATCTTTTGAAAATCTTTTGAAAATCTTTTGAAAATTGAAAATCATGCTTTTTTTTTCTCTCTCATTTTTGACCTCCCCTCCTGGAATGGCAGCCGACATTCTTTGGGTGCGATTCAAAATCATCCCTGAAGATTGTTGACCCAAAAAAAAAAAAATAAAAAAATATATATATTTATCCCATAAATTATTTAGTCCATACTTTAAAATGGATACATATAATACCATCATGCATTACATACTATATTTTCTTATCGTCATTAATCAGATCTCACGACTTTATTTACTTTTATTTTTTTTATTTTTTTTAGTTTCTCTAATCTTCACTCTAAAGTTGAATATGTTTATCGCGGTATTTTATTTCCGTTGAATATTTATATATATATATATATATATATTGTCAAAAGGACTTTTTTTTCTTAAATCTCAACAACATTTAAAAGATTGAAACTTGCTTTTACTAATATTTCTATTAAAACCTCTCAATTTTTCAGCCTTGCTCCCCAATCCGTATAATTAATCTTCCTTTCATATTACATATATATATATTTATATATTACTTCATACTTTTTTTTTTCACTCTAGAGTTTTATTATTTCCAGTAATTACTAGAAATAAACTCTCAATGATTTTGGCGGCGTTCTTTCTTATATTCTTTGTCATTGGTATGCACCAATAACTAAACTAGACTAAAAACAGTTTTACAAAACGTTATTTTCTTATGTAATATCGCTCATATTGTGTCTAAGTTTAAAACCAGGCCTAAGCTTAAATAAAAAGAAAGAAGAAAGAAAAAAAAAAAAGGGCTTTGTCTAAAAAAAAAAAATATCATCTTTGTCAATTTGTAATCTTTCATTTTTTTTTTTAAAAAAACAAAAAATCACAAATAACATTTATATAAAATTGGTATATCAATTGTCTTCTTCGTTTTTTTTTTTTTCTTGCTTGATTTTCATTTTCTTTTTATTTTATTTTTTTTTTGGGAACCGAATGTTTCTTGTTTTCGGCTCCAAAAAAAAAGAAAAAAAAAAGTCTTAACTGTCTCTCAATAAGTTATTTCTCATCATGATGATCATTATAATCCTTCTAAAAGTTTTTAAACAAATCTATTTCTTTCTTTAACCATTATTAATTTTTTTTCAACTATATTATGCTTAAATTCATCAATAATATCTAAAATATTCTTTTCCTTATACCCCTTGAAATCTAGAAATTATTTATTTATTTTTTTTTTTTTTTTTTTTTTTTTTTTTTTGGATTTAATTCTTTTCTGTTCAAAAATTATAACATTTGTTTCGCACTGCATTCTCCGTTTAATTGAATTTTTCTTTTTTTTTTTTTCTTCATTTTTTTCATTTTTTTCATTTTAAACTTCATTTTTGCGTTACCGGAGAAAAGGACGGTGTGTAACTTTAAATAAAAAAATCTCGCACAAACTTTTTTTTTTTTTTTTTTTTTTTTTTTTTTTTTTTGGCTCTTCTTGCTTCAAACTTTAATGACCATGACTTATGATGTTAACTTTGAATTTTGACTTTTGACCTTTAACAATTCTTTTAAACTCATTTGCTTTTTTTTTTTTTTTTTATTTATTTCTTTATTTTTAATTCTTATTTCTTATTTCTATACAACTCTAATTCCCAATCAATTGGCTCGTCAATGCTTCAAGATCTTCAACACTCGTAGGAACTTCAGACACCTCCACAACCTTATTACTTCGCTTGCTCTTCTTCTTCTTCTTTGTGTTTCTTTCTGTCTTTTCAACAAACTCAACATCTTTATACTCCTCATCATCATTCCCAAAAACCCGCTCCTCTTCTTCTCCTCCTCTCTTACGCTTCCGACGATCAATTCCGGCATCGTATCCAAACTCATCCTCTTCTTCTCCGTCTTTTTCTTCTTCTTCTCTGTCTTCTCGCTCCACTTCACTATAATCACCTTCATCTTCTTCCTCATCATCATCGTATCCAAACTCCCGCTCAAGAGCTGCCCGCTCAAACTCCTTGCGCCGCCTCTTCTTCTCTTGTCGCTTCTCGCGATCCATCTCCTTGTCTTTAACATCCCGGCTAGCCATCTCCTTCTTCTCCTTGCCCAAAAACTCGGCAATCTGAGTTTCCGCACTACCCTTCTTCTTAAAGTCTTCCAGTGTATCCAGCTCGTACAATGGGTGTGCATTGCCCTCGTCATCAAACTTGAGCTTCGTAGCTACCTTGTTGGCACCCATAGCCACTTGCTTCTTTGAAAGTGCCTTCTTTAAGGCTCGCTTAGATGTAGGAACCCCATTGGAATCCATAATAACCTTCTCTTTATCATCATCATCATCCTCTTCTCCTTCTTCTTCTTCTTCTCCTTCTTCCTCATTCCCCTCTTCCTCTTCTTCTTCCTCGCTCAAATCGTGGTTTTGTCTCTTGAGTGTGATAAAATCATCCTCATCTTCATCATCCTCAGGCTTACCGCCTCCTGAAATCTTCTTATAATGCTCTGACAAAACGTTTTGGTTCTTGCGTTCAAACATTCTATCATATTTGGTTTTATGCTCGGCCGCTTCAGGCTCCTCAATCTCACCATCATCATTGGCCTTGGCCAATTGCATTACCTTGTGTGGAATATTCTTCTTCATCTTGGCGCTCGCAACAGAGTTGGGGTTAATCTTAAGCTTGGGAGCACCAGGAAGACCCAGACTCTTTGCAAAATCTTCCAGTGGTAAATCCTCCACCTTAAATACGTTCTTGTCACTTTGTAAGTATATCGATCGCACGTAGCAAATAAATGCCTTTTGACCAAGATACTTGATCTCTGGATCTTGGAAACACAGTGCCTGTAGCTTATCTTGAATTGTCTTGCGCTTGGATTCCTTCACAGTCAGTTTGGAAATTGGAATTTTGCGGGCCTCCAAGTGTGCAATCATAGCAGGCTCCTCCTTAGCAGTCAAAAACAAAAGTGCCTTGCCTTCCTTTTTAGACCGAGCAGTACGGCCTACGCGGTGAATATATGTAGCAACATCATCCGGAGCATCTACTTGTACAACCCAATCAACTGTGGGGAAATCAATGCCTCGTGCAACAATATCTGTTGCAAAAAGACATGCATGCTGGGTCTTGGAAAATTTTGCGGTGGCGTCAATACGTGCCTGTTGTCGCTGCTTGCCGTGAAGCTGGATCAAAGGAATACCTGGTTGCAGCTTGCGGAATGTTTCGTAAACAAATCGCACCTGCTTTGAAGATGCAAAAAATACAATGATTTTGGCTTTGAGATGCGTTTTAAGGAAACTGTACAATGTTGTAAGCTTGTCTGCCAGGTTCATGACAATGTAAAACTGCTCAAGGGTATCTGGGGTAGCTGTTTTTTCTGGTGGATTTGTCGACACATACTCCGGAGTCTTTAAGGACAAACGAGCAAGACTTGACACAGAGTTAGTTTGTGTTGCAGAATACAAGAGGGTTTGTCGTTCGCTTGGAACGTTGTCCAAAATAGCATCAATGGTTTTCTTAAACCCGTTATCTAAAATACGGTCTGCTTCGTCCATCACAAGCACCTGCAAGTTTAACAGAGAAAAATTAGGTGTTTGATCCATATGCTGCAAAAGTCTTCCTGGGGTTCCAATTAAAATATTAATCGAGTTCAATCGTTCTGCCTCAGTTTTGACGTCTTTGCCGCCAATCACCAAACCTGCAGAAAAGTCATGGCATCGACCCACCTTGCGCAGTTCCTTAAATATTTGCAGAGCAAGCTCACGTGTAGGTGAAATGATGAGTGCACCAAGACCATCTTCACGGTTCCATCGCTGGTGATGTAGTCGCTCAACCAGGGGGATTAAAAATGCAAGCGTTTTCCCGGACCCTGTGGGTGCAGACCCCAAAATGTCGCGACCCTTGAGTGCTGGTACAATAGCAGAACGCTGGATATCGGTGAGTTCTACGTAATGAGATTGTTTCAAACCCTTTTGAGTCTCATTAGAAAGGGGGAGATCAGAAAATTTTGTTACTTCTGGCGTGAGTTCCTACAAATTTAGATTGTCAGTATTTTGAATTGATTTCAATCATTTTTTTTTTTCAATTAATCAAATAAACGCGTTCCCTAAAAAAAAAAATTTTCCTAGGTAAGGCTGATACTTGAGCCGCACGTGAAAATTTTCCCAAACAATTAAATCAATTTCATTTTTTTTAAAAAAACAAAATCACATACAAACTCTTCTACTTTTTTCTGGAGATCTTCAAGATCAGTTTCATGTTTCGAGCGGAGAACTCGTCTAACATCGCCCGACTTTTTTATTTGTTTTTTGGCCATTTGCGATGGGATATATATATATATATAAATATATAAGTTTGTGGAGTGTGTGTCGATGTGAGTAGTAGTAATAAATGCAAAAAAAAAAAAAAAAAAAAAAATTATAAAAGAATAAGCTAGAAAAATAAAAAAAAAATAAAAAATAAAATTTTTATTAAATCACAATCCTGGTCATTCTGTAACAAATCTTTGTAATGTAACAAATCTTGTAACGCCTTTATTTTTATTTTTAATTTTTAATTAATTTTTTTTTTTTGGGAGGGGCCAACGCATTAAAAAAAGCCGAAAATAGCCGTCAAGTTAAATAGCTCGCATAAAAATCTATTCCAGTAAACTCAAGAAGTAAGATCCCACCGAGATCACAGCGCGTGACCATCACGTTTGTTGACACGTCAGCAAAAAAAAGCCACTTTAAGTTTCCCTTTTGGGAGAAATTTTAAACGCGCGAGCTGCTTGAACTCCTTACGTAAGATTGGCCTAACACATAAGTGCTGTAGCAGGCTGAGCTTCTCATGCAAGACCCATGCATGCCGTAGCAATCCCCCTGTTAAATGCCTACCCTTACCCTTAAAGGCTCTGACTATAAATACTCGCCCATTTCCCCCCGAATTTCCGGAATTTTTTTTAGTTTTTTTTTTGAAAAAAAAAAAAAATAAAATAAAAAGTGGAATTGCAATTTCTGGCACGTTCGCTTACTCATCATTTTTAAGTGTTTTTTTTTTATTTTATTTTATTTTATTACATTTAGATATTACAACTCTTGTGGTTACCCTCTTTTCCCTTTTTCACTATTACATAGTTTACTATACTTAATAATAATATAATAAAAATCATCACATCACAAATTAAAAAAATGGATGCTGCTACTACAGGACTGAGCCTACCCAATACGAATCTTCCCACTACTGCTGCCCAAGCAAAGGCATTTATGTCCACTTCTTTCCCCGATGGACGGGATTCTGGTGCCGCAGCGGCGGCAGCAGCAGCAGATAATACCAATAAAGGCGATAAGTCTATTAAAGCAGATCCAAGCACTGTCAATGGCGCTTCGACTGATAATGCCGGTGCTGCCGATACCACAAATGCCCAGGAAGAATCCGCCTCGGGTATTGTACCTACCCTCCAGAATATTGTGGCAACTGTCAACTTGGATTGCCGCTTAGATTTGAAGACGATTGCACTTCACGCTCGAAATGCTGAATATAACCCAAAGGTTTGTATTTTTATGTCTTTCTTATTTCTTCTTTTTAAAATGTGTATTAATGCGGTTTCCTTTGTTGCCCTCTTTCTTTTTTTTTTGTAAATTTTATTACAGCGATTTGCTGCCGTTATTATGCGTATTCGAGAACCAAAAACCACAGCCTTGATTTTTGCATCTGGCAAGATGGTTGTCACTGGTGCAAAGTCTGAGGACGACAGCAAGCTTGCATCTCGCAAGTATGCACGCATCATTCAAAAGCTGGGCTTTAATGCCAAGTTTACCGACTTTAAGATTCAAAACATTGTGGGCTCTTGCGACGTCAAGTTTCCCATTCGTCTTGAGGGTCTTGCATTTTCACACGGAACTTTCTCGTCCTACGAACCTGAATTATTTCCTGGATTAATCTATCGCATGGTTAAGCCTAAAATTGTCTTGCTGATTTTCGTTTCTGGTAAGATTGTTTTGACTGGTGCAAAGCAAAGAGAAGAAATTTATGCTGCATTTGAGGTAAGTAGAAGGAAGAAAAGAAAGAAGAAAAAAAAAAGAGGGTATTTGTACTAACTTTTTAGGCCATTTATCCTGTATTGAGCGAATTTAGAAAAGCTTGATGTGGGGAGAAGAAGAAGAAAAAGAATGGAGAGTATTTTTTTTTTTTTTGAGGGGAGGAGGGTGAAGAAGAGGAGAAGGGTTTATTATACTATACTAAACTATACTATATGGTGTATATAATACCCACAACCTCTATTTATTTTTTCTGTACTCCACATGTACGGCGATTTAAGACATGATGGAGGAGGAAAATATTCTTCTAACGTTTCATGCTGGTTTTTAATTTTAAAAGGATTGAGAAAAAAAAAAAAAGAAGAAGAAGAAGAAGAAGAACAAAAAAAAATCACATTCCTTTCTCTTTCTCTTCCTCCAATAAAAAAAAATTAAAAATCGACCAAAATTAAAAGAGATTGATGATTCAAAAGATTAAAAAAAGAAAGAAGAAGAAATCATTAAAAAAGTCAAATTTTTTTTTTTTTTCATTTTCTACAAAATGACTTTTACCAGACCAATTTTAATATGCAAACTGCATCAATCACATAGACATTTTGACTGTCACTGCATATTTTTTATTTTATTTTTATTTTTTTTTTTATTATTCAAACCTTTGTTGTTAGTTTTTTTTTTTTTTTTTCAAACATTTGTTTGTTTTGTTTTCATGCTGCTTTTTTTCTTTTGTCTTTTTTTTTTTCCTTATGACGATGACGACGATAATGACGACCCGATGATGAATGACGACTCTTTTGACCCTTTTATTTATTTTTTATTTTTATATTTTCATTTCATTTTAACGACCAAATGGTGGAAATTAAAAAATTAAAAAATAAAAAAATAAAATCCTCAAAAAAAAAAAAAAAAAAAAACTTTCATCATCACCACCAAAACTTTCCTCTTTTTTTATGAGTTTTTTTTATTTTTTTTTTAATAAATGGAAGAACCAAAAAAAAAAAAAAAAGAATATATAAATGAAATTTATAAAATGTGTATATTATTATTATTATTGAAATTTAATTTTTTTTTTTTTTAAAAAAAAAACCCTGTATATTTTTCATTTTTAACGTATAATAATAAACCAAAAGATTTTGAAACAACGCCCGCATATATATATATATATATATATAATATCAAAAAAAAAAGTTCCTCTCTCTCTTTACACTAAACGTTCCATGATAACTCGTACTGCATACAATAAAACAGGACCAAGAACACCTGATGACGAAGAAGAGGTTGTAATATCACCAGTATCGCACCACCCATTGACAGGTAAACAACTCAGGTACTTACACCAAGTGCAATGACCACCACCGTGAGCAAAGTTTACCAACAATCCAATGTAGTATGCAATTACCAGTCCCAAGCAAGCGGCACGTACGAGTCCCCATGTATACCATGATGCAGGACGTTGACGTACCATATGTCTCGGATCATATCGTGCAAGCCCTGTATTAGTATTGTGCATTGTTCTTGAGTTTCCTTGTTGAGAGTCAGTAGCAGAAGTTAGTGGAAGAGGAAGAGGGGGAGGAGGTGATGATGATCCTCCAGATAATACAGAGGCTGTGTCAAAGGGGTTTTGTGAAGGAGACGAAGAAGAGGGAATCTCATTCTCATCAGCAAATGGCGAGCGAAACGTATTTTCAGTAAATGGGGTTTTACTTGGACTTGTTGTGGTTTTGTAATCTCTAAACCCTGAACTTGTAGTTTCTTCTACTATTCCACCTGGGTGTTGTTGTTGTTGTTGTGAGCCATGGAAATGATGACGATGAGATCCGACTGGCGCATTCTCGGTAAATTCCCGGAACGTCGTCAGCGATACATCATCGTACTCAGGTTGTTGCTGTTGCTGTTGTTGCTGTTCTCGCATCTGTTTCAGCTGTAATTGTCTTTGAATTAATAAAGCTTTATCATTTTGTGAAAGTTGGCGTAAATGATCACGTTTACGACGACGAAGTGTGCGTGGAGACTTGAGAACTGCAGTACCCATAAGTAAGCCCATAACAAATCCACCAATATGTGAAAAGTTATCAAGACCTGGAAGTAACCCAATGACAAAGGAAATGACAATCTCAACAATATGGAAAAATAACATGCGGCGAGGGTTCTCATATGTGCTCCAGTTGAAAAGAAGGTCCAGGAGATCTAGCGCAATAAGTCCGAAAAGGGACCCAGAAGCTCCAGAAGACGCAATGCCGTTGGGTGTAAAGTTCCCGCCAAGCAAAAACCCGCCAATACCAGCAATAAAGTATACTAGGAAAAAGCGGATATGACCAATGGCATTCTCTAAGTCTGCACCTAACTTAATTTGCAGCAACATGTTAAAGCCCAAGTGTACAAGTCCAGCATGCAGAAAGATTGGTGTAATGAAACGCCACCACTGGTGAGGTGCACTTGGCGACGAGCCGGCTGCAATGGCCTCTGCCATTTCCTGTGCAGACGAAATCCCAACGCCGCCCATGCCACAGAGCTCTGCAAGCGAACATACATTGGTTTCGGTGGTTGTTGAATTTGGACATGGGAACCGTAGCGTGGGATCATCTGTGATGCCTGAAATAGCATGCATGCATGGTGTGAATCGAGCACCCATATTGATGAGAACATATGCCGAAGGCCCAATCATGGGGTTAAACGAGGGCTGAGTGGCCACAGGAGAGCCAGTAAGTACGCCCATTTTAATAAACTCTGCTAAAAAAACAATGACCTGAATAGCTGTTAGAAGGTAAACAAGTAGAGGTCGTTTAGCCCAGCGGCGCCAAAAAGTTGCTTTAGCAATATTGGACGGACGGTGATTATGAGATGAAGCTTCAAGCCCTGGTCCTAAAGCAAACCGATTGTTGTTATTATTATTATTATTATTATTATTATTATTATTGTTATTATTGTTATTGACTGGCATAGCACCTAAGGGCAAGTCTGGGAGGGGAGGAGATGGTGAACGTTTCATGCTACTGGCAGAATCGAAAAAAGTATTGCGGCTTGTTAGCGACAAGTGGCCACTGCTGTTTCTAACATCTGCATGAGATGTAGGGAAATAAACTTGGGAGCCAGACCGAAAGTTTTGACCAAAAATGATACTATTGTTACTTTTAACGTTTGCACTGTTTCGATGCCGCTGGCTTCTTCTTGAACTTCGGCTGCCATTACCGCCTGCGGTTGCAGCCCCAGCACCCACTTCTCCATTCCAATGTTTCCTACGCTGCCGCGCAGCTTCTTCATCTTCTTCTAGTACAATCAAATCATCGCTACCGATTGAACCACTATTCTGACTATCAACACTACCACGATGACCTCCATTGCCCTTTATGGGATGATCCATATCGTACATTTGTGTGTATGAAGTGTAACCACCATTGCCATTGACTCCACCAAATACTTGCTGAGTGGTCTCACGCACTACTGAGTCTTCATGGCCGTCGTTAACGCGCTGGGTATGGTAAAAGGGAATGTAGTGGTTACTTGTTGGACGAGGCGCAGTAGTGTCCACATATGCCAAAGGTTCCACGCGTGAGGTTCGCGGAGCCAGCCGCAGAAACTCGTCATCTTTTGGAGGGACTGGTGGAGCTCGAGAGTCATTATTATTTTTAGAACTTGGTGTAGTGTACACGTCTCCGACACTCATTGCGTCATCATCATTATCATCATTATCATCATCATCATATTCATCAAGAAGAGATTCAGTGACAGAAACGACTTCTTGACGAGGAGTTCTGCGAGATTCAGAGTTTCCAGGAACAGGTGGTAATGGGACGTTAAGTTCATGGTAATGACGAGATTTTGTTAATTCTTCTCTACGGCGAATAAGTTCCGTAGGGTCAGTTGTTGGGGTGAGAGAGGGGGATGATGATGATGATGATGATGATTTGAAAATCTGAGAATCTGGATCAGCAGCAGTGGATCCTGAAGAAGAAGTAGAAACTAGAGAAGTTGCCGATGGAGAGGAAGCAATGCTGGGAGATTTGGATTGCTTTGAATTATTGTGAAGGAAAAGTGTTTGAGCAAAGGAGGGGGTGTCTGGGGTTGTTGTTGCGCTAGAGGTTGTTGATGATGATGATGATGAAGAAGAAGAAGAACCTGTAGGGAGTGTTTGAGGAGTTGCTGGAGTAGGAGGAGGAGGAGCCGCAGCCTGTTGAGAAGGATTAAATGGGTCCATTAGGATATATTTAATGGATAGATATAAATGCTTTTTTTTTTTTTTTCTTTTTCTTTTTCTAGGATATCAAAAGTTTAAGAAAAAAAAAAACAATATAAAATGAATAAATAAATAATTTTGTTTTAATATAAAAAAAAAAAAAAAAAAAAGGGTGGTGGTGATGGAGGGTTTTAAATATTTTTATAAATAAATAAAAAAAAAATTAAAACCTGGCTGGCTTTCGAAATTTGCAATTTTGGGATAGTTGCTGACATAATCCGTCAGGGGAAAAAATTAAAAATAAATTAAAAATAAAAAAATTAAAAAAAATAAAAAATAAAAGTTTAGTGCTAAACAGAACAACCAAACAAAGAGCACAAAACATCCGAAACATCAAAGGGGGGGAAGAAGAGGTAGGTAGGTGTGGAAGAAGAAATTCCAGAAACAACAAAAAAAAAAAAAAAGACAAAAGAATAAAGAAATCGTTTCTAAACTTTTCTTTGTATAAAATAAAATAAAATAAAAAAAAGACGTTTGAGATTCGTGCTGGTTTCTACAGTAAAAAAAAAGCATCACTCTCACATGTTCGTTTAACCAAGTTCAGGAACAAGAAACATATGAGGGGGGGAGAGAGGGAAAGGTCTTTATTAAAACTTGAATAAATATTAAAATACACTACTTTACACTAAAAAAAATACATACAAAAAAATTATACAAAAAAATAAAAAAAATTACATAAATTCTGATTGTTTATTATTATACTGTTTGTTGTTATTGTTGTTGTTGTTGTTGTTGTTGTTGTTGTTGTTGTTGTTGTTGTTGTTGTTGTTGTTGTTGTTGTTGTTGTTGTTGTTGATAATGATGATGATGATGATGGGGATGCTGCTGTTGATGCTTCGTATACGCCATTGGAACCTGTCCTTGGTGAGCATACCCGTGATGATACTGTGTTAATAACGCAGGCCCTGTTGGCAGCCCAGGTACTCCAGCCCCAGCAATGGAATTGCTATTACCATACTGGAGCCCAGTTGGTACTGGTCCTGGTCCTGGTCCTGGCCCTCCTACTCCAGGTCCAGTTGAATACATCATCATAGGACCTGGTGCTGGTGCATATTGTTCAAAATAAGAGCCCTGTTGTTGTTGCTGCTGCTGCTGTTGCTGTTGCTGTTGCAGCTGCGTAAACATGGATCTCCGACCATTGAATCCTGTCGGATTATTATTATTATTATTATTATTATTATTATTATTACCATTATTCATGATGATAATATTGCTACCACCATTGTTTCCAACAATATTATTAATACCGCTCCCACTATTGTTGTTATTGATATTCGTATTCCCAAGATTCCCTCGTTGATATCCTAGCTGAGATCCAGACCGAGAAAGATTAGTACTGCTGCTATTGGCACTGCCATCAATACTGCTTCCACCGCTACCACCACTGCCATTGCCACTATTAATCCGTCTCAACCGATGGTGCTGCTCATAATCATCATCAGCTTGAAGACTCCCAATTACTTGCTGAAGCTTGGTTTGAATCTTGCGCCCATATGGCGTCATCCGAATCGACGGTAAAATGGGAATCAAGCACACTGCAATCTTGCGCTTCATGGCCTCATCTGCATAATCAAGTGCCGTTTGAATCACATAGTTGGCGTAAATGTCTCGCAACATAACCTCTAAATCCTTTGACTGGACAAGCTCTTCAATCAACATTTGCCGAGTCACAGGCGCCGCATATCGTAAACACTTTTCAATCACATTTGACGAGTACTTTTGTTGAGATAAGGCTGCAAGAGACCCGAAAAACATTCGCACAAGTGGCTCACTGTACTGGGGCTGGTTCAAGTCAAGTACATACTGTACAACGTAGTTTCCATACTGGTCTCGAACAAGCTCATGGGCATGCGCAATAATCTCTGCAACAAGCTGTTGACGTTGCTCATCTGAAGCAAAGTCAATGCACCGCTGAAGTACACAGCATCCATGCTTGTGTTTACCAACAATCACGCAATTGGCACTCACCGCATCAATGATAAACTGAGTGTCTTGGGGTTGCACAAGATTGTTTAAACACTTTTGCACAACGTGGTTACCATTAATATCTTGGATTAATCGCACCACATTATCGCGCAACGCGTCTGTAATCAAAGAAACTTGTATCCGTGCCTCTATTTCCGCTTGTGTGCTGGCATTCTCCGAAGTCGCAGTAGCATCAGCTGCGCAATACTCAATCATGGTTTGTAACGCGCGCGTGCCATGCGTATCCAACGCAATCTCAACAAGATTTGGTGCAACATTTTTGACAAGCACCGTACGCTGTTCCGGAGTCGTATGCTTCAGTAGTTTTTGGCACAAATAGTTGCCAAACGGATCCGTCATGAGTTCACTCATGTGAGGGGCTGTCTCACGGAAAATGAGCTCCAAGTGCGCTGCGTGAACCGCACGTGAATGCACATCCAACAGAGAATCAACACTACCAGCTGCAGCCTCATCCAAAGTCTTTTGCAAAAACCGGCACCCATGTTGATCTTTGCACAACGAGTAAATGTCACCTTCAAAATGTTCAATCTTGGCGTCCGCGTACCGGTTCATGGTTTCGCCTGTAGTTAAAGAAATGTTATTAATGGTGGGGCCATGCTGGCTGTGACGACGATTATTGACAGAGTAATTGCGGCGAAGATTAGCTGTTTGAGTAGGAGATTGTTTGGGATCTTTGAATGAAATACTTCGAGAAAGTGAAGAATTGTTGTCGAGAGGCAATGGCATAAGAAGCGATGACGATGAGGAAGAAGATGTAGGCATGGGAACAACACCACCGGGAATCTGTTCATAGAGGGCTTCCCTTTGAGGGAAACAAAGTTCGGAGGGAGTCGGGGGTTTAGCAGGGACTGTTACCGAGGATGTTGGAGTAGTCATATTAGAAGAGGACCCACCAGGAGATTCCAAAGGCATTTGCGGGACCGGCGTTAGCATATTGCTGCTACTGCTATTGTTATAAACAGAAGCATTCAAGGCATAGGAAGAAGATGGGTCTTCAAAGGGAACGGGGAATCCCGACATGTTGGTGGTGATTGGCCCGACTGTCGTGTTGCTTCGCTTGAGAAAAGCATGGGGCGGAAGAGGGGGTTGAGCCAAGACATGCGGCTGTGCCGAGTGTTGTTGTTGTTGTTGTTGTTGTAACTTAAACTGCTGCTGCTGCTGCTGCTGCTGCTGCTGTTGGAATGCAAATTGTGAATCCATAATCCCATAATTAGGTCCACTAATAGAATGTGCTCGTTGTAGATGTGACTGAGAGCCCATAGAGGGTTCTCCAAAGACACGCGAATCAATGGAGATGATGTTATTGTTATTATTGTTACTATTGGTATTTGTATGGACATTGAGATTACCAAAAACGTCTGTAGGTCCTGCAAGGAGACTCATGCTGTGTGAAGGCCGGTGAGTGCGAACGCCGCCGTTCCCGGGGGTATTACTATTGCTAGAAGTGGATGCATTAGGTATGTTGTTGTTGTTGTTGTTGGTTGTAGTGGTAGACGCCAACGAGGGGGCACCACCAGCCGAGCGAGAAGAAGCCTGTGGCTGAAACGGGATAGACAACGAGTGTGAGTGGCGATGGTGGTTATTGCGTGCAACGTCGACATAGTCCTGGAGAGATGAGGAGGAGGAGGAAGCAGATGATGAGGAAGAAATATAGGAAGATGCAGATGGAACATTGGAAAAGGATGCAGAGGAAAGTGAAGTGGAAGAAGCAAACCCCCCAAAAGACTGACGTTTGCGATGAGTCTGGAACACACCAAAAGGTTGTTGCTTTTGCTGATGCTGTGGCTGATGCTGTTGCTGATGCTGTTGCTGAGACTGTTGTTGGAGACTTAAATTGTCAAAGGATGGTACCAAGTCGTTAATATATTCTGATGACAAAGATGTAGGGTTGCTATTGTTATTGATACTGTTTTGGAGGTATTGTGGTGGCGATGGGCCACTAATATTATTAGTAACAACACCAGATTTAGAGTAGAACTTATGCAAAAAAGGGGGTGGTTGAAGCTGTTGCTGCTGCTGTTGCTGCTGCTGCTGTTGCTGTAGTATTTGTTGAAATTGTTGCTGATGAATAGGCACTGTAGAATCTTCAAGTTCGAGCTCTTCAATAGGATCAGGATGCAAAAACATGGAATGTCGTCTGCTGTGAGAGCCGGTTTGGGAGCCAACCGCCGAGGTGCTAGGAGAGCTAAGATTTTGTGTGGCTTGATGGTCAAAAGTGATGTGGTGCGGGTACAGGGGTAGGTTGTTGTTGTTGTTGTTGTTGCTATTATTATTTGAAAAGAGTACATGCCCTGAAAGAAGAGATGGAGGAGGACCTTGAGAAACAACTGAAGAAGAAGAGGATAAAATGCCAGGAGTAGAAGAAGAGGTCATTGACAATCCTGGGTCTGTTGCAGGGGCATGAATTGCGTCACCAAAGTAAGAAGTTGCGCCTGTTCCTGGTGCAGATGGAGTGACGGGACCCTGAAAAGATGCTGGCGAGCTTAAATTGTTTGCAAATCCAATAATTGTAGGAGGTGAGTTTAATTGCATGAGTGAGCCAGGCTTTGAAGAAGAAGATTGTGAGGGGCCTGTCAAAGAAGAGGAAGTATGCTGGTCAGTAGCAGCGGCAGATGAAGTAGAATGTGAGGGTAATCCAGGTGGCGGAGTGATTGCAGAACTCGTTGGTGTAGCTGTAAGACTGTCACTTGTACTGTTAAGAACTGAGATGGGAGATCTGTCTAGAAGGTTATTATTAGAAGAGTTATTGCTGTGGCTTGGAGAATAGAGAGAAAAAGAGAGGGATTTTGAGTGGCCATGGTAGTGAGAAGATGACGATACTGATGAAGAAGAGGTAGAAGCAGAAGCAGATGATGATGATGACGATGATGATGATGATGATGATGATGATGATGATTGAGAGGGAGGGGGTGAGGCTATTGAAATCCGAGGAAATTCCGAAAACAAAAGATCTGAAGAGCCAGTTGAGTTGTTTGGACCAGTATTGTTAATATTGTTATTATTATTATTACTACCACCAGTGTTACTACCACCTGTAATATTCTGTGGCCAGCCGTGGAGGGCACCAAACTGTTGTTGAAAAGCCAAGGATGGTGGGAGTGGAGGAGAAGTTGGGTAAGCCGAGGAGAGAGAATGGTTACGAGTGTGAAAAGAGGGAGGACCGAAAGAAGAAGAAGAAGAAGAAGAAGAGGATGAAGAAGAAGAAGAAGAAGAAGAAGATGAAGTAGAGGATGATGATGACGATGAAGAAGAAGTAGAGGATGATGAAGAAGAAGATGAAGATGGCTTTGAAGGATTCAGAGTACTTGCAAAGGCAATGGAATGACGATGAGTTGGATGAACTGAAGGGGTTATGGTTGAAGAAGAGGGTTGACCCGAGGGTAAGGTAAGACCCGAAAAGGTGCTTGTACTTTCATAAGAGAGAGGAGAAGATGAAGAAGATGAGGATGATGAGGATGAGGATGAGGTAGTATTTGATGCAGAGGACATTGAAGAATTTGAAGAGTTTGAAGAAGAAGAAGAGGAAGATGAAAGAGATGAAACTAATCTAATTGAAGGTTGTTGGCCCGAAGAAGAGTTGCCTAGTTGTTGTTGTTGTTGTTGTTGTTGTTGTTGTTGTTGATGATGCTGTTGTTGATGCTGTTGATGCTGTTGATGCTGAAGGTTAAGTTGAAGATGAAGATTATGCTGTTGGGATAATCCAGGATTGAATCCCATCGGTGCAGTTACTGACAAAGATGCTGAAGGCCCCAAAGCCATTGCAGAAGTTGTTTGGAAAGAACCATTAAGTGAAGAATTAGAATTAGAAGAAGAAGAAGAACCAGAAATAGACATTTTATTAGGAGTAGTAGTGGTTCCTTGAACGCGTGAAGTTAAAGTGGCAAGTGAATTCTGTTGTGAAGTTTGTAAAGGTGTTAATGTAGATGTAGATGAAGAAGAAGAAGAAGAAGACGAAGACGACGACGACGAAATGCTTGATCCAGAACCATATCTATCTGAGCCCGGCGATGCACGGGTCGCGGGAGGAATTGGCGAGTTCATGTGATGATGGTGGTTGTAGTAGTAATAATAGTAATGATGGTGGTGATAATGATAATGGTTAGTGAGAGTAAAAAAAAAAAAAAAAAAAAAAAAAAAAAAAAGAGTGTGTGTGTGAGTGTGTGAGTGTGTATTGTACAGTGTATATATATATATATATATATAGGGGGGAGAGAAAGAGAAGGTGTGATGAGAAATCCAACAAGCCAGCAAAAACAGATGAGAATTTTGACAAGGAAGAAATAAAAAAAAAATAAAATAAAATAAAATAAAATAAATAAAAAATAATAAAAAAAATAAAAAAAATAAAAAAAATAAAAAAAAAGGGGGGGGGGAGAAGAGGGAGGCAAAGGAGAGAAGACAAGAAAATAAATAAAAAAATAAAAAAAAAATAAAAAAAAAAATAAAAAAAATTCTTTAGAATCAAAACAAACCGTTTAATTCCGCTGGTATATAAACTTGATGGTTTGTAGATAGTTTAATGGGCTGGCGGCTCTTTTACCTCTATATATAAATATAAATATATATAAACCTCATTTCTTGCCTATTTTGCTTTTTTTTTTCTATTTATTTATTTTTATTTATTTTTATTTATTTTTATTTATTTTTATTTATTTTTATTTATTTTTATTTATTTTTATTTATTTTTATTTATTTTTATTTATTTTTATTTATATTTTAAAGAATGGCCTACGCGGTTGCCTGGGGCCACTTAATAGAAGAAGAAAAAAAAAAAAATTGCCACTCACTCACTGGTATTTTGGTGGTTTAGTGGTTTAGTGGTTTGATAGTAAAAGCTGCTTAGTACTGCTGCTGCTGCTGCTGCTGCTGCTGCTGCTGCTGCTTAGTGCTGCTTGTTTTTTTTTTTTTTTTTTACTCCCACCATATAATATATTTCAATATATTTAAATAAATAAATAAATTTCAATACTAAAATAAAAAAAAAAAAAAAATGCTTATGTAATAATAAAATAATCAAAATTTACCAAACAAAAGGACTTTTGAGGATTATTATTATTATTATTATTATTATTATTATTATTATTATTATTATTATTATTATTATTATTATTATTATTATGAATTTTTTATTTTTAAAACTAACTTCATTCCAAAGTTCCCAAACCCAAAAAGATCTTTAAAAAAAAAAAAAAACTGTATAATACATTTAAATTATGTATCACTGTTGTTAACCTAAAAGCATACTTTGAGATGCCCCTTATTTATTTATTTATTTTTTTTTTTTTTTTTTTTTTTTTCTCTCTCGTTTTGGAAAATCCTAATACTTATGTCTCAATTAGTTTTTCCATAAAATAAAATAAAAAAAAAAAGGGACATGCCTCTATTTCTTATTCTTATTTTAATTCTTATATTCTTATATTCTCCATCACAATATATATACATATAACTCCTCCCTTTTAATGCAAGACAAATAAAAAATAAAAAATAAAACTTTAAAAACTCTTTCAAGAGATCCTTTATATATATATATATATATCGCTTTTCCTCTCGAAACCTTCTTGGTTACCCGAGATTTTTAAAATTATTATCCCCCATGTAGATAGATATCCTACTATTTAATTCTTATGTGATGATGGATATAATTATGGTACTAAAAGCCGTTCGTTTATTCGGACCCTCCTAAATTTTTATATATAAACATACAACCGTCTATTATTTTTCAATGGAATCAACGTTTAAAAAAAAGAAAAAGAAAAAGAAAATATATATATTTCAAAAATTTTATATACTTCATTATTAAAATCATCATTATTATTATTATTATTATTAGTTATAGATAAAGAAAGATTGTAGACTATAAACATACTTAAAATCATTAAACTCATTAAAGAAAAAAAAAAAAATACAAAATAAAACTTTTCATCAAAAAAAATTAAAAAAAAAAATTAAAAAGAAAAAGAGAGAAAAAAAAAAAAAGAAGAAAATCAATACAAATTAATCTCTCCAAACCCCAAATTATGCGTATCAATAAAATCACACATAGAATCAAAGTCCCAAGGATTCAAACCCTCTGCATTGGTTCGATTCAATCCATTAAATTCAATCGGTTGTTTGCCTTCCGCATCAAATGAAGGCCATGATACTTCTTCCTCTGAAATACTATAAACATTCGTACCACCATTATGATGACTACTACTTTCCTCAGTAGACCCAGGTGTAGGAACTGTCATCGCCATCTTTGACTGAGAAATAAAACCACTAGGCACAGACGTCACATTATGACCATTTCCAACAATACCACTTCCTTCAGGGTCCTCAGGAGGAGTCAACAAATTGATGTCAACACTCCGTGTAGAATCCAAACAAGAAAATGCATTGCGAATAGCAAGTGCTGATACTGGTCCCGCCCAACTGCTAGGCATCTTAGGTACTGACCCACTATTATTAATGTCTTCAAACCCAAAGTTGGCTCCTCCAAGAATTGGAACCCGACCAGACCCTTGCTGTGGCGTTAATAATAACGACATTCCAGATACTGCATTATTGTTGTTATTATTATTATTATTATTATTATTAATAATATTCGTAGGAGTAGAAGTAGTAGTAGTAGTAGTAGTAGTAGTAGTAGTAGTAGTAGGATTACTATTACTATTACTATTACTATTATTAACGCCATTGTTATTCTCATTCTTAACAATAACCTCAAGCTGCTCAACACTACTATTATTCACCTCTTGAATCACTCCCTCAGGAACTCCAAGTGCCTCTCCAAGCCCGTGGATAAAAAACCCAATCGGATCGTTCCGTGCAAGCTCCGCCTTGTTGGAGTCTCCACGTCGCTGGTAATGGTCAACAAAACTCTTGCGCCGCAAATCAACATCTGCAGCTCCAAAAGACCCCCCAGGCGTCCCCGCGCGTGATTGCACTGCTGGCCCACCTTCAAGCTTCTCCCGTTTAACCCCACCAATAGGCCCATCATTCATACTACCGCTCCGTGAATGTTTTAATGTGTTTGGCTGTTGCATAGGAGACCCTGCAATAAACGTATTATCGGGAGAACCAATTGATCCTGGTGTTCCAATACCTGGTGTTGCGCCAGCTTGTTGCTGTTGCTGACTTTGCTGACTTTGCTGACTTTGTTGACTTTGTTGACTTTGTTGACTTTGTTGCTGAGCACTAATTGACGGTGTATTGTTTCCACCAGAAGGCATGGAAGGTGTCCCCACGTTTGGAGTCTGTGAACCCTTGCGCTGTTTCCGTTGTTGTTGAAAGTTCTGTGGCAGTTTCAGCTGGTCCTGTGTCAGCCCAGGCTTCATGTACTGTGGCACTCCTTGTGGAGACAATGCATCAGGGTTAGCTGCAAATGTCCGTGGAGATGGCTGCAATAACTGCGAAGAAGACGAGGACGAAGAAGACGATGGAGGAGGTTGCTGGAGCTGCTGCTGACCTTGAGGTGCATTCATACTTTGACCAGCTTGGTTCATTGTTGTAGGAGTATTAGACAGCATTGGAGAGTTTGGATTAGTGCCTTGATTATTATTATTATTGTTATTATTATTGTATGGCGATGCCGTAGCAAGCGGTACGCTTGGTGTAGCTCCAGCTCCTGTTGGCGTTTGAGACACAGGATAAGACTGGTTGGCTGCTGTTACTGGTGTCATTGGCGTCAGTGGCTGTTGAGGAGGAAGCTGTGCCGGTGCTTGAGTGGGTGTCGACTTAAGTTGTTTCGAGTTTTTCCGTGTACCAGGAGCTCTGCCCTTGCGTCTAGGAGCTTGAGTAGCAGCAGGCGTACTATTATTATTATTATTGTTGGTGGTGGTGGTGGTGGTGGTGGTTCCAGTAGCAGGTGCTTGGATTGTTGCAGAAGGAACAACTGGCGATGGTACCAAGCCCCCAGCAGGTTGTTGTTGCTGAAGCTGAGACTGAAGTTGTTGTTGTTGTTGAATTTGAGATTGAAGCTGCTGCTGTTGTTGTTGTTGCTGCTGCTGCTGTTGAAGCTGTTGTCGTTGAATCTGCATCAACTGAGCAGAAGTCATATTCTGGTTCATCATCGGGCTTCTCATAGCAGTTTGTGAGATAAGATTACTCTTGGAACCTCCAGGCTGTTGGTTTTGCTGCTGCTGCTGCTGTTGCTGCTGCTGTTGTTGTTGCTGCTGCTGTTGCTGTTGCTGCTGCTGTTGCTGCTGTTGTTGTTGAGCCTGGTTTGACATTTGCATACGTGATCTAAGCAGTCTAATCAACACATTATGATATTCAGACAACTCTTGCTTCATGTGCTCCATTCCGGCAACATCAGTCAAATAGCGTCCATTTTTGAACCCCCCTGAAACACGTTTAAACTTGTCAAGGGCCCGGTGAAGTCGCAAAAGCCCTTGATTATCATTGATGAGAACTTGGGCAATTGCATGATAATATTGGTCAAAAAAGGGCATCACTTCTTTGGCGCATGTCACATAAATGTCTCTCACCTTCTTCTTATCTTCTTCAGACAACTGGTCTGTCTCATCATTTAAAGGAATGGGGTTTTTGCTGACAAGTTCCTTAAGCTGGTTCAAAAGCTCAGGAGCCACCCGTCTACCCATTTGTGGAGAACGTTGAGGTTGCTGTTGTGACTGCTGTGTTGCTTGTGGCTGTTGTTGCTGTTGCTGTTGCTGTTGCGGTGCTTGTTGGAATTGCTGAGGTTGGTTTCCAGTGCCTTGATTTGCCCTAATCATATTATTGTTTCCATTGTTGTTCAAGGCAGGATTGGCAAATCGTTGTTGTGGCGAGGTTTGAGGCCTGAGCTGCTGTGTTTGAGGTTGCAACTGCTGCTGTGGTTGTTGTTGTTGCTGTTGCTGTTGTTGCTGTTGCTGTATGACCTGTGGAACCTGAGAAATCTGTTGCTGCTTCTGTTGTTGTTGCTGCTGCTGCTGCTGCTGCTGTTTGTTGGCTTGAAGTCCTTGGTGTGTAACCTGAGGTGATCTTGAAGCTGCTCCACGACCTCGCTTTCCGCGACCTCTTGTTGTACCGGCTCCTCTTGGAAGCACTTGCTGTTGTGGCGGTGCATTATTTTGATTTTCATTCATGATTCCTGCATTTTGGTTTGGCTGAGCAATTTGACTTTGTTGCAAAAACGGAGACCTGTTAGGCTGTTGTGGTTGAACTTGTTGAGAGATTTGTTGAACTTGTTGAGCCTGCTGAGCCTGTTGAGCCTGTTGAGCTTGTTGAGCTTGTTGAGCTTGTTGAGCTTGTTGAGCTTGTTGAATCTGCTGAGCACGTTGCTGCTGTTGTTGTTTTTGCTGCTGCTGCTGCTGCTGTTGTTGTAACTGCTGCTGTGGCTGTTGCTGTGGTTGTTGCTGTTGCTGTTGCTGTTGCTGTTGCTGTTGCTGTTGCTGTTGCTGTTGCTGTTGCTGTTGCTGTTGCTGCTGTTGTTGTTGAGATTTTTGCTGTTGCTGGGCACGTTGCTGTTGCAATTGAAATCGTTGAAATTCTTCAGCCTGAAAGAAATTCTTGAGAGCATATTTCTGTTGATAAGATTGCAAGGACCTAATATTATCCGTAAGAGGAATCGAACCATTGTTGATACCGCGCATTAACTGTTCAAGATTGTTGACACCATCAGGAAGTCGAACCTTGAGATGTTGCAGCAGTTCATTGGGAATGGGAATTCTTATCATAAATTGCTTGAGAGCATTGGTTAACTCAGGTGACATATGTTGTTGTGGGGGCTGTTGCTGTTGTTGCGGCTGTTGCTGCTGCTGTGGTTGTTGCTGCTGCTGTGGTTGTTGCGGCTGTTGCTGCTGCTGCTGTGGTTGTTGCGGCTGCTGCTGCTGCTGCTGCTGCTGTTGTTGTTGTTGTTGTTGCTGCTGCTGTCTTTGCTGTTGCAGCAATTGCTGCTGCTGTTGTTTTTGGACCATAATCTTCTTCATAATAGCAATCTGCTCTGGAGTAGCTGTTGAAGTAACTGCTGGTCGATTCCCTTGACCCTGCTGCTGTTGCTGTTGCTGTTGTTGTTGTTGTTGCTGCAGTTGTTGTCTAAAAAGTTGAGCTTGTTGAATCTGTGCAGGAGTGAGGGGTTGATTTTTTTGATTTTGTAAAGCTGCTACAAATTGTTGTTGCTGAGACTCACTCATACTTTGCTGAGGCTGGTTTTGTTGTGGAGGTTGTTGTCGTTGTTGCGGTTGCATTTGGACCATTGGATTATACCTCTGGCTAGGTGGGAACCTGGCAATAATCTCCCTTGTTTTTTGAAGGTAAGCTTCCTATTAAAAATTACATGTTAGTAGACTATAAAATTATTTTTTTTTTATTTTGGTTGTTTTGTCTCAACTAAAATAAAGGTTGTTTGTCGTGATAATATTATGGCTGTAATTGCTACTGAGATGCATAGAAATGAATTTCCGGCAAAACATCCGCTCTAAAAAATAAATAAATAAAAAAATAAAAAAACATACCTTTGAATTGCACTTTAATAAAATTGAAAGTTCATAAGCTTGAGCTTTAATACGGCGCTGCTCTGGTGGGATATTAGAATTAGCAAGAAACTCCAAAAAACGTTCGATAAAGGCATTTCTCTCGCTTTGAGGAACTCCCAAGTTGCTGATGTGCATTATCTGCTGTGGGTTGAGTTGTTGTTGCTGTTGAGGCTGTTGTTGCATTGGTTGAGCTTGCTGCTGGAACTGACCCGAAGGTTGGTTTCGTTGCTGTTGCTGTTGCTGCTGTTGCTGCTGTTGCAGGTTAACAAACTGCTGCGGCACAGAGTTATTTGATGAACCGTTAAAGTTCATTATTCCTACTAGTGGCGAAAAAAAAGATTTGTTTTCTTTTATTTTTTTTTTTTTTTAAAAAAAAAAAGGGTTAAATAGGTTTTAAATGGACTTTCTTTTGATGGTTTGTCAGGGTCGAAAACTTTAGTATAATAAAAAGAAATAAGGGAAAAGAAAGAAAGAAAGAAAGAAAGAAAGAAAGAAAGAAAAAAAAAAAAGTTTAAGGTAATCTTAGAAATAGATTCTCTTAGAGCCAAAAGAGAATAAAATATATATATTTAAAAACTTTATAGACCAAATTTTGTTTTTTTTTTTTTTATTGTTTGATATATATATATATATAATAAATGGAGATGGGAAGAAGAAGGAGAAAAAAAAAAAAAAAAAAAAAGAAGAAATTCAGGAGAAAATATTAAATTTTTTGGTGGTGGTGGTGGTGGTAATTCTCTTTTTTTTTTTTTTTTTTTTTTTTTTTTTCTTAATTAATATATTAATATACACACATCACGGAAAACTCATAAGCGCATGTGCGCCTGCATAATAACAATAACAATAACAATAATAATATCAAATAATAATATCAAAGTCGTATAAAATTGAACACCATGACAAACTAACGTTCTAATGTGGTACACTCATATCTTCTATGGAATGAGGTGGGACTTTAAATGCTAAGCTATGCTTATATATTTATATATTTATATATTTAATTACTTCTTCTTTTCATCATCATCATCATCGCCATCTTCATCGCCATCTTCATCATCGGTCACAATAATTGCCCCTTCTTCCTTTCTTTCTACCAACCCCTTTTTTTTTTTTCCTTCTTCTTCTTCTTCTTCTTCTTCTTCTTCTTCTTCTTATATATCTCCCCACTTCCCTTATTCCTTTAAATCCAATATACATGTCATTTGCATTAGAGTGGACCAAAATCTTGTGATATTTTCCTTATCAGCTTGATTGGCTAGCGCAACGACTTGCACTCTTTAAGCATATTTTCTTGCCTAAGGAAATCGCATGATTCAGCCGGCTTAATGATGATGTATATATATATATATATATATATGCATTCACAAAAATAAAAATAAAAAAAAAAATACACACTTCGGGACAGGATCAAAATAACAAAATTCCGTAGACTTACTATGACTGGAGAAGAAAGTTGGGTGGGAGTTTTCTTTCTTTTATTCTTTTTCTTTTCTTTCTTTAATATTTCAATCAATTCTTTGTCCTTTTAAAATATATAAATCTTGTTTCTATTTAAACCAAATTTGTTTAAAGAATTATAGACTATATTTTCTGGGCGTTTAACCAGGTGGGGCGGCCCGCATGGACCAAAAATATAAATTTTATTTATTTAATATTTTGCCGCTTTTTTTTTTATTTTCACGGTCGTGACAAGCTGTTGAAGTATTGTAATAATAATGATAAATATTCCGTAACTGTAAAAAAAAAAAAAAAAAAAAAAAAAAGACCCATATGACATAAAGCCAAACCAAAAAGTTAAAAAGTTCATAGTATTTCCTCTTATATTTTTTTTTTTTTTTTTTAATTTGATTGTTCTTTGCATGCATGTGAGCGGTATTTAGCATTCATATTATTATAACCCATCACATGTTCTTGCATGCGCAGAAAACCCCCCCCCCCCCCCTCACACTAGCTGACTTGGTAGTTTGTCATCATGACTAAGAAATGCCCCACGTACAAGTGGCAAAATAAATTCTCAATTCAGTTCAATTCAATTTAATTCAAACAATTTCTAGTGGACTTACCTTGAATGAAAATCTCACTTTTGTTTTAAAAAAAAAAAAATAATTTTTTTTTTGTTAAAATAAATTTCTCTTTTTTTTTTTTTTTTTTTTTTTAAATTAATTTAAATGTTAACTTTCTTTCTTCAAAGACCTCGGGAACTTTATCAGGGGTCCATAATGATAAAAATTACTTAACTCAGTCCCATGTTTACGCATATGTTTTGGTCTACCACGTTAATTTGTATTTTTTTTTTTTTTTTTTAAACCTCCAAGTTTATTTTTTTATTTTTTTTTTTTTTTCACATCATCATCATCATCATCATTATTATTATTTAATCATAAAGGTCCTTACGACCTATAATTTAATTTATCACTCCCATTATTATTTCTCATTTATTTTATTTAAAAACCAATGTTGGAATTATAATACGTTTTGCTAACTACAAACGGTTTTTTTTTTTTTTTTTTTTTTTTCTTTCATTCTTTCCCTTCCTTCTAAATATCATGTCAAATAGCGAATCACGCGAACCTCTAGTCGAAGGCAACATCAACATCATTTACCAATCGCCTCGTCATTCCAAACCTAATCTGTCTTACTATGCACCAATGGCAGAATCAAACCATGCATTTTCTTCTTTAGCCAAACGCACTCCGAAATCCGCGTCCAAACTGGTTCTACCAACTCAACCAGGCGGCCAAGCAACCGGTTCTCAAGCAACACCTCACCAGCAACTTTTCGCATCGCTAGATCATCGATCATACCAAAGTAACCTGACTCCAGGAGTGTCTGTGACTCCCGTGGAAACTCGAGGTGATTCTCATCGACAATTAACAAATACTAGAATTACTCATTCTGTGGAAAATACACCCACAGTAAAAATACAAAAGCATCATACACCAGCAACAACTCAAGCTACGAAAAATACCAATACGACTCCATTAGGAACCGGAATTTCAACAGCAAGCGCACCAGAGCGACGCACACGGTCACGTAACGATGACCCTGACTTTCAAAACTGGAGACACCAGTGGTCAGAGTACATGAAGGACGCGCGGATATACATGGACGGGATAGATGCTGCAAGTGTCGACAAGGTACGGCCAACCCTTAACAAGATTGGGGCAGTGATTGAATCATTTTTTGACTACCGCATTAAGATTCTGGTGACGCGCAAGCCTCTAGTGGATTCTGCCAGCGGAGGGGCGGCGAGCGGCGACAAGAACGCGCCTATGGTGGTTTACCCTCCGGCTAACATTATATCCAAGGCACGGGCCATGGAGATTAAGATTTGGCACTACGACAAGCTCATTCGGTTTTTGTGTCATCTGTGCGGTGGATCGCTGGTCAAACCACACGCTGGACATGTGTTGGCTCATACAAATGCATCGCAAAATCTATCGCATATGCTCAAGGAAGAGCAGATTCTAGGACCCGCAGATCGGGACCCGCGGGCACGGAGCCTGGATGATGTGTTTCAAAAGTTTTCAGGCCCGTACCAGCTGGTGTGGGACCCGACACACAGATATAAGCCGTTGCATGCGGTGGAGTTTGAGGGTGGGATCCAACGGGTTGAAGATGGAGAATGGCCACAGCTTAAGCCGACAGGGGGTGGGCGGTCGCCGTTTGTTGCTGGAGAGAAAAAGGCAGGAAATACAGGAAAGCTGACAGCTACTACACAAAAACAGTTTCAGGGCCCCAAAAATCCCAAACAAGGATCGAACGTTGCACAGGGATTAGGGGTGGAATACGTGACGCCGAAACAGGCAGCTGGGGAGCCGACAGGACTTGGGACAGGAGCGACTCCAACAGTGCCTAGCACTTTGCCATCCAGGCTGCAGCCAATGCAAACTGGGGTTGGAGCGACAGCGCCATCGACAGGACAAGGGAACAGTGCTGCGTTCCGTACATACACAAGGCCGCCGGTGCAGACGCCAACACGGGCGACGTTACCAGCGGGGGCATTGCATTTGGATGCGACAGCGGGGACTCCACTGCCAGTTGGACACGGGAGCATGGCCGACACTGAGCACGAGGGATGTCGAGACGGGCTTGAAGAGACTGGAGGAGGGCCTGCGGGCCAAGAAGTTGAACATGGGGTTGGGGATACGGGGTACGAGAGCGCGTCTGCGTCCGGGTACCAAGGGCTGACTGAGTATGGGGCAGCATCTGGGCGGGCAGGGTTGTCAAACTTTAACTCTGTGTCGACGCGAGGGTCTGCAGTATCGATGGCAAGCATGGGGTCGACGGCGACTGCAGGGACCGGGGCAGGAAGTTTGATGGGGAAGGAAGTGTTGTTTCGGTTCCGGAGGTATGCTGGAGGTAATGGTGGTGGAGAGAATGGCGGTGGCGGCGGTGGTGGCAGCGGGGGGCCGTTGATGGGTGGTCCGCGGAAGGCGCCGTTTGTGGCAACACCAAAGGCGATCAAGGGGGGTGGAGTTTCTGGAGCTGTGGCAGCTGTGGCAGCTGTTGCGACTTCTGCGGCGGTTGCGGTTGCAGTTGGAGGTACTGGTGGAGAGGTGACACCGGTCAAGGGGCATGTGGTTTTGGATGAAGTTGGAGTGAATACGAAAACACCGGTTGCAGGGGTTAATGGGAGGAAAGCGATAGGAGGTGCTGGGAGTACACCTAGTACGGTGGTGGTAAAGAATCGTGGAGGGGTTGGGACTACTCCAGCTCGAGGGGTACCTACACAGACTGGGGGTGGAGTGGTTGTTATAGGTGTGGGAGGAGCCGGAGGAGGGGCAGGAGGTGGAATAGGTGGGGGAGCAGGAGGTGGAGGAGCAGGAGCAGGAGGAGCAGGAGCAGGAGGTGGAGGTGGAGGAGTAGCAGGTGGAGGGGGGCATTGTGAGAATTGTCATGAGTATTATGGGGATTTGCGGGAGCATATTGGAGGGGCCAAGCATCGGAAGATGGCAGTTGATGAGCAGCATTGGGCTAAGTTGGATGTGTTGATTGGGCGTGTACAACGGAAGCGGGTTGCACATGATGAGCAGGTGTATGATAGAGGAGGAGAAGGAAGAGGAGGAGGGAATGGGAAGAGAAGTAGGTTAGGGAATGCGAGATGGACAGCTAAAGGTGTTTCTGTAGTTGAAGCTGCAGAAGCTCTGGGGTTCAAGGTAGGTGATGAGGATGATGAAGAAGAGGAAGAAGAGGAAGATGATGATGATGAAGAAGATGATGGTGAGGAAGAAGAAGAAGAAGAAGATGATGATGAGGAGGAGGAGGAAGAAGAAGAAGAAGAAGAGGAAGAAGAAGATAATGAAGATAATGAAGATAATGATGAAGATGAAGAAGGTGATCTAAATTATGGACATCGGCCTAAGCGTCTTTGTAAGAATGAATGACTTTTTAGTCTAATTTAACTAAGCATTATTTATTTATTTATTTTTTTTCATTATTTCCATTTCATTATTTCCATTTTTCCATTTCCATTTTTTTTTTTTTTTTGCCTTATTTATGACATCATTATTATATATAAATTTTTTTTTTTTTTTTTAAAAATCCCCATTACGTAATTTAATGAAGGTGAAAAGCCCACCTTTTTATTTTTTTTGTTTAAATTTTAAATTTTAAATTTGAAAACTTAAAATGTTTTTCAACGGCTTTTTTTTTTTTTTTTTTTTTTTAAATAAAAACTTTTTTAATGTTTAACTAAAAATACAAAAATTACAAAAAAAAAAAAAAAAAAAAAAAAAGAAATAATTTAAAACAAACAGAAAATTAACACGACAAATCCTCCTCCTTCTCCTCTTTCTTCTTAATACTTTCCCAAAAAGAACCCAATCTAAAAAAAAAAAAAAAAAAAAAAAAAAAAAAAACAGTCTTCCTATGTAAATTCTTCTTCTTCTTAATCATCATCCACGTCATCCACATCATCTTCCTCTTCCTCTACTCCCTCATCACTCACAATATGCTCATGCGCTCGTAACCCATGCCGCCGTACATGCACATACTTAGCTCGCTCTTTAACTTGTTGATTCCCTGCTGCTCCTACTTCTGCTCCAGACTCTATTGATCCATCCACTACTCGTCTACTCTGTGGTGTGCTACTGGCTGTACGCGCTGGTGTTCCTGGCGCAGTCCCGCCATTATCCACTCCACTACTTGTTGCTGCTGCAGGGTCTGTTGGCTGCCCGCGCCCGTTACCTGCCGACCACCGTTTACTAAATGTTGTATTTGGTGCGTTACGTGTGTAGAAATGCAATCTGTTATTTGCGTAATGGTAAAGTACTGTGTCTGCAGTGCTTGTTGTATGTTTGGTTGGTGATGATTGAACGGTAGGTGGGGGTATTTTGTTGTTGCGTGTTGTTGGCATTATTGGCATTGTAGGCATCGTTGGCATTGTGGGAATTGTGGGCATTGTGGGCATTGTGGACATTGTGGGAAGTGTTGGCATTGTTGGCATTGTTGGCATTGTGAGTGTGGCGGGCTTTGCAGTGCGTTGCATGGAGGCTGTGGACCCTGTGGTGCCGGGGTTAGGACAAGGAGTAGGGTTATTTGATCCTGAGCCTGAGCTTGAGATGTGAGAAACAGCAGAGATGGGACGCGAAAAGGCAAGGCCGAGGTTAATGAGAAAGTCAGAGAGGTGAATTAGAGGGTCGACAGCTACGCGGTGATAGTATTTGCGGAGAGTAGCTATTTTTTGGCTGTGATTGCGTTTATGACTGTGGCTGTGGCTGTGGCTGTGGCGACGTGCAGAAGGGAGCATTGGGTCTGTGTTGTCATTATCATTATCATTATCATTATTATCATTATCATTATTATCGTCATCGACATCAACATCATCATCATCATCATTGTCACCATCATTACCTTCATCTTCATCTTCATCTTGAATACGGCTAGCTATTATCCTGGGTCTACCTTGTTGAGAGTGTGTATGAGATGTGCGTTGATAGAGTCTTTTGTTTTGGTTAGTAGATGAAGAAGAGGAGGCTAAAGTGAGGTTCGAATGGTGTGATGTTTGAGAAGATTGTGGAGTTGTTTTTTGTAAAGTGTGTAGAATGAGCCTCTTACCAGAACTACTGCTACCAGAACTACCACCAGAATTGTTGTTGTTGCTTGTTGATGAAAATCTAACTACCGTGGATTTTTTATGCTTTGGGTCATCGTATTCTTCGTCTGTGGAATGATAATCGTGTGGACCAAAAAGAGCATCTTCTTCAAAGATTTGACGGCCGAGAATTCCATTTTTTTCTCGATGACGTTCAAGTTTATCTGACCGTTCAAACCATTCCCAAACACCAATGATGGAGACTGCGGTAGTGACCCAAGAAACGGCATCAGACCATTCAATGACCCAAACGTTGGCAAGGTCTACAATGAAGAGGACGAGAGAGGCTGCGGATGTGAGAATGGCAAAGAGAGTTATGGGCAGCATATCTGGTCCAAGGACGGAATGGTAATGGGTGATTGCGTAGTAGCAAGTGCAACAAAGGAAGAGGACAGCTAAGGCTATTTGGAAGAGATAGGCAAATGCTGGGAGAGCCGAGTCAAGAATGTTTTTGTGGAAGACAGAAATCCCCCATATGGATTGGCCTACCACTGTGAGAGAGCCTCCTATCCAAAAGACAATACGTTTTTCCTTTTTCCGAGAAAAGAGGAGCATTGTTGCTTGGACTTGAGCAAGATAGAGGATGGTATTGAAGGCGAGGTTGAGACCGTACATTGCAGGATGTCTTAGTGAGCGTCGGAGAGCGGCAGCATTTTGGTATCCGTAAGTTTTGTATTGGTTGTAAAGGATAGCCATGGAGACTGCAGTGATTGCAATGAGGTAAGCAGTTGAGACTACTAGAGCTAGTTTGAAGAGGGGTGGACGGGAGGACCATTGGAAGCAGAGGACTAGGATAGATAGGAGGAGACATATTGTTGTTGAGATGGCAATAGAATAAATGTAAGGGACAATGCTGAGAGAGAATTTTCCTTGAGAAGAAGCAGTCCAAGCTGCCCAGTCTGAGTCGAAAGCGGCGACGATATTTGGAGTATTGCGATAAGCGGGTGGGCGTTTGATTTGGACGGGATGGCCGTCTATGCAGGCAGCATTGTATAGTAGGATATGAGTTTGAATAGGGAGGTGAAGAGAAGATGACTGAGAATGTTGAGAAGACTGGGTAGGGTATATGATTAAATTTCTGTCTATATCGATGATTGTTGAAGCATCTATTAGAAGGGTTCCTGTGGAAAGGGCGATTTGACTGCATGCGCTATTATGATAGTCTGTTGACTGAGCTTCTCTCCAAATATCGTATCTTGGGAGAAGGATTTGTAGAGTTGGAGTTGGAGTTGGAGTTGGAGTTGGAGTTAGTGTTGGTAATGGTAATGGTAATGGTAATGATAATGGAGTTGGTGATAGTGTTAGTGTTAATGCTAATGTTGGAAGAGTATGTTGGAAGTGGTTTGCCAAGACAACTGGAAGGCAGAAGAAGAAAAAGAGGAAGTTAAAGAAGTTAAAGAAGTTAATGGTGATTATGATGAAATGAAAGAAGGATAAGAAGAAGTTTGAAGGGCGACTTTTGTAAGTGGCAGCCACCAACATGCAGGGATGGATATTTTTAAGAACCGGTTTTTTTTTTTTTTTTTTATTTATTTATATATATATGATAAGAAAAATAAAAGAAATAAAAGAAATAAAAAAAAACATAAGAAGAAGATTGGTTTAAAATTTATTTTATTTTATTTTTTAATTATTTTATAATTATTTTTTAATTATTTTTTAATTATTTTTAATTTTTATTTGCTGAGAAAAAGCCAAGAAAGGGTTGAGTGGGGAGGAATAAATAAAAATAAAAAAATAAAAAAATAAAAAAAAGAAGAAAGGAATTAAATGATTAAATGATTAAATGATTAAATGATTAAATGATTAAATGATTGAATGATTGATTGTGGTGGTTAAAAAAAAAAAATAAATAAAAAAAATAAATAAAAAAATAATAATAAAAAATACTCAAAAAGCCAAAGTTAAAGCCAAAAAAAAAAAAAAAAAAAATTTAAAGATTTTTTTTAAATTTTTAAATTTTATTTTATGGTTAAACAAAATTTAAAATTGAGGTTTAATATATGTTTATATTATATATAAATAAATAAAATATTTAAGTATGTATGACATTACATTTATATTATTACAATTATTATTGTAATAATATGTTTTATTTATTTTAAATATTTATATTATATTATAATAATAATAATAATAATAAAGATAATCAAATACTTTCCTATCTAAGAAGTTATAAATTAATTTTATTTAATTATTTATTAATCATTATTAATTAATTTAAAAATAAAAACCAGCCTAGTTTTCTTTTTTATTTTATTTTATTTTTTTTTATAAAATTCTAATGTGACATTACATTATACAATTGTAACAAATCCAATTTATTTTATTTTATTTTAAATTTATTTTATTTTATTTTAAATTTATTTTTTTAAAAAAAAAAAAAAAAAAACCTCCTCCTCCGTTTAATTGCCAGAAATTAAAAAATTAAAAAATTAAAAAATTAAAAAATTAAAAAAAATTAAAAAATAAAAAATTTCCATCTTTTTAACCCCCCTTAAGAAGAAGGAAAAAAAAAAAAAAAAAAAAAAAAATTAAAATATAACAAAAAATTTTTTTTTTTTTTTTAAAAAAACCTTTCAAATGACAAATATCAAAATCCCAGCGGCTTTCAAGTTTATTCAAAATGATGCCTCTATAAGATCTCTTCAATCTCCTTCAACTCCTCCTCCTCCTTCTTCTCCTCAATCACAGTCACAGTCACAATCACAATCATCAACTCATATCTTCCTACATAAAGCTCGATCATCTCCAGCTTTATCCCCAAAAGCAACAACTTCTCATCATCTACAACAACAACAACAACAACAACAACAATCATCATCATCATCATCACCACCACCATTACCATCTGCAATCCCTTCTTTTATAGACCAACAACCTCCATACCCCAAATCTTTAGCCTTACTTAAACTACCACAAGATAATCGCTACTCAAACGCTTCTTCTTCAACTACTTCTTACTCTGATAGAAGCTCTGCTAGTAGCTCAATCTCTCATCCTCATCATTTACTAAAATCAACCACTACAACAACAACAACCACATCAACAACCTCTACAACTTCTACAACTACTACTACTACAACCCCTCCAGATGAAACTTGCTCTCTCTCAGATTCTCTCACTTCAAAAGACCTCGCAGAAGATATCATCTCAGCCTACTCAGACCAACCACAATCATCACAACAACCTTCACAACAACCATCTCAACAAGAAGAAGAACAAGAAGAACAACTACCTCAATCAATGCCTCCTCCAAAATCAAATTCAGACCCTTCCAGGGATCGCTACGGTTTCAAAAAACAATCATCCTACATTTCAGAACAAGAATACAACGCTTGGTGGGAAACATATTACCCCCACCTCCAACGTCGCAAAAAAAAATGGCTCGCTTTAATGAAGGATAATGGACTTTCTGTAGACCACGATCAACCACAACGATTCCCTCCTCCTTCGGAAAAACTAAAACGGTACATCCGTAAAGGTATCCCCTCCGAATGGAGAGGAAATGCATGGTTCTTTTACGCAAAGGGCTCAGAAAAACTCAATGCTAATAAATATGTCTACAATAAACTCTGCACTCAAACTGCTACCCTTAAAAACTCAGATACTGATATCATTGAGCGCGACTTGTTTAGAACTTTCCCTGATAATATCCATTTCCGCATAGACCAAAATGACCCAGACCTTAAAGAACCTGTTCTCATCACCACCCTTAGACGTCTCCTCATTGCATTCTCTGTCTACCAACCTAAAATCGGCTACTGTCAAAGTCTCAACTTCCTCGCAGCTCTCCTCCTCCTCTTCATGGACGAAGAAAAGGCATTTTGGATGCTAGTAATCATCACTCAAAGATACCTCCCAGGCGTTCACGAAGTTAATCTAGAAGGCGTCAACGTTGACCAAGGTGTCCTCATGCTTTGCACTCGAGAAGCCCTCCCTAAAATGTGGAACAAAATAGCAGTAAACTTTGATGGCTCCCATGACCCAAATATGCTTTCCAAACTCCCCCCCATCACCCTCTGCACTGCAGCCTGGTTTATGTCTGGTTACATTGGAATTTTCCCCATAGAAACTGTTCTTCGTGTTTGGGATTGCTTCTTCTTTGAAGATTCTAAAACTTTTTTCCGCATTGCTCTCACCGTCTTCAAATTGGCTGAACCTGATCTTGAACCCCTTCATGATCCAATGGAAATCTTCCAAGTCATTCAAACTTTCCCTAAAAAAATTATAGACCCAGGAATCCTTCTTGGAACTTGTTTTAAGCGCCGTAATGGGATAGGCCATATTTCTCAAGATGAAATTAAAAAAATGCGCGAGTTTGTGCGAGCTAAACGTCAACAAGCTTCCATAGAAGCCCTTAAACAACAGCAACAACAATTCATCCCAATGATGCACCACCAAAAATCTGCAACTGCCCTTCCACTCCCTCAAAATCAACAACATGATTTACAACAACCTGACCCTGAATCACCTCCATCCCTTCAACACTCAAAATCTACAAGACTCGGCCCAAAACGCCGTAGTAACACCGCTGCAACTTCTTCACCAACACCTTCCCAAAAGGACCCCCCATGTAACGACCTCGAGGAATATCTCCACTACAAGCACCCCCACGGTCGCTACTCCAATTTTACAAAGCGCATGAAGTCTTTAAAGATTTCCTCTTCTCATACAACTAGTAATGTTTAATTAATGTACAATAGATATACCAATCTTGTAAAATGCATAACAATTTCTTGTTTTTTATTTTTATTTTTATTTTTATTATTTTTATTTTCCCTTCATTTTATTTTTACTTCATTTCATTCAATCAAGATCTTCATGAATTGGCTCACCGCCTGCTAAAACCCATCCACGCTTGAGCCGTGCAACAACCTCGCCTGCTTTTCCTGCACCGACCCTAGATGCAACAACGCTTGCAACTGCTTCCCACACAGTTTCCGGCAGGTTGTCATCATCTCCCGTCCCCACCTTTTCATTTTCCTTTATATCTTCTCCCTTTTCTTCCTCTCCCTTAACTTGTTCTTCTTGTTCTTCTTCTTTCTCTTTTAGCTCAGCTGTGCCCTCAGCAGGTAACACTGCAACAAGCGAAACCTCTCCCAAACCTTCACTTACCTCTCCTACACTATGAGCATCAGAAACAACCTTGCCTCGCTTCAGTAACCGCACATCTGCAGCACACACCCGTGCATCAACTGCAGTCGCAGCCACTGCGGGATCAGCAAGTAATTGTTCCTTGACGCGGAACAGAGAGTCTGTGGGTGCCGCCGTCACAGTTGCAGTAAACTTGTGTGGTGCGCGTAAAGATTTGACAGTTATGGTGACGGCACCGTCAACAGAAACTGGCAACGAGGAACTGGAGGGAGGCTGTGTGATGGAAGAACGAAGTTTGGGCATCTTGGACAAAAGAGTAGGTGATGGTGCTCCCGCAAGACTAGTAGTATCCGCAGATACACCCACAGAGGAGTTCTTGAGAAGTACCAGAAACGCTTTTGAGAACGTGAGCTCAGAGATGGAAGGATTCCATCCGGCAATTACAGCTGCTGACATTTTGAATGTTTGTGTGTATGTGTGTATATGTATATGTATTTTAAAAGACCCGGTGGATCTGACGATTTTACATGCCAGCAAGGAAGGTTTTTGTCTAAAAGAGGGTAACCAAATGTTAATTTAATTTTTTTAAAAAAATAAATAAAAAACTAAGTTAATTTAACAGTTCACTAAAATGTACTATAAAATGACAGTCCTCTTTGAAAGGAGCAATGAACACATTTCTATTTTTATGTTTAAGTGTGTTTAGGTGGAAAAAGCAAAACACACTTGATTAGAATGTTTCTGACTCTCTTGGCATCTCTATTAACAGAGATTTCACATTAATCACAACAGTTAACAAAATAATTTAGTCAGAAATAATTTGGCTTTTACTGCCCCACAATTGGTGCCTATTTTGCTGGTGTACTCTTCACTCAACCCAAAGAGTCGTGATGTATGTCAATCGGCACTTGAATTAAAGACGCTGATAAAACAAGTAGTGTAAACTTATTATCAAATTTTCATTCATATCATTGTTTTTTTTTGCCAATACTAACTAATTCTTAGGTTTCGAATGACAACAGTACTATGATTTTGTATTTAGTAGTAAGATATTTAATGATTTGGTAGCTAATAGTGATTGTTTGTCACTGTGTTTGTGTTTTTTTTTATATAGTATTTAGAACAATGTTTGGTTTTTCAGCAGACTGCATCACTGAAATCTTCTCCATCAACTCTGTGATTTTCTCCATATGAAAAATCAAATTAAATACATTGCCATCTGTTGAGTGACCTGTCAAGAGGTGCATATCTCCAAAATCACGAGCTTCAACATTCTTTCTTTCATCACTTTTCACTTCCCTTTTCCACTATTAGAATTAAAAGATGTAATTCCTTTATCATAATGCAGCTTGAAATTATGCTTTATTTCAATTGATAACACCTTTTTCCCCTATTTCTTCCCTATCTTAAACTTTGACACATTTGTAATATCAGGAAATATCTTGCAGAATTTATCACCCTTTTGTATTTAACTGAGGATTCCACAAACCCAATATACTGACTGGATTGTCTTTTTTTTCTTTGGAAACCAATTCTAAACTTCTCGTTATTTCCCCTAATTAAGTTGGTGAAGACACTCTCAAAGTTTTTGTATGCTTCCTTTACAGCAGACAGTCTTATTTCGTTTAGTATATCAATACCATAGCTTTCAAGTTAAGCTTTTCAATCTATTTGGTTCAATTGCCTTCAATATTTGCGATATCCCTTGAGGATAAACAATCGTGTGGCATAAATAAAGCCTGGTACATTTTCAGGGAAATGCAACACCATTTGGGTCTTAACAAGTTTTCTTTTTGGGTTTTCGAAAACAAGAGAATTTAAAGTGAATAAAAAAAATAAGGTATCAAAAACTAGTTTCAAAGACTTTTTTTTTGTCATGTATGCAGAATATAGTCATAGGTTAAGTTCCAAAGATTAAATTAAATTATGCTATTTTTGCGCGCGAAATGTGTCAATCATACAGATGGCGCAGAGTTTGAGATTCTATTTTATCCCGGCTTGTGTGTACCTGGGAAAGAAAAAAAAAATAAAAACTAAGTCAGGCTTTTAATTTACTTAAACCAACTCTATCAAATGAAACCCAAAAAAATGAACGGTGCGGATATCAAATCAAAAAAAAAAAAAAAAGAGTAAGTTTTCACTGTGAGTTTTCTAACAAAAAATCAGGTAACGATTTTATTCTTTTTTCCGTGTATCAAATTCGGTAAATTTTCCAACTGAAGAATCTTTTTTTTTTTAAAAAAAAACAAGTTTCTGAAAAAAAAAAAAAAAAAAATTTGAATCAATTGGTTTAGACAACGGATCATAGTTGAGAAACCGTTTTGTTGTTGATGCAGATAACAACGGTTTTTTTTTTTTTTTTTTTTTAAAAAAAAAACCCCGCGCATTGCATGATATAAATTTGTCTATTATCTGTTTTTAGAATTGTGGAAAGAAAAGAAAAATAAAGACTGTTGTTGTTTCACAACTCTAAAATAACAACTTTTATGAATTTATTCCTTAATGTATCACTTAAAAAAAAGCCCATTTGACTTAGATTCAAAATGACCTACCGTTCTTAAATCTAATCCGTTTTGAAATCTCTAAAAAAATAAAGATGTATTTATAGACCTTTTCAAAAACTACAAAAGGCGATTTGTTTCCTTTAAATTTTTATTCTTTTATTTTTTATATTCCTTCTACAATATAATAAATCTTACACTACATCTAGACTCAAAACTTTCCAAAAAAAAAAAAAAATGAAATCTACCATCGCTTTTCTATGCTCTCTTTCCTCGCTTGTTGCCTCCCAATTGACTGGTCTTCAGACTGACACGCCTTTTGGTCTTGTTGCTATTCGATCTGGGTCTGATATCCAATATAGTTCGCCAATCCTGGAAAGTGACAAGCTTATTTTCTCTCCAGAAAGCAGCTCCTACTTGACTTTTTTGTTTTCAGCAGACGGTTCCGTCAAACTGGAAGATTCTTCCAGCTGGCTCAGCATTGGTGATTCCAATGTTTTAGACGTTTCATCTTCAGCCTCCACAAAGTTTTCAGTCAGCGACTCAAACTACTTATCTTTTGACAATGGCAAGTCCGCCTTCCTTGCTGTCCCCAGAGCCCAAGATGGTTACTATGATATTTATGCTAGAGATTGGATTTCTACCGATGGTAACAATACAATCCCATTTGCCTTTAGTGTCCAGTATAATAATGATACTATCGCCGATTCTACAAATGACTCTGAGACTGATGACACTTCCACAGAAGACGATGAATCTGATGATTCTACCGAAGATTGGAGCGACGATTCTGGTGATGACTTGGACGATTCCGGTGACGATTCCGGTGACGATTCCGGTGATGATGACTCTGGTGATGACTCTGGTGATGATTCCACTGACGATTCCACTGACGATTCCACTGACGATTCCACTGATTCCACAGATAATGACTCAGAAGAGACCGCTCTTTACATCACTTCCAACGTTTCTACCAGTGACCTGGCAGCATTGACCACCTCTGCTACGTTCTCCACCTCTGTTGGCGCTGTTACTGCTTCCCCAACTAACAACGTCACCACCTCGACCACCTGTTCATTCTCCACCGTTGCTTCAACCTCTGCTGGTAGCACAAACAACAACACGGGTATCACTACACCTACCTTTGTCTCACCTAGCAGAATTTCATCCTTAACACCAGTGGCTACTGTTCCACTGTACACTTCCTCTTCTCTTCTTCAGGTCAACGGAGCAGTTATGTCAGACACCGTCAGTGGTATCACGGCGTTTGTTCTTGCCGGTTTGGCTCTTCTCTTATAAATCAACCTTTAATATCTTAGAATTTCATAATTTGTAATAAAATGTTTTTTTTAATTGAAAATAACAATAGTTCTGTTAAACCCCATGTTCCATTGCCTGTTTTAAAGAGTCTACCCCATCTAATAAAACTGTGGTGCGGCTGGCATTTTAAAAGTATTAAGTTCTAAGTTTCACTCCAGTAATTTACTTGTTTGAAGGTCAGATCCCATTGGTCTTCTAAAGCTATATCGTAGCTAAAGACATGGCAGAACTAAGAGCTTCTTGGTTCAAAGATTCACCATCTTCTTGCTCCCTTTTCCGCCTATCACGCTCCCATAATGCTTGTTGTCGTTTGAACCAAGCTGGAAGGTACTCTGTGGGTGGTAGCAGTACAACCACGTGGCCCTGGCCAGAATGGCCACCTGGAAATGTGCTTCCTTCCGAGTCATACACGGCCGCCGAATCCTCGCGAGACAACACGTTAGAGTAATGCTCGCGTGTCATGGTCGGTACAGGGCTATTACTATTGTTGACCAGAGATGCAAAGTTGAGAGACGGAGATGTTGCAGAAAAAGACCTACTGCGTGGCGTAGCAATCCCACTCGGTGAGCTGACAATGGCAGCAGCTGCCGCCGCTAATGAGGTAGATGACGGTGAGCGAGAAACTAAAAGAGCAGATGACTGCGATGGCGAAAGAGTTGCTTGAGAGGCCGCAGCACTGGGATTGGAGCTGGCAAGCATGGCGTGTGAAAGAGATGGAGATGCGGTTGGGGTCTGAGTGGCTGCTACGGCTGCTGCTGCAATGGCTGCATTGGCCATACCTTCGATAGACTGCCTTCGTGTCAGCGCCTCAGTATGGTCCATGTATTTAATATCAAGAAGCTCGAGAAAAAGCTCCGTCATGTAGTGTGGCTTGCCGCCAGAAAATGCGCGGTACTCAGAAAGCACCGAGGAAAAGTTCCAATGTTGAGCGCGTCGAAGCGTGCCGATAAAGGCATTGGTAGCGTCAAGCACAAGCACTGGGTGGTTCCGGGTATCTAAAACAAACGTCAGAGCGTCCATAATTAGTTCATGAGAAAGAACCATCCATTCAGCAGTGGCTGCTGATCTCCATGGTCGTAATCCCATATGAACAAGATCGATATTTCGTTCTGCAGCATATGACCGGACAACCTTGGGTGGCCGGTTGAGGTTCAGAACAATGATGGAGTGAAGTCCCAGGGTGTCTAGAAATGCAAAATGGAAAGGATCAATCACTGCACATCGATAGATTCCGGATTCAACGGTTCCGAAAGCTTCAGGAGGGGTCAGCATAGTATCTTTGGGGTAGGATGTTATAAAAGTTGGTGGTAGAATAAGTATTCCCAAAACATAAAAAAAAAATAAAATAGGAGCTTCTGTCCGCGATTCGCCCACCACTAAAATTTTTATTTTCTCAAAAAAAAAAGAGACTTTTTTTTCACCTAAACTTTTCAACCACTCCCAATCCATTTATTTCATTCTTAAAACTGGCTAGAAAGCCAACTTTTTTTTAACCAACCACCCTCCACACACATTTCTCATGCGCCCGAGCAGCCGAGGTCCACATATTGCCCGGTGGTGCTACAGTAGAAATAGTGGTGGCCGGTCCGTCGAGACCTGGATCAAATCTACCCCAGCAGCATCTCCGGGCCCTCCAAGAGCTTTTCAACGATGCTCCCACAAGCTCGCCATTTCGCAAATGTGGAAGTCCCTGCACCGGGCTCAGTACCAGGACTTTTACACCAGCCCTGAAAAGCTTGTTTCCACTGCCGAGTATTACCGCACGCACACCCAGTCGTCTTCAGATCCATACAGTAATCTTTTTGACCGGGACTTGGCCCGCCAGCTCTTTGTATTTGAAAACTCCCCCAGCAATTCTACTACTGTGGTTTCTCCAGGCGATCTTGTAGAATGCATCACCAGAGATGGCGCGGAAATAGCCTTTGGTGTTGTCGTGGCTCGAATGCCTCTGCAATCCCAGGTTCTCATCTACAATCTTGATGGCACACTCTCGAAATACCCCATCTCCAGTATACATCTTCGCATTTTGCAAGTATTTGATCCAGCAATACTATTGACAATCTTTTCTAAAGAAATTAACAGCCTTGTTGAAGTGAAGGGCGATCCTAACAAGTCCTTTTTTTCGTCAACCCCATCAATAACCACCGTTGAAGAAACACCCAATCCCCCCACGTTACCAAAAACTATCAAACTATCTCTTCCGAAATCAACATACACTTATACACTACTCACTTTACTAAAGATGATTATTCGCGCTTCATTGGAATCTTACGAGGGCGGGGCTCTCAGCAGCGCATTCCCTGTAGTCTACGCACACGCCTCGTCTGGTCCCGTGCGAACTTTCCCATTGAATCTTCTTGCTCATAGAGCTCTCGATGCTTCTCGCAAACTTCCTCGTCCAGGATCTTCAAAAACATCTAGCGGTCTTTCTCATGTTACATCAATTATAGCGACCCACCTGTGGGTTTCCAATAGTCCGGAATATTGGTACACGTTCCCACCGACACTAAACTCCAGCGACAGCAAAAGCATAATTGACAATAGCAACAGCAGTAGCGAACGAAATTCTACCAGACATGATACTGGCGATGGAAAATGGATACCGGCGCCAACAATTGCTGTTCAGGATACCCAGTACATTATGCACGAGATTGGTGAAAAGGAATACATTTCGTTTGCACGGTACGTGCGACGGCGGATCCAAGAAAACAATAATTTACCTGTGGATGAGATTCCCGAAAAGCTTGATGAATCTGCGCTAGAAAGATTTTCCAAGTTGCTAGGGTTTCTCAAGCGCTACATTGTTTACCCTCACACTGATTGCGACCATGTCATTGATACCATCTTGAAGCAAGTTTACTCGGACATTCTCAACAAGCCGCGTGCAACGGCATTCATTGTGCACAAAATGTTGATTGATGCTGATTTGGTCGGTACGTCAAATGCATATTTAGACTCGGGACTGGTTCTTGATCACGAAAAAGGCATGATTGTTGACGAATACACTGACCGGGCACCTAGCGCTGAGAAAGCATCGTTGCTGGATCCACGGACTTTTAAATTTCAGCAAACACATCAAAAGTGGCCACAAAAAATTCCAGTATATGCCTTCCACACCAAGGACAGCAAGGCCCAATTGGCCATTTCGGTGGAAATGGACCAACCAAAATGGAAAATCCATGTGCATGTGCCTAATCTTGCAAGCTGGTATGGGCCAACATCAAGCATCATGTCTGTTGGTCTGCGGCGCGCTCGTACGGTATGGCTTCCTGAAGGTATCCGGCGCTTGTTCCCGCAGGAACTGCTGGAGCGCACTACATTTTCAAGTGACATGGAGTATATTCCATGTTTGACATTTACTGTTGAGATGGAGGGCTGGAACTCCACTTCATGGGGTGCTTCGGATGTCAGTGTTTCGCTGACAAGAATACCCAAGAGTAGCATATCCCTTTTTGCTTTAGAAGACCTGAGCAAGACAATGGGTTGGATAAAGGTTTCGTCCAATACTGTTCCTGTGGTTGATGATGTTTTTGATTTAAACCTTGATGAAGTTTTATCGGGTGACTTAAAAGATGATTTGACCATTCTCGGAGACACTGATATGCTCCATGATTCCGAGTTTTTGGAGGCACCCATGGGCATAATTCCAGCTGAAAAGCAATCAAATGAGATTGAATTGAGTCCTACTGAAAAGCAAAACCTTCAATTAATTTACGATATTTTTTCGGAAAACTATTGGAAACGCATGGAAGAAGGAAGTGCCGTTTATGAGACCGAGACGAAACAATATTTGGTGACAATTGGATCTAAGAGCAGTTCAGCAAAGCCGCAAATGATTGGCCAACCAACTGATAAGCAGATTTTTGCGTCGGACTTTTTGGTTACAGAAGGCAATATCCTTGCCGGAGAAATCGCGTCTGTGTTTGGTTCAAGAGAAAATGTTCCTCTGTTATATGAAAAGCAACAAAGACTTCAAAAGTTTGGCTTGGAAGATAGCGGGAAGCGGTTGGAACGAGAGGGTCTTGCTACAGACTTAAAAGATGTCTCTGGACAACTAACACGTGCCGGGAGGTATCTTGCAGCTTCCTCACAATATCTCGGACCTCGAGAAACCACATCTGAACCTTACCATGTACACTTTGGTTTAGGCCTGGCTGCTGGGTTTGCCGGTGTTGCACGACCATTTGATGACATGCGGCACGTCATGAACCAGTGGCAATTGACAACCACGCTGATGCGGCCCGTGGGCGAACCATGGCGCCGGCTGACAGGCCAGGAGCTGCAGCTGGTGCACGACACGCAGGTCAGTCCACGGGCGCACGCTCTGGACCAGCTGGAGGAAGTTTCTCAGCGGTACTGGGCATTACGGTGGCTGGAGCAGGAAGTATCGCGCTTTGGAGGATACTTTGTGTTTCGGTGTGTTGTGGTTGCACCTCAAAGCGCGCCCAGATCATACGAACCCCGGCCAACGTTTGCTCGGGTTTATTGTGTGGAACTTGGGTTTGAAGTGGATCTGATGCTTGTGCCTACAGAGCCACAACCTCGACAACGCAGAAGGGGGCTTTTGGGGTACTTGACTGGAGTCACTGAGGAAAAGCAAAACAAGGAGATGCCCTTTGAGGCGACGACTGACGAAGAAAAAATAGCATTGGGGTATGAAAAAATGATGGGTAAGGGGGCCACAGAACCCGAAGCTGGGACCCAGCTCAAGTCTGGAGATAGAATCATTAGCACAGACATTTTGGAGCTTGATCCGGTACGAGGACATCTAGTACTTGGAATATAGATTTTTTTGTATATATTATTTTTCTTTATTTATCTTCATTTTCTATAAAAGCTTGAGATCTTTTGTAATTTGGTCAATGGTTGATTTGGGCGCCGGGCCCAGACCTAAGACGGTCATTGAGCCTGCTGCGATTTGAGTTCGCCCAGCGTCACGGACGGTTTTCGCAGTCACGTCAAGAGAAATTGCCATGGCCTGAAGGGTAAGCAACTCCTCCTCAGAGTTTGCTTTGAGAGTGATTTTGGCCTGGCCAAGGCGCTCCCAGCGCGCCAGGATGAGAGGGTTGGTGCGCTGGATCGACTTGTAACATGCGACAGCGGCATGCGCGCACTGCGCAGCAATTTTGCCCTTGGTCATACCCAAATCTGTGCGCACTACAAGCACCATCTTGCACTCCTCAGACGAGTAAGCAAACGCGTCTGGGGGAGCATCTGGGCCCTCCTCTTCCTCCTCTTCATCGTCTTCTTCCGCAGACAGATCATCTTCATCCTCGTCACCGGTCTCTCCTTCTTCGTCATTGTCGCTGAACGAATCAGCTGATTTCGAATCTACATTGATATCGCCTGTAGATCCTGCTGCTGCCGACCCAGACGCTTGCTTGTCGCCAGATTTGCTTGTCGAGCTGGATATCGATGATGCTGCTTCTGATTTAGAATGGTGATGTCGTCGCTTGGGTTTCCGCCGACGACCGGCAATCTTTGTTGTGCGCTTGAGGTCGGAACGAAGTGCTGGGGCTGTCCACAGACCAAGCAAAAACCCGGTAAGACCCGTAATGGCAAGAGTCCCAAGGATCGTAGGAGACGATAATAGATCGGCAGCCAAAATACGATTGGCAGTCATTATGCTTAGATGAATATTGGTGCAAATTAATTATAATTAATTATGTGCGTTGTGGTGGTAAATATATTAGGGGGGGAGGGTTTTCAAAGATTTATATTTTATTTTTGTGTGATGATTATTTTGAGAGATGAAATTTTTTAGGAGTCCCACAAAAAGGGCACAAAAAACAGCCCGCCGTGCTAGCCACTTTGTTACAAAGGTTTCTCAAGTTGTAACAAAGGCAACATCTGGTCGGGTTGCCGGAGCTCAGAGTCGGGTCTTTTCTTCTCATCGGTCGGGTTACAACAATATAACAGTATCAACAAGTGAAAAATATTTACTGCTTTAATAATAATTGTCATTTTTGTTTCACCCTAACACCTGCAAGCTGCTCTTAATCTTCTTTTTCTTCCCAGAAGACCCCTTGGTCACACCAGAGGCTGGTGCTGCACGAGGAGGCTCCAGCCCGAGCTTCTTGGTAGCATTGCGTGCATTGATGGCAGAACGCGAACTTTTAGAATGTGACGCTGCTGCTGCTGCAGTTGCTGCATCTCGCTTTTTCCGAAAGTCCCGCCATTGTTTGACACGCGTGTCTCGTGAATCCTCCCACGCACGGTCCTGCTCCCGCTTTAACCGTCGTTCCTCTACCTCGCGCTCATGCTCCCGTTTTAAACGGCCTTCCTCTTCAAGCTGTGCTTTTGCCCGCTTGCGCTTGCGTAGTTCAGTCTCTACAAGAACCTCCTGGGTCTTGCGTCGCCAGTCTACAAGAAACTCGTCCGATGTCAAGCGTGGGTCATGGATTGTCCATCGGCGTTCACGAATAAGAATCCGGCGAGCATCTGTAAATGCAGAATCTAATGCAGTCCGTGTTTCTTCATCAGCCAATGCAGTCTCGGCTTTTTTAAGTCTATCGAAAGCATCTGGGGCCCTAGGGTTCTTGGTTCTATCGGGATGGATCAATAAAGACTTTTTGCGATAAGTGTTTTTAATATCACTGGGAGAAACACCTGGCTGAAGATCAAGAACTGAGTATGCATCTAAAGGAAATGCATTGAGAATCCGATCAATCTCAGAATCCTTGGTGTGTTCAGAGGCTTCTTTGGCGAGCAAAGCATCAACGTCGTCAGACATGGTTGGAGAGAAAAAAAAAGTTGCCGTTGTGGGTGGGAGTGCTAAATTTGGTTTGTGCCCAAATTAAAAAAAAATAAAAATAAAAAAATAATAATAAAATTGGCCTTGGGATTTCTGAAATTTTACAACCCAACATACAACAATGGCCAGCGAAACGTAAGTATTGAAACACCCATTGATTTACCTTCATTGAATTAACAATCTAGCGTTTATTTAAAAAACTTAAATGAAAGGATCAAGATAGATCGTTTGAAAACAGAGCTGCAACATCGGTGCGCCAAATATGGTACAGTTTTAACAATTGTTGCACGCAACACACTGCGCACGCGCGGCCAGGCATTTGTCGTATTTTCAAGCGCAGAAGAAGCTGCCATTGCAGTCAAGGCTCTTCACAAAGGGGCACTTTTTGGCAAGCGTATGATAGCTGTGTTATCACGCTCGCGCAGTTTTGCTGCAGCTGACGCGCTTGATCCTACGGGTGCTGAAGAATACAAAGCATCTGTACGCGAAAAACGAGCCAAACGCAAGGAAGAAGAAGAACAAGAAAGGAAACAGGCAAAGCATGCTGCAGAAGGCGCAGAAGGCCCACTGTCGAAACGGAGGCGAACAGAGGAAACTGCAGGAGGCCGGCGGGGTGGTGCCGGTGGAGGCGGGAAAGAACGAAGCATGCCTCCAAACAAGATTCTGTTTTTGCAAGAGCTGCCACCAGGTGTGCAGGCCGCGCCGTTGGAGGCTGTTTACGACAAATATCCTGGCTTTTTGGAGGTTCGTTTGATGGCTGTGCGACGATTAGGCTTTGTGGAGTTTGATACGGAAGAGCATGCTGTGGTTGCACGCGAAGGCACACGCAGTTTGGTGCTTGAAGGGTATCCAGTCAAGGTTACATATGCAAAGAAGTGAAGAAAGGAATAGATTATTATACGGTACTATATACAATAAAAAAAAAACGACAAAAGGAAAGAAACTAGTCGTAACCACCGAAAATAACATGGCGGATGGCAGTCAGCATGGGTGTCTTGGGTTGCCCCGGGGCCAGCTCGCGGCAAAGACGCTCGTAGTAGATGGGATTTGATACAGGGCGAAGCAGACGGTCTGTAACAACAAAGGAGTTTTTGTTTGTATTCTTCTGAAGAGTGTCAGCAGCACGAGCACGGACCGCCAGGGCCTGAGCATTGAGTGAAGACTGGGAACCAGCCAACAGAGTCTCGTAACGTTCAACGCTAAAGTCGCGGAAAGAAGCGTAACGCTTGAGTGAGTCAGGAGTCCATTTCTGGAAGGTGGCCAGCAGAGACTTGATGCTGGTGGTTGTAGGGGGATAGGCAGCCATTGGAGTGGAGGTGGTGGTGGTGGTGATGATGATGATGATGATGATGGATTGGAGGTTTTGGAATTTGATGGAGGGGTTTTTTTTTTTTTTTTTTAATTTTGGGAAAATTTTTAAGCCCTGCCACCACAAAAATTAAAAAAAAATTAAAAAAATTAACGGGTAAGCGAAAAATAACAATCTAGGATTTGACCACCTAACAAACATTGAACCAACAATAAACAAATGTGTGCTGCAAAGACCCGCGCAACAAAAAGACAAGCTCCTGCAGCTGACCCCGATACGCCAGCAAAGAAAACACGACGGGCCACTCGTACAAAGGAGGAACCGACTGAGGCTGTAGAACCTGCAGAGCCTGCTCGGCGGGCGACGCGTGGTCGCAAGCCCGCAACAAAGCTAGCTGACGCGCCGGGTCTTGCACCGGAGCACGAAGAAGACGTGGCATCATCACCCAAAAAGTCACCTAATAAAACCCCAAGAAAAGCCAAAGAGCCACAAAAGAAGACACCTAAAAAGTCGCCAAAGAAGGCATCAAAGTCTGTGGTTGAAGAGCAAAAGCCTGAGCAACCAGAACCTACAGAAGAATATCCAGAGGAACATCCAGAAGAACATCCAGAAGAACATCCAGAACAGAAGGTTGAACCTGAACAAACACAGAGTCCCATAAAAGATACCCAAAACAAACCTACCCCAGTATCACTACCACCGGCTCCAGCATCTTTGCCGCCTGCCCCTCGTGCTACTATTGCAGGTGTTCCTACTGTTACTACTACGACTACTACATCCTCTGCACCTTTGGAAGCCTTACCGCAGACAATTATTGGTGCCCCAAACTGCACGCTCTATCTTAACAATCTGAATGACCAGGTGACTGCTGATGTTCTGCGGCGGACCTTGTATGCTGCGTTTTCGCCGTACGGACATGTTGTGTCTGTGAATGCGAGCAAGGCCAAGGGTATGCGTGGACAAGCATTTGTTGCTTATGGTGGTGTGAATGCAGCAGCAGCAGCAGCGCGCGCCATGCAGGGTGTCGAGGTGCTGGGGAAAAAGGTACAAGTGCAATATGCGCGGACCAAGGCACATGCGGTTGCAAAACTTGATGGGACATTCCGTGCGGTTGCTCCACAGCAATCTGGTGCTGGGTCATTGACGACTGCTCCCTCTTCTGCTGTTTTAAATCAAGAAATTAAGTATGAAGAAGACAGTGATATGGAAGATGTATAGTGGAATAGATTAATAAAAAAAATAAAAAAAAATAAAAATAATTGAATTTGGATTAAATTGAATTGAATTGAATTGAATTGAATTGAAAGTTTTAAGGAACGTATTCGGGGATGTCTAAAGAGACTACTCGACCAAAAGTTTGGAGCCAGCGGTACATTGTAAGTACAGGATCTGGAGATTCAATTATTTTAAGTAGATCCTGGGTTGCACATGGATGAAGAAAAAAGACTGGAAGTCCAGTGTAAGGATGGATGCCTTGAGAAAGTGCAGGCAAAGTTTTATTGATTTCATCTGCGTATGGTTCTGGCACTAGTTCTGCAATGATATCTTCTGGATCTGTAAGGAAGGTATCTTGGGGAAGTGTGTTGAGGTCAATTGAGTTGCAGTCAGTGTCGTCATCAGTATATGTATTGTTGTCGTCTGTGGTAGTGTCTGGAACTCTTGTAACTGAAAAATAGAGTACAGGGATTTCAGGGTCAGCTGTCCATGGAGTGACTGAGTAAGATGTGATTACAAGACATTGTGGGTTAGTTTTTGACTTGCGTGTTTGTTTGATAGTGAAGAATGGTATGTTAGGACCTTGTGGCCAACTGAGAATCGTTTCAGATGATGCCTTGAGGATTGCTGTGTAAAGATTATAATAGATGGACATGTTGTGAGAGCTAATTAGCAAAAGTATGTTTAGAGATAAAAAAAGAAAAAAAAACCATTTTAAATAAAACAAAAGTTAGATTAACTAATTTTTAATGTTTTAGTTGAAATGTTAACGTTGTTGTTGTTAACATTTTTTTTTAATTTTCCAAGTCGATCTAACATTTTCCGGAACCAAGGAGCCGACATATTCACGTGATCATAAGGTGACAAAAAAAAAGACAGCCTATGGGCGTGCAGTTGTTAGTAATGGATTACCCTACCGGTTGTGGGGCTCAAAGCCAGGCACGCGGTACGGCGGCCAATCAGCGCACACACGATTACCAACGGCTGCAACAGCAACGGCAAGTTGGCCGGGGGAGCCGAGGGGTTTTGCTGGAGGAGGGGGAGAGGTGGTGGAGGTTGACAGGCGGGCAGCGGCCCAGCATGAGAATTGCAGAAAGTCTGGCTGGTGGTGGTGGTGGTGGATGTGGTGGGGGGGGGGGAGGGGGGAGGGAGATTCTTTGGTTATTTTTTAATTCTTTGCAAGAGAAGTTATTAGTAGTTAGAATCTGGTAGTCAATGCGTTAGTATGGAGTGGGTAATTATAATATATAGGAGGAGGGCCGTGTTGTGGTGGGCTTCTTCCTACATACATACATACATACATTAAAAACTCTCCCTTTGAGAAGGAACAAAAGCTGGCTGTCTGGCTGGCTGGCTGACCACGAAAATACTGTCCATATAAAAAAAAAAAAAAAAAAATCTTTAGACATATATATATTTTATTTTTCTGTCTCCCCCCAGAATTTTTTTTTTTTATTTATTCTTCTTTCCCTTCCTCTCTCTCTCTCTCTTTTTTTTTTCCCTTCCTTTCTCTATATATATACATATATATCTCCATCTATCTACTATTCCACTCAACACTCTTCCCTCATTCATCAACACATATACACATATCACAATGATTACTCCAGCCCTTAGACTCATGAGAGCTCCTGCTGCTCGTACCATGGCCACCGCTGCCACCACCAAGGCCCCACGCATCAAGAAGTTCCAAATCTACCGATGGAACCCAGACACCCCCGAAAAGAAGCCCGAGCTCAAGACTTACGAGGTCAATCTCAGCGATTGCGGTCCCATGGTTCTCGACGCTCTGCTCAAGATTAAGAACGAGCAGGATGCTACCCTGACGTTCCGCCGATCATGCCGTGAAGGTATTTGCGGTTCCTGCGCCATGAACATTGATGGTAACAACACTCTTGCATGTCTCTGCCGTATTGACACCAACCTGTCCAAGCCCAAGAAGATCTACCCTCTCCCTCACATGTTTGTCGTCCGTGACCTTGTCCCTGACTTGACCCATTTCTACAAGCAATACAAGTCCATTGAGCCCTACCTTCAGCGTTCTGAGGTCCCTGCCGATGGCAAGGAGAACCTCCAGTCTATTGCTGACCGCAAGAAGCTTGACGGTCTTTACGAGTGCATTCTCTGTGCCTGCTGCTCTACTTCCTGCCCTTCGTACTGGTGGAACTCTGCTGAGTACCTTGGTCCTGCCGTCCTCATGCAGGCTTTCAGATGGATGATTGACTCTCGTGATGAGCACGGTGATCACCGTCGCGATCGTCTCCAGAACTCCATGTCTCTTTACCGTTGCCACACCATTATGAACTGCTCCAGAACCTGCCCCAAGGGTCTTAACCCTGGTCTTGCCATTGCTAAGATCAAGAAGAGCATGTCCTTCACCGCTTAATTTAACGTTTTGATTGATAAAAAAAATCTTTTACATATACATAATAATAATGAGAAAAAAAAAGGAGAAAATTTAAGTATAAAATATGATGAAGCTTCCCTCCCCCGTTGATTTTTCGTGTGCAATTTCTCTCTAAATAGAAAATCTTTTCCCCACATCACGTGAATCGGCAATAAGAACAGCAGTATATATATATATATATCTATTTATCTCTCCAAGTCATTCTTTGGGAAAAGTATGTGATAATGGATGATTGTTTGAAGATGATTTAATTGTCTAATTGAAATCAAAGTAATACCAATCATTTTTACCTCTTAAAACAAAATGCCCCTCTATGCCTTAATTTTTTTTTTTTTTTAATGTTCTCACTGCGGTACTGTTCTAGCCATTATACAACCCATTTCTCCGGTCAACAGATCCCGTCTGGCGCGCTGAGATATCAGGCATATCTAATCATCAGCACGCTCATTGGCTGTGTGTTTACCACTACGCATGGTACGCACACCCGTTATTTTGATTGCGGGGGTTTTCTTTTTTTTTTTTTTTTTTTTAGTATATATATATATATATACAAGGCAAAAGTTACCCTGATTAAACAACAAAAAACTTAAATTTTTCACAATGTTACCATATATAGTTACTAAAATTATTAAGTTACCTATTAATACCTTACTGATTTATAACTTCGGATAATTTCTCGGGACTTTCCGGCGCTGACGACAAAAAAATATAAACAAAACAAAACAAAACAAAACGTGACTTTCCCGGAAAAAGCCGCAGCTACCCAAGTACCTTTCCAGAAAAACCCGCTTCAATTGAATTTTTTTTTTTTTTTTTATTTATGTTAAACTTTTGAAGCTCTCCAATTACCGCACTTGCATTGCCTTGATCTTCAATCCCTTAAGAGTATCATATACCACAAATTTTAATTTTTTTTTTTTACCACTCCCCGGTAGTATTGTGCTCCGGATCCTCGGCGAGTGAGCCTCTATAGTTATCGGTGCGCGTCGAATCTGAAAGTACCGGAGTGGTATCGAGCTTTTATTTTATTTTATTTTATTTTATTTTATTTTATTTTATTTTATTTTATTTTATTTTATTTTTGTTTTTAATGTAAATTTATTTACCTTAACAATCAGATAAGATCATGTGATTTGGAATATAGTGCGGCGGTGCAATAATATCCACTTGCACAAAATTCTGTGTTCTCCATGAAAAAAAAAAAAAAAAAAAACCACTCCGTGATAACATGGAAACTTGCTGACAATCCAAAATCTTACATTATTCCATGCAAAACTCAATTGCTATTTTTTTTTATTGACTATACTTCTGTTTCTGTTTCTATTTCTATTTTTATTTTTGTATACCAAAATTCAATGCTGTTCCCAATTAAAAAATACCACTCTAATGGAAACAAAAAATACTTGCTTGCTTGCAACCTCCTAAATCTTACATCAGATCAACTCTCTCTCATAATCACCAAAAACCATTCAAACTAAGCCTAGTGACTATTTTCCTAATAAATATGGGCCTCCAATACACTCTTGCTGTTGAAAGTCTGAATATACGTTTCCTTGGGAATCATTGATGTACTTTTCACAAGCTTAATGCAGCTGGTTTCTGGGATATCTAGAACTATTCCAAACACGTCATATGGCGAAACGTACACTTTCTCGTACCGTGTTTCTACTATTGTTTTTTTTTCTGGTATCTTATTAAACACCTCAGTCAGCTTATCCTTATTACAAAACAAATCAAAATTGGAAAACTGTAGCACAAACTCAGATGTAGTGCTGGTAATCCCTGCACCGCTCTTTAATTTCCGTTGAATGCACATATGTCTAATAAATACCATAACATCATTGTAACTAGGAGCTTGAGTCTCACTGCAATTTAATGGTACTGTTAATGCAGTTAAACAAGGACGATTGCATAAAACTGTTTGAACTTGGCTAAAATAATTTTGTGTGTTTGTCTTTAAACAGTTGCCTTTATAAAAATGTGCAGCTTGAAGGTTCACCAATTTTGGAATGAGGGAAAAAAATGGAACCAAATACATACACCCTAGTAGATCCACTTGGCTTACAATAAAATATATTTTATTATATATATATATATATATATATATAATCTTTCACATGCATCCCTTTCAATAATTTTCTGTTTTGATAACCAGCCTCAAATATACCAGTTTTGGACTAACTTCTATATTCAAAAAAAAAAGCTCAAGTTTTTCCAAAAACTCCCTTTTTTTGTTACAAATTTTTTCCCATCTTGAAAATTTAATGTGGAAATACTAAGATGTGTTACATTGCTCAACACCGTTATAGGAGAAAGATTCAAGTCAAATAGATCTTGACTGAAATATTGTTCATTAGGACATTCTTTTCACAATTTTTTAATTTTTTTTATTCATTCATAGTAAACTTACCTATAAGAAAATGTTTTCTCATGATACCCAACCATTGCTTGATTTTTACACATATACTTTGATGCCGATGAAAGTAATCGAATCTCAATTTGTTTGTAAATGAGAGAAACAACTTTTTGATGGTTGAAATTCATTTAAAAAAAAAGTAAAGTTCATCTTTTATGAATAAAAAAAAATATTGTTGACATATGTATACTTGTTAAACCTTCTTTTAAAATTCGTCATTCTTGTTTTCTCAAACATATGCTTAAAGAATTACTATTTATCCAGTTTTTAACTTGGAAAACTCTTTTAGTTGAATCAATTTGTTTTCGTAATAGATTTACCGAAAATAGTTAAATTAACAACTATATTTGTAGTTAAAAACTCTTCAAGCTAAATAAAATATTCAGAAATAGTGATTTTAAGTTGTAAGTCTAGCTTCAAAAAAATTTTTTTTTTTTGATTCTTATGAAAAATTTATGATGATCGGCTTCTCTAAGAAAAAGAATAAGAAATTAGTAAGTGACTTTAAAAAATTAATTCTCTTTTATATTAAACATTTTACTTAATATTGTCTTACTATCAGTTAACTATAATACTTTTTAAAGGACCCATGGACTAAGCAACAATCTTTCATTTGGTTGTACCCTTTTATATAAAAATATTTTATAAACCAAAAAATTTACTTGTTATAAAACAACTATAACTTTTAAAGATAAATCCGTTATTTTATTTTTTTTTTTAAAAAAAAAAGGCAATAAAAGATAAAACTTTACTTTTACTGAAACCCAAATATCGAGAAGCAGACACAGATTATTGTATTATTCAGTTATCAGATAACTACAATTGAAAACTGACCTTTAGCCGCACTAAACGACACCCAGCCAACAAACGCCTACTTCTGTGTTTTTGGTTACAACCAACTCTTATCTTAATTCTTTTATTCTAAACTCAGAATATCAATCAAATAACCGTTCATACAACAATTTTTTTTTTTGGATACTTAATCTTTTAATCTTTTAATTAATTTAGATTATTTTCCTACCACCTTAAAAAGCAATAACACTAGGATTATCAATCATGTACTGAATCTCTTCTTCCCGAAAATCATCCTTAGTTGTCCCCAAGCTGTTAAACCCTATTTCGAGCGTATCTTTTCCGTCATTTGTATACTTGGGCCAATTAGGCAATCCTCCATTGTTAACGTTTGGATCTTGGTGGTTGGCAAACGACAAGAAATAATTGATGTATGCCTTGTAAGGACCTAGGTTTAAAAACCATTGCCACACCAAATCATTTGCGTGTGTTGTCCCAAAGAACGGAAGCACATTATGTAGCGTTGTTGCAAAGTAATTGTACCGGTCTACACCTTCTGCTGCATGCAACACTCGCCGTCGGTTATTGTGATACAAAACATCTGTCAGCAAACCTGCTAGCCGCTTGAACTGGGGAGTCAGCGTATTAAGGTATCTAGTTCTGAACGGTGCTCCTTTTGTTTGATCGTTCGGGTACAAGGCCAGCAACTTTTGAATATCATTTTCTGTGGCAGATAGTAGCAAGGTTTTTGCAATTTGGTAAGTGTCAGCATCAGACATCGCCGGCAAAATTGGTGCAAATAATGTCGCTTCATCTTCCTGGTCACCAATAATAATGGGCACTTTGGCAAACTTTCTCTGATCGGTGAGTTTATGAGGTATATCCCGAATGTATTTCCCGTCTGCTCGTGGTGCCCATGTCACAAACATATCAAGAATACCAAAGTTTTCAAACACACTAAACGTATTCATGGCTCGATCCAATTCTTGAGTTGACTTTCCCCGCAAACACGACATGGTATCTTTATCACTTCGGTTATCGCATTCAGCAGCCTTGATGAACCGGTCAGCAAGCTTTTGCGACCGTTCATTGTCAATAGTCTCTAATGGAAGAACACTTCCACTTTGCATAATTGCTCCATGGAACAGAGGCTTACCATTATATGTATGATCACCATCATACATTTCCATTTGACCCCAAATACTCATACCTCCAGCTGATTCACCAAACAGTGTCACTTTGTCTGGGTTTCCTCCAACGTCTTTAATATGATCAGCAATCCACTCCAGCACCATTCGTTGATCCAATAAACCGACGTTCCCACTGCCTTCATTTTTCACGGCTTTTCCTCCCAAAAACCCCCAGGCTGCCAGACGGTGGTTCATTGTCACAACGATCACAGGCTCCTTAAGGTCAATACTTGCTTCAACATACCGAGTTCCATCATATGTATTACCAGTGCCAAAAACGAATGCACCACCGAAAAACCAAACCATGACTGGTAGGTTATCTCCGGGCTTGGTGCCTGCAGGACGATAAATATTGAAGTACAAACAATCCTCATTTGTATCAGCCATTGTAAAAACACCTTCCAGGGGCTTAATTATTTGTGTGAGAACGTTATTGAATGGTATAACTCCCACAGCTGTTCTGAGAGCGTCAATAACACCTACAGGGTTGATACCCATACATGATGACTTAAATGCAGTAGCTTGAATTTGATCATAGCTTTGATTGAATGGAATAGGAGGAGCAAATCGCAGATTTCGTAAAGGGGGTTCTGCAAATGGGATTCCTTTAAAAGATTCCACCCGTTCATTTTCATTTTTACCAGTGACTTTCTGGTTAGAATTGATGATAAAAGACGGATCGGCCAGTACCAGCTGCAGTGATACCAAAGCCAAGAAAACAGATAACAAATTAAGCATTATTTGATATACAAGGATGATAAAAAAATAAATGAAGATAAAGATGGAAACAAGACCATATTTAAAGAAATAAATTTCATTACGACAAACCCCTCTTTTTTCAAAAAAAAAAAAAAAAGAAATGCCTTTAAACATTATTTTACCAGATTCTTTAAGACATGAAGATCACGGAGAAGAAATTTCGGGTCCCAAATATCTTTTTTTATGGGTTAATTACAAGGACTAGAAAAAAAAATAAACAGTTTTTTTTATTTTCTAAAACATGGGGTAGTCAAGCGATATTCACAAAAAAAGGGGAAGAAGAGAAAAGAAAATCGTTCATAAGGCATGGATTTAATAAACTAATTCTTACTTGTTTTAAAATAGGGCTAATTTTTAAAGAGGGGGTTGTATTCATGATAGGCCTTTATAAAAAAATAGTCTTAGGAGAAAATATACCTTTTCAAATTTATTGGTAACTTGGAGAGTAATAGACATGTTTGAAAGGATCATTGAACAAATTCCCCTCTTCAAAGTTTTGAGAAAGTCTTTAGTTGAGAGAGAGTCTTTAAAAGCCTTTCAGAGAAACAAGCTTAAAATCAAGGCAATAAACATTCTTAAAATATTTCTTAAAATATTTCTTAATTTAAAGTCGAAGCCTCGTCTAAAGGACTAGAAATTGATTTTTTTTTTCTCTAATAACAGTAATGGATATCGATATTTTATTTGCATGAATAGATTAAATTAAAGATGAAATGAAAATGACAAAATTACAAAAGGGCTAAAGGAGGATAAAAAAAAGTTAAAACTAAAGTCAAAAACCGATTCTATCCAATGTGACCTTAATTTCACAGTTTGATTTGCATATATCTTCTAAATAGAAAAACAATGGTCCATTTAATTTTTTTTTTCTTATTCTAGTTGAAACAAATATATTCAAAACAAGAACCCTAACGGATTAAAACTAGCAACTAAATCTATAAAGATAAGCAGGCGATTGCCATAGAGAAAAAAAAAGGCAACAAACTCAAAAACAGAGACATATTTTTAAAAAATCAAACAAATCAATGGAAATAGAGACATAAAAACTAATTTGTCCAGGAAATGTGACATAAGTGACAGACTTTTTAACTCTTAAAACCTTGTTACAACTCTGTTTACTAAAATGTATCATAAAATGACAGGTTTTTTTTTTAAAGGAGCAATGAACGCACTCCCGTGTTTGATGTATAATTGTGGAGGAAGCCAGAAAATTGATTAGGATGTTTCTGGCTTCTTTGACGTCTCTGTTAACAGAGACTCTAAACTAATCACAATGGTAGACACGACCATTCAGAGACAGCTTGAATCTTACTGTACTTCACTTGGTGCATATCTTGCTGGTATACTCCTCACTCATCCAAGAGTGTCTTGTGTATGTCAATTGGCACTTGAATTAAAGGCGCTGGAAAAAAAGGTAGTGCGAAATTGCAATCAAAATTTTGCTCATATCCTTGTTTTTGCTGATACTAACTAATTCTTGGGTTTCTAATGGCGGCCGAACTATGCGTTTGTATTTATAAGATGTTTGATTATATGGTGGTGATTATCAACACTATGTTGGTGTTTTTTTCATAGTACTTAAAACATTGTTTGGTCTTTCCAGAAGACCGCATAGCTACAATATTCTTCATCAATATTATGATGTCTTACTTGCTTTTTTTTTCTAACTACCTTGACAAATACACAATAAAGTTTTATTTTATTTTTTTTATATTTGAATTTCTTTAAAAATTGAAAAATGTTTTTCTCTGTGAATATATTTTTTATCGTATCTTGGTGAAGATACTTTTTTTTTTTTTTGACATTTCGCAAGTTAAGACGTTGATATTCAAGATCTTCAATTTTTGATAAATGAGGCCGGCTTTTTCGGAATATTTTTTTGTAAACCTAAAAAAAATCTAGTATACGAGAAGCTTCAAAAAAAAGACGTAGCCGTACTTTTTTTTCATGTCTCTTTTTTAGGTGAATTTAGTGAAACCGCCAATCACTTAACTGTATGCATAAATTAATATTTTCCCCTGTTTTTCAAAGTTTCTAGGTTTTAATAAATAGCAAAGGGTAAATTAATACAGACGGAAATATTTTTAATTCAAGTGTTTAGAAATTCTCACAATGGCACTGAAATTTATTCTAAAGGATCATGTTCTATATACAAGATGACGACGGGAGACCGGGAAAGATCCGCACCATAAAATTTCTGAGTGATATGAATGACGTATTTAAAATATTTTTAACAATTTTAACTGAAAAAAATTAACAAATTGTCAATCATTTGGTGCTTTAACATTCTAGCAATATAGAGAAAAAAAAATATTAGATTTAACAAAACTTTTTTAAGCAATTGATTCCAGAACTTTGGAAAATATCTAAATGAAAAGTAACCAAAATTGTATTTAATGTAAAATAAAAAAAATTGCAATTTATTCTTGCCAAGAATACACAGCCACTTTTCAAAAATTTACTCTTTTGAGGTTAAGGTTTGAAAACAAATGTTCAACATTTAAAATTTTTTTATTGAATACTAGTCAATCAGCCTCAACATTTACAAGTTTTCAACTGATATAATAGTTGAATAAGTTATTTATTATTGAAATTCACTTAAATTCAGTTAAATCTTTATTATAATATAATATAATATAATTATATTAGTTAAAATTGCAAGATTGATAGCATTGAGAATTGTGAATTGTCGATTGTAAAATCCAAAGCTTTTGATAACGATGTTAATATAATTGAATGAAAAGTATGGGCTTTTGTAGAATAGACTATTGCTTTCAAATTAATTAAATCTCAATGCGCTTATTTTGTTTAGAATTTACACCATTGATAAAGATTCAATCTAATTTATGAAATACGAACTGCAATTATTTATAAATAATTTTGATTAAAAGACTTTTATAAACTTATTTTAATTTGCGTGTCAAGTTGAAAATTTTCAATGTGTATCAGGATATCTAAAAATATTATCAATAAATCTTTTTTTCAGTGATATCACTAAATTATTAGGAATAAACCAACAAGCATTCATTCTTCTATTGTGCATGATCAAAATTTCCATAACTTGTAAAGTTTTTTTTAGATATTTCTAAGCCCTGAGCAAATGGCCTCCTTTATTCTTGAGTTTCTTGGTACTCTACTAAGCTATATACACAATTAGCTTGTTTATTTAGTCTAAAATTTACAAATTCATCACATCCACTTAAATATAGAAACAATCACGTTCCATCTATAAAAAAAACACAATCATGATATCAATCAAAATAAAATCTCTTGTTAACTGCACAGCCAAAAATAAATGCGCTGTTGGTATAACTTTTCCAGCCAAGCCATATTGAAACACCAAGAACCAGAAATATTTAAGCCTCTTTTTTACAACTTCAATTGGGTATATTCTGCGAAGATAAATGCATTTTTTAAACTTGAAATTTATTTCTGGTCACACATGCATTTTACTTTTAGGAATAACACCAAATAAGAGACAATCTGAAAATTTGATTGGGAGAAACAATGTTAGAATAAAGGTGGTGTAGTATTTGAAAGCCACTTATGCACATTCAAAATTACTAACTTATATTTTCTTGTCCATATGCTGTCTAAAAGTCACATTATGTTATGATGATCGTATTACTTGGCAGATGATGTCAGTTTTCGCACTGTATCTAGACCTGGAAATAGAAAATAGAGAAAATGAATTTTTTCAATAAGAATTTAAAGCTAAAGGGAAAAAAATCTATCAATTAAACGTGTTAGTTAGTAGTGCAGGTATGCCAAGATGCTACATGTGCACACGACATGGCCTTCATTAAGCTGAAAGTTTTCATTTGTTTTTACATTTCGTCACAAAGTTTATTTTTATTTTTATTTTTATTTTTATTTTTATTTTTATTTTTATTTTTATTTTTATTTTTATTTTTATTTTTATTTTTATTTTTATTTTTATTTTTATTTTTATTTTTATTTTTATTTTTATTTTTATTTTTATTTTTATTTTTATTTTTATTTTTATTTTTATTTTTATTTTTATTTTTATTTTTTTTTTTTTTTTTATTTTTATTTTTATTTTTTTTTTTTTTTTTTTTTTTTTTTTTTTTTTTTTTTTTTTTATTTTTTTTATTTTTATTTTTATTTTTATTTTTATTTTTATTTTTTTTTTTATTTTTATTTTTATTTTTATTTTTATTTTTATTTTTATTTTTATTTTTATTTTTATTTTTATTTTTATTTTTATTTTTATTTTTATTTTTATTTTTATTTTTATTTTTATTTATTAAATAATTTTTTTGATCAGAAAAATTACAGCGTGCACTTTAACAGTGTTTTATATTTTTATTCGAAACTGAATTGCAAAGCTTTATGATATAGAAAAGCCATTTATTTCCTAATTCTTAACCATCTAGGGAATTAATCAAAGGGGTAGTAAGTAAAGCATTTAAAGGACCAAATTTTAGTTTTTTTTTAAAAGTCGCGTCACTAATTAATTGCCAAGATTCAACTTTAAAAACGTTACTTGAGTAATAACTAATTTCACGAAAAACTTAATGATGGCAATTGCTTGCAAGTTTGTAATCGGTTTCAAACAAAGTGGGGGCTGAATATTATCCGCAAAATCACAAAAGAAATCACAGTTTGAGTATATTTTCTGTAAATAATTTTCTTAATAAACAATAATATCAAAGTTAAATCATTACTTCTTATTCTTATTTGGTATTTTTTTTGGAAAAAAAGGCCCAAAACCTAAGAAATTCAATCTTTTAAATTTATCATTTTGCTTTTATTTTATGGTATCAACTCACTTCAAAACACAAGATATTAAAGAAGAGAAAAGGGTATTTAAAGAGCTGGATTTCCTAAAGATATTCATTTTTTTTACTAACCCACTATCTTCTTATATTTTTTTTCTTATATCTTGCTATTTTATTTCTCCACTACTTTCAAACTCCAAAAAAAGATAAACTCCCATTTTTAAATCCAATTTCAACATGAAACTTTCTAACACCCTTTATCTTGTCTCTCTTGCTACCTCTCTTGCTGCTCCTACAGCTCAGCCTGATACAGTTCTCAATGCAGTTGCCAAAGCTGATGTGGAAGCTGGTATTTCTTCCGGTATCCCTGCTGCTACCCCTACTGTCAAAAAAGTAGGTTCTCGTCGAAGCATGAAATTTAAGAGATTCTCAAAGAAAATGAACAAAAGATCTTCTGACGATACCGACAGTGAAGATAATGACTCTGGCGCTGAAACCGACAAAGGCAAAGAAAATGCCACTGACAGTGACAGTGACAGCGAGGATGATCACAAACCTCGTCGTACTGGTTCTCCTCGCAAGAAGACACTCCGCAAGAAACTTGCTAAGCGTTCTCCTGATACTGACAGTGACAGTGAGGACGATCATACTGACGGAAATAAAACTGATTCCAACAGTGACAGTGATGATGATCGCAAACCTCGTCGCACTGGTTCTCCTCGCAAGAAGACGCTTCGTAAGAAACTTGCCAAGCGTTCCCCTGATACTGACAGCGAGAACGATCATACTGACGCTGAGGCTGACGCTGAGGCTGACGCTGACACTGACACTGACACTGACAATGGCAATGACAATGACAGTGACAGCGAGGATGATCACAAACCTCGTCGTACTGGTTCTCCTCGCAAGAAGACACTCCGCAAGAAACTTGCTAAGCGTTCTCCTGATACTGACAGTGACAGTGAGGACGATCATACTGACGGAAATAAAACTGATTCCAACAGTGACAGTGATGATGATCGCAAACCTCGTCGCACTGGTTCTCCTCGCAAGAAGATGCTTCGTAAGAAACTTGCTAAGCGCTCCCCTGATACTGATAGCGAAGACGATCATGCTGACGGGAACAACGTTGGCACCGATAACGATATTGACAGCGACAGCGATGACGATAATCGCCGCAAGCCCACTTCCACAACAACTTCAGGCCGCAGAACTCGTGGTGCTACTGCAACCGCTACTGGTGTGACATTGTCAACTGGGAATGTGATTCCGCCCACTTCTGTTGCCAGTGCTTAAGGGTACTGTGGGTTCAGTTTTTTATGAAGCTGGTATTCTCCTTTTTTTTTTTTATCTTTAACTTTATCTTTATCTTTAACTTTAACTTTTTAATATTTTTGATATTTTTTATTATTTTTTGAAATTTGTGCAAATCAATGGGTATAACAGTTAGGTTTCTTTTAAATATTAAGTAGCACATAAGATAGTATTTCAATTTAAATTAAATTAAATTAAATTAAATTAAAAACATTTTGAAAAATTGTAGTCGTTAGTTAGAATAAATTCTGAAATACCTACGCAGAGAAACCACATATCCAAACCGAAGAAAATACTCAAGAGTTCTATCTATTTCATTAAAATGGGTATATCATTAAAAAAAAAGGCATAAACACACAAAAAATAATTTACAGTTAGTTAAGGCTGTGAATTACCAGTTGACGATGCAGGAGCCGATGACGGCGAAAGTTTTCCTAAGTGTAAAAACTTGGTAGCTTCTTCTAACAAATATCGGGTACTGTTAGAGCGGCTCGAGCTAGAAAATAAAGGGGTCGATGATCCGCTGACTGTTGCAGAAGACTGGCCAGAGCGCACACGATAACGGCTGCTATTACCAGAAACCCCGGCCGTACCAGAAAGCGATGAAGTGGTGCCGGAGCTTACGCCTGGTGTGACTGAAAAGCAGGCGGCGTTTCCATTACCAGCCATTGAGCCTGGGGCGATTCCTGGGGTAGTGCTAAAAGACGCGTTGCGAGTTCGCATAAAAGAACTAAATGAAGAGGAAGCGCTGTTACTTGATGCAGATGAAGATATAGGTGCCGGACCCGAAGGACTGCTTGGAGTAGACGGTGGGAAAAAAGTATGACTGATTTCGTTTTCAACTAGCGTAGGCGGCACAGACGCCATGCCACTCGATACAGACATAATTCCACCAGAGGGTGAGGACACGGAGCCCATGCTGTGACTGCGGGTCCGTGAAGAATTGTTGATGTTGTTGTTAGTAACAATTGGGGCTATTCGGCGGCTCGACTGAGGTTGATGGAGAATCGCTGGAGGTGGTGGAGTCAAGGACACCGGTGGGAGTGTGAGCACAGCCGGCGAGGAGGGTCTCGACGATGATGAAAATGATGATACTGGCTGGGGAGCAGAAGCTGCAGAAGCGGAGGCAAATGCGGGGTTGCCGGAAGATATTTGGTGTTGAGCCGCACCACCAACAGAGGTACCACTACCACCGGGCGTAGGGATTTGCTTCTGTTGTTGAATGGCGCCAGTAGTGGAATTGGCATTTCCGGAAACGGTATTATTAGTTACGCCAGAGTTGTTGGTGTTGTTGTTGAAGCTGCTAATAATGGTTGGTTCGTTAATTGCAGAGGCAGCGTTAATTTCGTGTAGATGGACGGCAGACCGTGATGTAGTAGCTCCTTGCCGCAAATTAGAGGTGCCATTACCGCTGCTAACCGATCTCATCAAGTTAGTAGCCGACTGGGTAGATCTCCGAAAACCTGAGATACTTTGACCAGGACCAGACGAGGAAAGGTGTCGCATGCTGTCCTCGTAGAGTGGAGCTTCCTCAACACCCATTGGAGTGTCGGAGTTAATCGCAGTTTGATAAGAGGGTACCCGTGATAGTATCTCAAGTTGAGCATGGCTGGGCGCTGTAGATAGGTTAGGGGAAACTGGGTGAGACAAGTGCATAAAGTCGGGCGACTGGGGTGGCATCGGACTAAAATCAGCCGAGGTGCTGAGTGCAAATGCAAGCGACTGAGCGTGGGACTCGAGACCACCACCGGGAGTGTTGGTACCTGATGAGCCGCCGGATCGGTGTGACCCTAAGGACGCCATAACTTGAGATAGTGACCCACCTGCGGTTCCCGACCCAGCACTCACTCCTTCGTTTGCACTAGACAAGTCCAGCGTTTGCCGAGCGGTAATAGTGATACCATTGTTATTTGCGCTAGATGAAGAACCATTGCTGTTGTCGCTACTGCCGCTATTGGTTGCGTAGAGGCCTTGAAGGTTGGTACCACTATTATTATTGCTATTGTTTCCACCGGACAAGAGTGGTGGCGCACTACTGTCGTCCGAAATGGCAGTTGCGGCATGTTGTTGAATCTGAAGTTGTCTTAAGTTGTCTACAAGAACTGATCGAGCATGGGCATCAGTGAGGTGTTGTGGAGCAGCGGTCATTGCTAATGATGAGCTAATTACCGCATGGTCATTGGAATTACGTCGAGATCTGGAGTGTAAAGGCGTTGCGGCACCAGAATGTATGGGAGAATCAAAGTTGGTCGGTGCAATATCGCACCATAATCTATCGTATACATGGTCGGCATAGTTTGGTGGAGCATTTGTTTCTACCAAGTCAGTGGAACGGATGTTGGTATTGGACGAGGTTTGTTGGTCGAAGATAACAGTATGACTAGAGTCTGGTGCACGTACTGGGACATTTGGGGAGATGAAGACATAAACAGGCAGTGATGCTCGAAGTTCAGAAGTATGGCCATCAGGATTCTTCAAGCTGACAGCAAATTTGAGCTTGTGTCCGACCTTAATGTTGGAATGAATAATGCAGTCTTGAGTACATTTTGAAAGGTTTGCAGGCAGTGCAAAAGTTTCATTGATAGACCAGACATCATAGCCCAAGAATCCGTTTGGCGGGGAAGGAATGACATGCTCCACTACGCAGCGCTCGTACTGATGATGTGCACCTGAGGGAATGGCCAAACTTACTTGCTCCACTAACAAAATGCGTATTGTGCCTAACTTTAGGCCTTTGAGAAGTGGGGAAAGTTCCATGGAAATGTTTATAATGGATCCGACAGCCAGTGCTTTATTAGGAATGGATATGGAGTAATCAATCTTCTTGGGCCATGTGTTATCGATGCTGACAGATTGCGACAGCTCGAGAATGTCGGAACCGAGTGTCCGCACGATTCGTAAGTGACGCTTGCATGTTACATTATTTGTGAATCTGCCGCGTTCGATAGTAGCCACAATTCTGTAAATGACATGGCCACCTTCCAGGCCTTCAACTGACTCATCGATAGAGCCCGGAATGATAGTTTCAAAGGGAAACTCATGGTTTCCCTGTCGAAGGGTATGTGTGGATGAGGGTGTAGAACTACCATGTGACGACGATCCCAAATGGTTTAAGCCGATCAGACTCGAACTGTTGTTATTACTATTACTGAGACCCGTACTGCTAGCGTTATTAGATGAAGACAAAGTGTTTAAATTTGTTGTAGAAGAGTCAAGACTGCTGCTTGCAAGCTCGAGGTTGGGCCACTCCTTTTCGTAGACATAGTTTTCATATCGGTAATGACGAGCAGCGCCTGTTCTAGAGATTGCACTTGTATCTGTCCATTGAAGCCTGATTTTGCCGTAAATTTTGAGCGTGATTCTTTTGATTGAAAGCGGTTCTGAGAGTGCAAGAATGACGTTTCCGGTCAAATGAACTGAAGCGGCATTTCCTGGGCTTCCACGAAGAACGATGACGTTCTTGTGAATGTTGTTGAGACGAATGTCAAAAAGAGTTACAGCACCACTTGACCTAGAGAGAAGTGGCATTTTGATATTTAATTTAGAGTATAATTAGAGTAAATGATGGAAAAATGAAAAAAAAATAAGAATATATATGAAAAAAGAGGGATTTTTTTTTAGAAAATCAAGTATATTTGTTTTGTGAGGAGATTGTTGGGATCTTGGTGGGTGGTGGAATAAGAGATGCTTGCGGGCAAAAAAACACACGCAGACAAAGGACCGTGAAAAATGTATTGAGCCAAAAAGTCAATGTGGAGTCGAAGCACGCAGCAAGGAAAAGGAAAAGGAAATTTTAGTTAAATATATATAAATGAATGATTGAGAAAGTTTTGAGAAAATCGACAAAAAATAAAACTGAAAATAGAACAAATATGAGATTTTAAAAAATAAATAAAATAAAAATGAAAGAAAGAAAAAAAGAAATAGAAAATTCAAACGAGCAAAAGAGAAAATGGCCCGACTTACAACCACCCATGAACGGACCACACCAGTTACTGGACGGGTAACCTGAATTGGGTAATAGAAATAGGTAACCTGTTTTTTTTTTTTTTTTTTTTTGGGGATTGTTACAACTTGTGTTACTTTTATTGATTGCTAATGTTAGTCTACACCCTTCATTAATTATAAATAAAATGCCATTCTCTACGGGCCGTCCCACGAATTTTCTCTGAATTTTCATATTCTAAGCTGACTTTTTCGGGCAAATATTTGCCGAATAGTCATCAAACGATCACTCAAAAATCGAAAATGAAGAGTGAAAAAAAAATTTTTTTTTCTTTTTACTAATTTTCAATGTCTCACTTAAAAAAAGACTCAAAACTTTTTTAAAGTGTAGTTTTGTATTTGGTACCAATTTCTAAATCTCAAAGACTTGAATTTATCAATAGTTTTTTCTTTTATTCCTATCTTTTGTTATTAATAATAAAATTATTTTAATGGGAAAAAAAAGTCTTTTATTAACTCCCAATATTTGATTCTTACTAAATTTATGAATATTAATATCTTAGGTATCAAATTTTCTAAACTCAGTCTACTGTTGTCCCTTCATTCTTCTAAATTTTTTTTTTTTTTTTCTATTTTAACACTGCTAGATCTCTTTCAAGATCTTATTAATAGTATCTTTTAAATTTTTCACATGCATCGCTTGTAAGTTTGACTGGCTGTCTTTTTTTTTTCATGTGCTATCCATTATATCCATTGTACAATAACTATTTATACCTTTATTGTTTCTAGATTGTAGCGAACTTCATGCTGTTAATTTATAAGTTAATTTACTCTTTTATTTTGATGTTTAAACTATTACTAATACTGTTTTTAATCAAAATTTGTGGATGATTTAACTATTAAAAGCTTCTTTGTTATTGTTAAAACAATTTTATTTTATCTGAAAAACCAACTTGTGTGGCCAGTTTAAGTTAGATTACCAAAAATATACTCAACAACTAATTGTCTGTCTAATTCAGCACACTTTTACTAGTGTGTTGAAAAATTGTTAACGCCCGTGAAACGTTTTAAATGGAAACAATTTCTTATCAGTTAAAAAAACCTGGATCAGGAAGAAATACTTTAGAAATAAAACTTAAAATAAAGTCGTATATAGTACTTAGTTATACCACGTACATATTATCCCCTATTGTCTATTTACTGTGTAAATAGTATCGTAGCCTGTTTCTCGACCTCGGCCCACTCTTTTCCATCCCGCATTGATATTGGCACGTTTTTTTTTTCCTTGACAGCTTTCTAGTTTTTCAAACGTATTCACTTACTTGTCCAGAATGAGCCATCGATACCCATGCTTCTGCAATACTATATAAATATTCTTCAATAACTTCCATTTAAAGATCCTTGGAACAAATCCTTTTGAAAATTTATTGATCACGACAAAGTAATCACTGGCAGTGTATGTATTTGGTAATGGTAACGTATAAAAAAAATCTATTTGAATATTCTTCTTATTAAAAGAATAAGAAACTGAGTGCAGAAATGATAAATCCAGTCTTTCCTCTTATCTCTACATACTAATCAATAAGAGGTTTTCATCATCCGTCAAAACTATATATAACCATGACACAATCGTTTTTTTTAATCTTGTCGTAACTTCTTCCGCCGTGCCTTCTCCAATGCACGTCTCTTAAGTTCTCTTTCTTCCGCCTCATCTTCTTCACGAGCCTGGCGTGCGCTTCGCTGCTCTTCCATCAAAACGTCTGCTCCGGTGGCCTCCATATCTGAGAAATCCTCGTAATCATCCACGTAATCGCTTCTTCGCTTGCCTCTATTAAACATGGACCAAATTTCGTCTCGATCGTATCCATATTCATCTCGGCTTCTCCCTCTGCTTCGAGAATACCCTCTGTCGTCTTCAATGAAATCATCGTCTTCATCATCAACAATAAAGTCGTCCATCTCATCGTCTATCTCTTCAATTCCATCATACCGAGAAGATGTGGTCTTTCTTTTCTTTTGCTTGTCTAAAAGTTTCTTCATGGGTTGAGCAAATGGAGCTGGTGATTTCGTGCGCTCAAGTCTAGAAGATGCAGATTGTGATGATTCTGTCCCCTTAGATGATAATCTAGAGCTTGAAGTCGTCTTTAACGAAGATGATGATGGTTTAGAAGATGATCTAGAAACAGGACCCGATGAAGCAGATTTGCCACCGGTACCATTCTTTAAACTAGAACGGTTTCCGGAAGATATAGGGCCAGGACTCACTGAAGATTTCGATAGTTCTGTTTGCTGCAACTGACGTTTTCTAGCTGCTGATGATATCGGCCCAGAAGAAGAGATGCGAGAAGTAGAAGGTTCTGAAACAGAAGAAGAAAAAGGAGTCCTTCCTAATCTGCTACCAGAACTTGATGCAGGCGATACCGATGTTAATGCTGGTGTTCTATTATACAAATCCCTTCCGGGTCGGCTTCCCGAAGTGGACGATGATGATGCTAATGCTGATGCTGATGCTGATGTCGAAGATGAAGATGTTCTACCTATTCGACTATTGGTATTTAAATGTGTAGATGTAGAAAGCGACGGTGATGATGTTGCGGGTATTGAATTAGTAGAGGATGAGGTAGACGTAGAAGTTCCTTTCGGCTTAACTTTTACTGTCATCTTCAGCTTTTCTGAATTGATTTTCGAGGCCTGTTCCATAATTTCTTTAAAATTAAGCTAAAGATAATGTTAGTACATTTATTATCTCAAACTTGGGGAATTTCGATGAATTTTTTTAAAAAAAAAATACAAACCTTTTTCTTTTCTGTTTTTCCCTGAGGTACACCATTAGCAGTAGAACGGTTCAGTGAAGATGTTGAAGGACTAGCTGATTTAGATTTAGAAGTAACACTAGATTTTCTGGAAGAACTACCATTTCCGTTGCTTCCTATAGAGACAGACCTTTTAGTTGTCCCGTTACTTGATGTTGAAGGTCGTTGTGATGAGGCTTGTTTGGTATTAGGAGAAGAAGCCGCGCGTTCCGCTAATCTGGCTGCTTTAAGCCTCTCCACACGTTTCCGCTGTTCTTCATCAATAAGGCTGCTGCCTTTTGATGTAGAAAAAGAAGAATTACTGCTGGTAGAGTTTTGGCGACTTGAAATAGGTTTGGATTTAGTAGCAGCTGGAGGTGGTTTTGAAGTGGCGAGTTTTGATGTGCTGGTTTGACTTGGAGGTTTAGAACTGGTAGAAGTGGGCTTTGAAATCCCATCATCTTTCGGGGTCTGAGCCCCTGAAGCCATTCCTAATAACTTTGAAAACATCTATGATTTTTTTATGGATCTTTTATGCAGTAACTATGGTTGTCTTTGTAGATGTGGTGTCAAGATTTCCGTAGTAATCACTAAGTCTTATTATTATTGCTTCATAAAAACATCTATATATCTTTTGAATATGAAGAATATGAAGGGAAAATGTTAATAAAAAATAATATAAAGGTTTTCTGATATAAGCACAGGAAAGACGTATTGGATCCGTTTGTGCTTTAAATGAGTTTTTTGGTAGTGATTTAAAGAATAAATGAGGGTGAAGAGAAAATCAAAGAAAATTTACCAGAAATGATTTTTTTTTCTTCTTTCTCAGAACTTGTTCTGAAAATTACACACATCTGTTACATAAATTACTGTGATAAATGCAATAAATGTTATGTCATTTCTTACATAATCTGTGGCTCAGATACCTACAGACTAATCCCAAGTCTTCAGTCATCTCTAACGCTGCAGACAGCTTTGTCGCCAGTCCAACAAGGTCGAGATCCTCTGAGCTTCCACTGATAGTAGTACCGTTAGGCAAGCGTGATGAAAAATTAATGTGACTTAAAGAATATCCAATATTACCTGCAGGTTTCATTGTAGGTGTAATCCAAAATGAAAAATGGCTTAGGTAAGGAATGGAAACTGTAAGATGAACATCATTGTTTTCTTCAATCAAACTAACGTTAATAGAAATCTCATTCTCAAATAAATCAGAGTTCAAAAATGCCGCAGATACATCATCTTCGTTGTTTTCTCCACTCCCTGGAACTTTTTCATCTATGGGGTCGTCCAAAATTGCGGAAGAGCTTAGCGAGCTTCTAATGTTGTTTAATATTCTTAGCCGTTTCGCATTGATGTTATTTGCCGCCTCTAGAATAGTATCAATCAATAACAAATCGCTGTCAATAGCCTCCTCTTCATCTTCTTGTTCAGAATCGCCTGGGCCTCCCCTATGATTACCATTATTAGTGGGGGGTCCTAGTCCACTAGTAGGACCACCATGTCCGTTTTTATTCATGGTGGTTTCATGAAGGTTTAAACTTCGGCAAAGAGTGTCAATCATTATTGCTTTCCGTAGCGCTTTGATGATTTCTGGTAAATCTCTTGGATGAGAGACAGGGATCTCGACAACCTTAACAAAAGGATATGGAACCAAGCTGCTGAAACTGGTATCTATGTCAAAAGCGTCCTCATCGTTTTCGCTGTCGTGTCCGTGAGAATAGCTATCTCCAAAAACTGTTGATGTTTTTTCGCCCTCACTTTTGTCATGGTGGTCGGATTTGCCTTGCAAGCTACCTTGGTGAGATTTGGTATTGTCAATAGATCCACTATTATTCCCTGTCGTCCCAGAAACAGTAATGATACTTCCTTCTCGTCTTAGAATACTGTCCTTTCGCGACTTCTTAGGACCATAAACACGGCGGCGAGAAGATACAAATGAAGAGTTAATATATGAATCAGCAGTGGTATCAATAACAGCATCCAATGATGCAGCCACATGGCGAGGTAAAAATACAGGTGGGTCTAATAGCAATGCAAACTCGCCAGTGACTGGTTTCAATTCAGGCTCAGGCCCCCAGGACTCCACAAGACCAGTTTCATCATTGATTTGCAGCATTTCAGGAAGCCAGGTATTGCTATATCGAACGCCATATTTGCTATGGTTTCCTGACCCATGTCGGTTTTTGTTAAGATTATAAAACCCTTCTTCTTCCTTGTTTTCTAATCCGCCGCTTGGAGGTGGTGGGTCTAGGTGTTCTAAATGTTGCATCGCTGTGTCGCCAGTGGGACGTATCGTCCATCTCATGTTATATCGCTGAAAGTAGTAGGGAGATCCAATATTCCCTATTCCCATAAGCTCCTGTAGTACGTTGGAATCACTTAGACCTCCATTTGCAACGACGCCCCCTGATGAGTAAATGCTTGTGGTAGAATTACTGTCTACTGGCTGAACGTTTATTTGTATGTGAGTGAACGGGTCAGTAAAATTGGTAGCGCTCGGCTGGGCATTTTGCATATTTCTACCTCCTCTTGTTTGTTGATTATGGATCTTTTTTTCTAAAACATGATAAGCATGACGATGACTTTGCCAGTACCATAAGCTTAAGCCAAGTGTGTTATTTACATTGAATTCTGGAACGCCATAGCAAGAAGCGGAAAGGTCCAAAAACATTGAAGAAGACGCTTGTGCAATTCTAAAAAGAGTGTGTGAAATCTCGTCAAGTGCTCTAAAACAGTCGACCTTGCTGTCCGAGGATATTCTGTCAGCACAGGCAAGAAATGAAAATATTTTTGCAAATTTATCAAGGCGAGGTTGTTTTAACGCCCTTAATATTATTTCATTTGCTGATGGAGAAACTGACTGTGATGTAAATGAATGTTGGGGGTCTGAAGGCTCTGTTTCGGATGCTAATGAAAAAGTCACTTGGTCAAGCTGCTCGCTAGGAAGCGCGACGTAAATATCAAGCAAAGTAATTTGACCACCAAGCGACACGCGTCTTCTTGACTTAGATGGGTTGTCGGCAAATATTTCAAAGCTAAAATCAAATTTAGTTAGAATTAATAGTCTATAAACAAGTCTTGACCTCTGTTTGTACCAACCCATAACGTAACGCAAGTCTCCGAATATTCTGTTCCGAGACACGACCAGGAACTGAAGTAAACAATCCAAAAATTTGGTCTAATGTGCTAGACTTTTCTTTCTTACTGTCGTTATTTGAAAGTGGATTGTAATATTTCGTATTCATCTTCCAATATTTTATTATCTCATTTGTTCTATCATGTACGATACAATTATTGTGAATGTGTTCCTTGCCCGTAATTGTGCAAAAAAAAATATAGTTGGTGGTAGGTGTGATAGATCTCTGTTTTTTTTTTTTTTTTTTCAACTGTGTGGCTAAGTTACTGTTATTTTTCAATAGTAAGTTTAACTTTACTCTTTGGTAAACCCAGGGTAAACAAAAATTGACATTTTCGTATGGATTGATTGCAAAAAGAAAATAAAATTCAACAAAAGGTTAGCTAAACTTGCATAAACGTATTATACATGAATAAATTCTCCAATTTAAAAGTTTTAAAAGATTTAAAAGATTAATATAATAGTTATATTTTTAACAATTTACTTTCTATTTATCTCCCAAACCTTGCCTGCCACCTTCAAAGTGTGATAGGTCAAAATGATCAGGATAAGTATCTAATATCTCTCCTAGTTCCCGTCTCTGCTCAATCAGGGTCTCAGGAAGCGTATCATACATGTCATCAAAGATATTTCTAATTTGTGGTTTTAAAGTCTTTTCACCAGCTGAAAACTCTTTCAAAACGCTCTTTTTAAGCTCAACCTTAAGCTTAGCCTCTTCGTCTTCATTCCACCAGTTTTTTAGTTCGAGCCATTTTCTGAATCTAACAACTGGGTTGTCTTTTCTCTTCCAATCTTCCACTTCTCTTTTTGGTCTGTAAGCAAATGAGTCATCAGAAGTTGAATGGTGAGAAATACGGTATGACATTGCTTCAATGAGTACAGGCTTTTTGTCACGAGTGGCAACCTCTCTAGCCTTTTGAGTGACACGTCTAACAGCCAGCAGATCGTTGCCATCAACACGAATGGTTTCAATGCCATACCCAATGCCACGTGAAGCAATTCCATCACCCCTGTACTGCTCCTTGGTAGGTGTGCTGATGGCATAACCGTTATTGCGGCAAAAGAAAATTACTGGACAGTTAAGGGTAGCTGCCATATTTAATGCAGCGTGAAAATCTCCTTCTGAAGCAGCACCATCGCCAAAATAGCAAATAACGCATGCGCCATCGTCAATTTCATTTTCGCTTTTGGGATCAACTCCACTTTTTTCTCCCAAAACCTTCAATGCGTAGGCCGCACCAGCCGCATGAGGAATTTGGGTGGCTAAAGGCGAAGAAATTGGTTGGATGCGAAGAGTTTTGGACATATAATGGACAGGCATGGAACGACCATGGCCATGATCATTTTTATTGGCATAGAGCTGTGACATGAACTCTTTGACTGTCAAGCCTCTGTGTAAAATGGCACCAGCTTCTCTGTATTGAGAAAAGATAACATCATTAGGCTTGAGTGCCGATGCAGAGCCAATAGCCGAAGCCTCTTCACCGGCATTAACCATGTAAAAGCTCAGTCGACCCTGACGTTGAGCCTCATACATAATATTGTCAAGAATGCCAATAATGTGCATTTCTCGATACATTCGAATAGCAAGATCCTTGTCAACATCAACCTCATAGCTCTTATCAAACTGTGTTCCATCAACATCAATTAGCCGGTAAATTTCCATCGGCTGTAAAAGAGCTGGATCATTTAAAGCCATGTCTTTAACAAACTTTGTCTTGGTTATACCTGGGAAATCCAGGCCCTTGTTAATTCTGGGACTAGAAGAAGCATCAGGAGTTTTATGCGACTCAGAAAGAATAGATGCAGACTTTTCAGAAAGAGTACTGTGTATATATTTGTGAGAAATAACCAGCTGAGGTATCTTTGTATGACTGGTTTTTGGTAGAGTTCTAGTAACTTTAGAGGACGTGTTAAAAAACGCTTTCATTGTGACTTTGAAGATGAGAAGATAATGATATTTTAAAAAAGCTTAAGGAAAATATGAAGAAAAATATTTTTAAAAAAAAAGGAAATACAAGGAAATTGACGGGATTTTATATCTCTCGAGGTAAATATCCTAAGCACTTTTTAGGTGCGGAGACTTCAAGCAACTGGTAGTAAAAGATAAATGTGGGGGGGGGAGGAGGATAAAGGAATGCCTTAGACCGCTATTAACCGATCATATTTTTCTAGAGAGCCGTGAATCATTTTTTGCCAGAAATGGATATTTTCGGTAGTCGAAGGGGTTAAAGATCCCCAAAAAAAAAAATTGTATGTATTTATTAGTAATCATTAATCATATATTATAAATTGTTATTAAAAATCACTGAGGATCACTCTAAGTACCTTGTGATAACCAGTGTTTACGTTTTCGACGTCGGATGTGTGATGAAATTTTAAGCACTATTCACTTGAGTTTAATTACCACTTAATTTGGCGATAAAGGGTCTAGTGCTTAATTCGGATCTTAAAAGAGTTCATTCTTTATACATTGTTAGTTAATTAGTGACTAATATTTTGCTTTTGGGTCTATACATTTAAAAACAGAAAGGTAAAAGGTATTTAACGATGAAATAATCCAATGACTAATTCGCCATGGCAGTAATTTTTGCTGATTCTGGAACCTCAGCTTGAACAACCTTTAAATCTTCCAACTTACTTGTAACTTCATCAACAGCTTCCGTATTCTTGGATGCAGCATCTGGTTCCACGACCAAAGTCGAGGCTTCAGATAATTGTCCAGGCGGAGCGATCTTCTGTGTTGAGCCTTGATTAGGAATGTAAGCAGTTGCTTTATCTAACACTTCCTTTCTGAGGTCAGCCTCGCTCAGGCCAACAACACCACCAAGAGCATGAAAGTTTTCCATATATCTCTTGCGGCGCTCAGCAGCAAGTTTTGTGAGAGATGGCCAATATCTCTGATGGGAATATTCGAAATCAACATTACCACCAACTTCCTTGTCAAGCTGATTAGGTGGGACGTAATTAGGGAAAGGTTCAGAAAAGACCAGCTTTTCACGAGTCAATGGATCAATGAAAGGATGAATAAGCTTGAGGAATGCTGCGGCAAGCCAAGGAATATTTGTTAAAAGGGCGCGGCCCAGTCTTTCAGGGTAGTGTGTTTGGAGAATGTGTAAAACCTCGCGACCCATGCTAAGAGTGGGAAGCTTGTTGACGGTGCCAGCCTTGCTAGCTTTGAAATCAATGAGAAGTGCAAGCTGATCTTGACCTGAAGGCATAAGATCTATAGAACGCTCAAGCATGTAAACTAAGTGCTGAACTTGAGTGTGGGAAGGCTTTGTGTTTTGTCTGCCAGTCTTGAGGTAAAGACAGGGTCGGGAGTCAATATCGAAGCCAAGAATAACCTGTTTGCCAGATTCATTCTCAACAGAAACAACATTAGCAGAAAGGTTGGACTCAGGATCAATGCCAAATTCGTTGCGCCATCCAAGAGTGCCCTCGATTCGACTGATGCAGTCCGTCGTTTGCCATTTAGTGGCTCTGAGGTAACGGAGAAAACATTCACGAGTCAAAAAGGCCTTGTCAGCATCAGTGATTGGTCGTCGTTTGGTCTTATAGTCCTTTTCAGTAAGACCCACAGTGGTAATTTCTTGAAAATGCTTCAAAACAGCATCGTACTTCTCTTGTTCTTCCTTAGTGAGCTGGCTAGGGGTGGGAATTTTAGCCAAGGCATCGGGGACCGGAATGGGCTCGTAGTGAGGCATTTTAAGTATTTGTAAATGGATACTTTTTCTTTTTAAAAGTTTTTAATGATGATCACAACTAATTGTTGAGTGACAAAATGAAAATAACGATTGAAAAATGTAGATTGAAGAAATCCTTGCAAAGGGAAAGGAGAGAGAAAAGAAAAAAAAAAGGAGGAAGAAAAAAAAGGAAGAGCGCCCAGATTATATACCAAAACCCTAAACGTTCTGTTGATTTCCATGGCGCTGAGATTCACACAACCATAGTAATTTTTTTTTTTTTTTTTTTCGGAACATTTTGACTTAAAAATCTGGTTCCAACATACGGCTATGTAAGCACAGATAGACCGTCTCCAGACCACACAACCAGCCGTCTTCCGGGCCGGTTTTTTTCACATCGTACCTTCCGAAATTATAATCGTATTTATTATGTAATAATGTAATGTTATTACAAACTTAAAATGATAAAACATATAAGATTAAAATAGCTACCTTAAGGCTTTGAAACCAACATTTATGCTTAGCTTTTTTGTTTACACATCATATTCTTAAAAGAAGGTAGAGAAGAAGAAAAAAAAGAAGAATAATAAGAAGAAGACTCAATCTTTATTAATACATATAATATCTCAATCAATAAATGCTAGACTTTATATTAAATTTCCCTCAACCTATTAAACCCTCTTTCCCATTTTACACCAGTGACCTGTTGGTCTTGGGTCTTGCGTTCAAGGCATACAAATCTCGGGGGCTGACTCATTTAGGCATTGCTTCCTCGGTGGCTACCGGTTTGATTCACACTCACCATCCGACATTACTACCATTCTCTTTGCTTGCAGGATTTTACTTGACAAGCTCTAAATTCACTAAATTAAAGGCCGATATTAAGGCCAGTCTCACACAGCATCCCAATGGCGAGGGGGGTGGAGAGGGACCCCGCAATGCGACTCAGGTGTTTGCGAATTCCATTGTGGCAACTTCTCTAATTTTCCTCCACACACACTTTTACTATTTTGTGGACAGTTCTTATCCCTGGTCCAATCTTTTACTAATTGGAATAATCTGTCAATATGCTGCAGTTTGCGCCGATACTTGGTCTTCTGAGCTCGGGATTCTGTCCAAGTCAAACCCTATTCTCATTACCACACTCAAGCCTTGCCCTAAGGGCACCAACGGTGGTGTCTCTCCACTAGGTCTCGGCGTTGCATTAGGTGCTGGTGCGTTTATTGGCACGATTTCGTCATTATTTCTGTACTCTCCTACACAACAATTTTTACAATGTGGTGCGTTGATTGCTTTTACGTCAGTGATGGGCCTCTTTGGGTCTGTTCTTGATTCGGTGCTGGGCGCCACACTTCAACAGTCTGTTGCTTCGGTTGACAAAAACATTATTGTCGAAAGCGAAGGTGGTGGTAAACTTACCGATATTGATGCCACAAAAAACCCGGACTACAAGGTTGTTTCTGGATACAACATCTTATCAAATAACCAAGTAAATCTTTTGACTTCAGCAATAACCACAGCTGTTGGTATGGGCCTTTGGTATCTTTTCTTTTTGCCCTAACTTTACTATATGTGAATGCCAATGATAATTAATATGATTAATAAAAAAAAAGAATTAAAATTTCATTAAGCCAAATCATTATAAGTTTTTATTGTTATCTTGTTTTAAGAACCGATTGATCTTCAATCTCTTCAGCTTCCTCTATAAGTACTGTAGCTGAAGTTAGACAGAAGCAGAGGAACATGATAGTGACCATCTGGTGGGTTGTTGATCTTAAACACAACTTCGACAAACGGGAAGAATGTGGATTCGCCCTTGGTCTCAAAGTATTTCAGAGTCTCAAATCTGATTTTGTAAATACCAGGAACAATTTTGCTATCGGACCACTTGCTTGTAGCTTCGGAGTCACTTTTCAGGTCCCAGTTCATCACGCGGCCGTCAGAATTTGTGGAGGCAGTTCCAAGAACTATGACATTGGAATCAGCTTTTGCTGACAAGCCACCTTCAAAAAGATATAATGTGCATGAAACCGACGCAGCTGGCTTTCCGCTAGCAGTATCAAGTATATGACAAGTAATAGGATGCTTAGACATGATTGTTTAGAGAGGGTTAATTGAATGTTGAAAGATGATAAAAAGATTGTGGAAAAAAAATAGTTGAAAAAAAAACGAGGGGTTGAGCAATGCTTTTATGTGTTGCGTCACAATAATGGATTTTCTTTTTTTCGGACAACACCGAGAAAACTTTTGCTAAAATTCAACACCTCCCCGCAGGGTTAGGCCTTGGTTATCTTGATAAGGTGCCACTCTCTACGCAAATCAAAATTTCTACTGCATTTTGAAAGAAAAATATGTCATTTTCAATGATAATTTTTTTTTTCACTTTATAAATTTCTACAAAGATTCTAATGTTAATATTCTAGAAAATTAATAACTTAATTAAACTATTAATTTATAATTATAATTTATAAATTAAACCAAAGCACTAATGAAAACTGACATCCGCGGCTACCGTGGAGAATTCCATTTAAATATCAAGGCTCTGATCGCTTTTTATGAAAAATTTTCAGATAAATACTACACTAAAAAGTGGTTTAAAAACATCATTTCATTGACTTAGTAAAGGTGACCGATTAAAACAAATCTCTTTTAGCTAGCAACGGAAAGTTAATTCAATCAGGTGAAATGTGTAACTAATGATATGGTGTACCATTAATCAAGTTTTCTTTAAAAGAAGCTAATATCTAAGACATGGCGCCAGCTCTCGGAAAGAAATCACTTTAAAGACCTTTCTATAAAAGTTTTATTAATAAAAATCAATGGCTTACCAACAGAAGGCAAAGTGTTTGGACTTAATTTTAACCATTTCATGAAAAGAAGCACAGTTCTTTGGCGTTCGCCATAATAAAAATTTAAAGACAGTCTATTTTCATTTAGTTGCTTTTTTAAGATCTTAAACAAAAAGCAAAAAAAAAAAAAAATAGGCATAGCTCTCCTAGTCTATTTAAAACTTCTCATTTAATGTTTGATGTTTATGAGAGCCCATGAGACTATACCCTAACTTCTTATTTATAACTATATAAATACTCTGCTTTTTGTGGGTTATTTCTCGAAACTTTTAATGCGCCATATCTTAGTTTTTCACAGGAGCGTACTTATGAGATCCAGACTTGGAGCCAGCAACAGCAATACCTTCAGAGTCACCACCTTCGGGCTTAACTCCAATTTCCCTTGATCTTTCTAGAGCAGCCTTTGCAGCTTCCTTTAACAGCTCAATGGCTTCAGGACTGATTTGATAATGGAAAGCAAGACGGTTGCTGACAACATTCAACCCCCTCTTTTTTGCTTCTTCCTCCAAAATTACGATGTCAACACCAGATCTGGGGCCGTCAATAAAGATAAAGTTTGTTTCAACAGGGCCTTCAAATTTATATGAAAGCTCCTCTTCCAAATACTGGGCCAACTTCTTGACAACCAAATGAGTAGCCTTCATGGTGGGCCAGACTTCGTCAATCGCCACATTTGCAGGAGCAGCAAGCAAACCTACCTGTCTCATACCACCACCCTGCTGCTTTCTAATCCATCTGGCTGTTTCAATTGTCGTTTCATCAGCCACTAAGACACTTCCAATAGGGGCACCAAGACCCTTAGACAGACACAGGGAAACGGTATCGAAGTATTGACAGTATTCTTTAAGCGAAATACCAGTTTCAGCTGAAGCATTCCATAGCCTAGCACCATCAAGATGCATTCTAATACCGTTGGCCTTGGCGTACTCGGAGATACGCTTAATTTCGTCGAGCGGCATGATAATACCATTGAGCGTATTTTCCAGGCAAACAAGTTTTGTTGTTGCAACATGAATGTCCTTGAAATCAATGACGCGCTTCTTGATATCCTCAAGCGTGAGATACAGCCCATTGCTGGGGAATGCTGGATACACAATTGCTTGACTTAAAATTGCCAGACCAGCGGCCTCGTTACGGTAAACGTGTGCTCTGTCGTCAGCCACAATACTATATGGAGGCTGGTGCAAATTACTGCGAACACCAACCTGGTTACTCATGGTGCCTGAGGGGAAGAATAAAGCACCAGCTTTGCCCGTAAGCTCTTGAATGCGCTTTTGTAGCGAATTTGTGTCTTCGTCTTCTTCATAGACAGAGTCTCCAACAGAAGCTTCTCTGATGGCTTCCATCATACGCTCAGATGGAACAGTGAAAGTATCACTTCGGAATTCTTTGCTTGATCTCGTCATTGTTTTTAGAATTATTGATAAATATATAAAAGATGGTACGAAGAGGTGGGGAGATGAAAGATAAAATGAGGTGTCAAAGTGTTTGATGAGTAAGAAAAAGAAGAAAGAAAAATAATTGGTGAGCGAATTTTTTGTGACGGATAACCACTTTGTACTTTTCATACAACAAAAAATGATACTGATAATCAAGAAGTCAGAACATATATATATGTCTCTGGAAACGCCGTAGAGTATTTATATTTCTATACAAATCCAGGTAATTCTAAATTAGAAGCCTTAAACGCCGTGTCTAATGGTTGTTCTTTCCATCTACGTACGTACCAGGAACTGACATCTCTTGCGCTTAAATCGTTTATGGTTTCCAATTTGTAATAAAAAAATTATAAAATGCCGTTGATTACCGCAACAATAACCATTCACACATCCTACAAAGACTTGCATTGGGCATCAAAAAGTGATATTTTTTCATATATAACTTCCTTTTCAAGTATCCGACATGTTATTGTAGTAGCTTAAAAGAGGTTTCGCATTCACAGAATAAGAAATTTAGTCTAGTATCAATTTGAAGCAATTGTTTACTCTAGGGTAAATCAGTCATATACTCAAGATTTAACCCAGGTTTATTTGCAAATATTTTAAATAGTTAAATCTTTTGCAAATGAATGAAACCAAATAATTAAAATCTTTAAAAATAATTCAGTTTTTCTTTCCTTTTTATAGACTCAAACTGGTATTAATCTCATTTAACGAATTGATAATTTAGAGGGAGTTTTGCATAATTGTCGGAGAAAAAACGTGATATTAACGGGGTTTAAGGTGAGGCAGAGGCCCTAAAAACTACATACATCAACATTATGTAAAAGAAAAGAACATGTTTAAAAAAATTAAAAAAAATCATATTAAAATAAAATCATTGGTTATTTAAGCTATATAATAGTTAGATGCTTAATTAGCACCTTCAATTGCAATCTTGCGACCCTTAGACTTCTTGGAAGAGCTAGAAGTGGAAGAGGTCTCGGAAGACTCAACATCAATCCAGTTGGAATCAATGCTAGAGTCAGCCTTATCGAAATCGGCCTGCTTTTTCTTCAAAATGTCAAGAAGAGCCTCAACCTTATCGGCGTAAGTGACGGCCAAGCCAACAAGGCCGTGCTTCATTCTGCGCAAGGCCTTTTCAGAAGGAGACTCCATATCATCAAGCTCAGAATAAATGTCCTCAAGCTGAGTCTGGACGCCTTCCAAAACTAAAATACGAGAAGTCATACTAAGATTAAGCTCGTTATCATCATCGGCTTCATCATCAGTAGAAGCTGGAGTGTAGCCCTCTTTGTTTAACTTATTGATACGATTGTAAATGCCAATGTATCGGTCGATGTTGACCTTAGCCTGCTGAAGACGATCAGCAACAGAAGACTCAGGAGTGTCTTCCTGAGCAGTAGCCTCGACAACTTTCTCGACTTCTTTAACTTCCTTTTCAGCTTTCTCAATGACCTCGGAGGCTTCAGGAGTAACCTCGTTATTGACCTCCAAAGTCTCAGGAGTAGTCTTAATAATGACCTCAGTATCGTCTTCAGCGGACTTAGCTTCAACATCAGTAGGCTTAGAAGGCTCTTCAGTCTGACACTCAACTTCTTCAGCGGGAGATTCTTCAGGAGTAGTGGAAATCTCGGGCTCAACAGTCTTCTCAGTGTCATCAGCAACATTGAAATCAGACTCAGATTCAAACTCAAAGTCGGACTCTTCGCTCGACTTCTCAGTCTTGGAAGGAGCGGGAGTAGCAGATGAAGAGGAAGAAGAAGAGAAAGTAGAAGCCTTAGGGGCTTCTTTAGTCTCATCATCGCTACTGTAAGAGTCAGCAAAAGGGACTACAAAGGCACTGCTGATGGCAGAAATTAGAGGACCCATTATTTCTTCGGCAATGCTACCAGGAGCATTGGATCGGTAATAATATCCAGATCTTCCACCATGAGGATAACCATGATGGTGGTGACGACGATGACGGCGGCCGCCATAAGAAGAAGCATGGCATCCAGAGGAACCAGCAAAAGAGGAAGCGCAGGAGCCAGTAGCAGCGCAAGAGGAACCATCAACATCTCTCTTGCGCTTAGAAGCACAAGAGGAAGACTTTTTGTGACAATGCTTAGCCTGGCAGCCGGTCTCAGACTCATCTGCAGTCTGAGAATCTTCAGCAGAAGCCTTAGCTGATGCCGTGGAGGAGGATGAATTCTTTTCATTAGATTCAGTCTTCTCTTTGGGCTCGTAGGTATCCTCAAACTCACTGTCGGAAGAAGTGAAAGACTCAGAAGAGTCACTAATATGACCGGAGTCAGGAATGAACTGAGAGGCAATCATAAAAGGAATCTCCAACAAAGAGAAAAGATTGAAGGGGTCCTGAGGTGCAGCATGTTGATGGTGATGATGGTGAGGACCATGATGGTTACCGTGATGAGGAGGGGGTGGAGGAGGGTGTCTACCATGAGGACCATGATGGGGACCAGGGCCATGATGGGGACCGTGATGTGGAGGTGGAGGAGGGTATCTACCATGAGGACCAGGGTGGGGGCCAGGTTCAGGACCACGATGGTGACCGTGATGAGGAGGGGGTGGAGGAGGGTGTCTACCATGAGGACCATGATGGGGACCAGGGCCAGGACGGGGACCTGGACGAGGGCCGCGTGGAAAGTCGGGGCCATCTTCAGGACCATCATAATGATGGTGGTGGTGATGACGATGACGGGAACGTCTATCTTCTGGGGCCCCATGAGGAGGAGGTGGAGGTGGTGGTGGAGGAGGAGCATTAAAGGAAAACCCACCAGGACCGCCATAGCCAAAGAAAGGAGGAGGGGGAGGAGGAGGAGCATAGTACTGAGAATCACGGCCACCGAATGGAGGGGGAGGAGGAGGTGGTGGAGGAGGGTATCCATATCCACGTCGTTCTCCACGACCACGGGGTTGATAGCCAAAATCTTCAGTAAATGCAAAAAAAGGATTCATAATAAAAGTTGTTGATAAAAAGCTGATAATGTGAGAAGATGAGTTTTGATGATTGAATGATGTTGTAAGATAAGGAAGAAGAAAAAAAAGTAGGAAAACTGGAAGATATCTGGTCCTTTTTATATAATTTCCCAGTGACTGCAAAATGGACTTTGGTTGTTACGTAGGGGCTGAAAAATCAGAGAAAGTTCTTGAATGTGCTAGAATCAGTTGCGAGACTTGGTGGCGTTTAATGATAGAGTTTTGTGAATTTAGCAGGCAAAGCCCCAGATACACGTAAGACAGTTTACTGTAGAGGTGCGATTGCGTCTTTTTTTGTGCGTCATTACATGTTACAGTTTCCTATCTGGGAAAGCCGCATAATAGAGAAACTTAATTTTTTAAAGGCTTAGAGCATGCTTTGGCAAAAAAGTTGGTTGGAGCCAAAAATATTTCTAAAATAAGCAAAATTTCCCAAAATTAATTTTCAAATAACTGACCTGATATTGAGAATATTTCCATTTTAGTCTAAATATATTGGATCTATCGTATGAATCTGACGTAATCTTTTTTAGAAATCCCTCAAAAATAAATTAAGTCGATCCTTAGCTCAGAATTAAACTCAAATGTTTTTAATTTTTGATAGGTTAAATAAAATTTGATATTGGAAAACAAAAAATTTAAAACGCACTATTTCGACTCGTAATACATTCTGATTTATTATCATACATTTTTAAATCAAATCAAAAAGAAAAAGAAAAAAAGAAAAAAAAAGAAAACGTCATAGAGGGCTTTTTTTAACTATCTGCTTTGAAAGTAATTTTTTTTCAATAACTATGTTTAACATTTCAAATCTTTCTTTAAAGGAACATTTATGCAATGATTAATATATTAATACTATTAGTATAAATCATTTAGTATTTACTCTATGATTATTTCCAATTCCAAAAATAGTTCATGTGTCATTAAGCTATTTCCATTTTTTTATACCTGTGATTCAACTCTTGTGGTCAAAAAATAATTTGGAAACAATATCAAGTTATTTTTTGTTACAATAATCTGTAACACAAAATCTGTAACACAATTTGTTTACATAAAGACCATAATACACAGAAAAACATTTCTAAACAGTCTCTTTTGCAACTTAGTTCGACAGCTATTCATCAGTGATAGAAATGATATGATCTCTCTATCTCCTCAATATGAAAATATTATGTGTGGCAGAAAAACCATCTGTAGCCAGAGGAGTAGCAACTGCATTATCTCAAGGGAGTTTTGTAACGGTATGGGCCTTTTTTTTAATCATACTTCAACGATTAGAAAACTAACGCAGTTTAAAGAGAAATTCTCAAAATAAATATATAAAAAATTATGAATTTAATTTTGTATTCCCAAATTGGGGAGACTGTCAAGTCACAGTCACAAGTGTTTTAGGGCATCTCAATGATACAGAGTTTGCTGACCCACAGTACAGAAACTGGAGAGGCGTTGATCCTAGCCATTTGTTTAATGCTCCAATCATAACTTTTACTTCTGAATCTAATAAGACAGTGGCAAAAAATATTAAAGACGAAAGCAGAACTGCAAATAAGCTATTTATTTGGACAGATAACGATAGAGAAGGAGAGCATATTGGCTATGAAATTTTTAAAATTGCATGCAGTAGTAACCCGAATCTCACGATGAGTAACGTGCACAGAGCAGTTTTTAACAACATTGAAGAATCTCATATACGACAAGCAGCAAAGAATCCTCGTCAATTAGATATGAGACTTGTGAATGCTGTTATAGCTCGAATAGAAATTGATTTTCGAATAGGAACAGCTTTAACACGCTTTCAAACTCTCGCTATTCAGGATGCCATTACCACTCTTAAAAAAGACGTAATTTCTTATGGACCTTGCCAGTTCCCTACTCTTGGATTTGTGGTTGATCAATATAATCGAGTAACAAAGTTTGTACCAGAAAACTTTTGGTATATATCTATTGACGCCAAAATGCCACAAAGTTTTGTTGATTTCCAAAAACAACAACAACAGAATGAAGAAAACACAAATACTAAAAGACGAAAGACTTCTAAGAATCGCATTGATGTCCTTAAGTTTACGTGGAGTCGTACTCGACTGTTTGATAGAGCTGTTGCATACGTTCTGTTTCACAGATGTATCAACACCGGAACTCGGGCACAAGTTATCAATGTCAAAAAGGTTCCTACATCTCGTTGGAGGCCTTTACCTTTAACAACAGTCGAGCTGCAAAAGGTTTGCTCTAAGTTCAGAGGATTAACACCTAAAAAGGTTTTAGATGCTGCCGAAAAACTGTACAATAAAGGGTTCATATCTTATCCCCGCACGGAAACAGATGTTTTTGACGAATCAATTGATTTAAACAAGCTAGTGGAAAAACAGTTTCATTCCCCTGAATGGGGTAATTATGCAAAGCGGCTTCTTGGTCATACACAACCTCCGCAGCCCCCGACAATATGCACTCCCAGAAAGGGAAAACATAACGATAAAGCACATCCACCCATCCATCCGGTTGCGTTTGTCAACTCGTCCGCTTTAGAAGATGAAGGTCAACGGATAGTTTTTGAATTTGTTGCTCGCAGATTTTTGGCATGCGTTTCTCCCGACGCTAAAGGCGCTACTACCACAATAACATTGAACTGGGGCGGCGAAACATTTTTTGCATCTGGCCTAGAGGTTCTGGAAAGAAATTTTCTTGAGGTTTATTATCCATATCAAACATGGGCTTCTTCGGCGGTCCAAATCCCACCAAATCTATTTTCTCCAGGTGCTACAGTAGAGTTGGATTCTGCCGATTTGCTTGAAGGTACTACATCGCCACCACGCTATTTATCTGAAACTGACTTGATTTCTCTTATGGATGCAAACGGAATTGGAACAGATGCAACCATGGCAGATCACATTCAAACTATCATTGATCGGAACTACGTGAATAAAATTAACCCACCAGGCGAAAGTGGTGTTTCACGACTAATACCTTCAGCTTTAGGATATGGATTAGTAGAAGGATATGATAAAATTGGTTTTGAAAAGTCCCTTTCAAAGCCGTTTTTACGGAAGGAAATGGAGGAATCAATGGTAAAGATAGCTAATGGTGTTAGTTCTAAAGAAGAGATTTTAAGAGCGACTCTTTCTAAATATTATGATGTATATAATATTGCACGACGACAGGTAAACGTCTTGGTCAATACCACAAAGAGTAATTTTGAAAGAGTGGTTAACATCGCTAACAATACAGCTAATAGTAGTTCAACTCAGGGGAGAGGTCGCAACCGTGGTCAATCTTCTACTACTTGAACCATTATATTAAGTATATACAATAAATAATGAGCGATGATATTAACTATAATTGATAGCCTTTTTTGCAAATTTGATTAACGTATTATATAGAAAAAAATTTCATAATGCTGATAGAATTAACAAGTCATAAGCCATACTTTATCGAACTTCTAATGGAGGGGGAACATCCGGAACTTTACCTATGGTAAATTCATTACTTTCAAATTCCGCCTTAAAAACATCTGAAAGTTCAGAAAGGGAAAATGGCTTATCTAACGGATCTATAACTGTGGATTTAGCATTCGAGCTACCAAACCCAGGACCAGCACTAGCCCCGAATGGAGAAGCAGTGCTGGATCCAAATGGAGAGCTTTGATTAAAAAACGAACCAAATGACGATGAATTTTCAGGTTTCTGAGAAGATCCAAACCCTCCAAACCCTCCAGAGTCTCCAAATGGTGATGAGGTAGATGACTGAAGCGAAGCAAATGGCGATGAAGATTGAGCCTGAGCTTGAGCTTGAGCTTGAGATCCAAAAGGCGATTGCTGATTATTGTTGGCCGCAACCCCAAATGGCGAGTTTGTTTTTTGTGTAGCTGCACCAAATGGCGAGCTAGAATTCTGTGTAGAAGTAGAGCCAAATGGTGAATTTGTATTTTGTGTGTTCGCAGTGGCAAACGGAGATGTATTTGTTGTTGTAGAAGTGTCAAATACCGATGGCTTAGAAGCAACACCAAAAGGTGACGCATTTGTAGATGTAGAGCTAGAGCCAAATATCGATGGCTTAGAAGCAGCAGAACCAAATGGAGAGTTATTATTATTGGAAGCCCCAAATGGAGAGCTATTTTGATTACTTGAGAATGGAGATTGACTGGAAGCATTATTGTTTGTAGCAGCACCAAATGGCGAACTTGATGCAAAGGGATTATCATTTGTATTAGTAGTTGCTGATCCAAACGCACTTCCTTGATTACTGGCAAAAGAAGAAAACGGGGAGGCATTTGATGAGGTGCTCGTATTGCTGAATGCTCCAAATGCAGACTTGGGAGCCTCGCTTGAGCCAAAAGCGGGTTTACCAAAACCAGATTGACCAAAACCCGACTGGCCAAAGCTAGGCTGGCCAAACCCGTGTTGACCAAAGCCAGATCCTGATGTAGTTGTGTTTGTTGATTGCGATGAAAACCCTCCCGTGCTAGTATTACTAGATGCTCCAAATGGGCTTGATGTGTTGCTTTGGGTTACCGAACCGAATGGATTTGTGTTGTTTGAGGATGACACAAACGACTCAAAAGCGCCACCTCCGCTTTTGTTGGACCATGATGATTTTTGTTGGTTTCCAGATGACGCGGTTCCAAATGTAGAAGATCCAAATGCTGGACTAGAAAAAGAGGAGGATCCAAAAGGATTTGAAGTAGTGTTTCCGGAGGAAGAGTTTCCAAAGCTTCCAAAAGCTGATGATCCGGTATTTGTACTACTTCCCCAGCCTCCACTGGATGTGTTGCTGCTATTAGGAGGTAAAAAGGCCATTTTTGGTTCTTGTTCCTTACTTCTTTGAGAGTAACGAGCTGCTTTATCGCTATTAATCTGTATGTGTTTTTCAATTTCCTGTTGCTTTTTGACTTCTGCTTCGACTTGATAGCGATATTGCTGTTCAGTATTTTTTTGTTTTGCTAGGTAAAAATTCCAGCGATCTTCGTCAGGAGAAATATCACGATCTGAAATAAGATTTTTTTTAACCTCAGAAATAGGTGAGAAGCTTGAAAAAACCCACTCTGGTCTTTCTTTTAAGTTATCAAGTATAGTTTTTTGGACACCTTCAATGTCCTCGTCTTCCGGTAATTCGTTGTTATTAACTCCGGGATGGATATATTCACAGTTGCTTCCTTTTGCGCACCGACCTTTTGTGTAATATTTGCAGATGATATTTTTCCTGGCCATGTTCTGAAGGACAGAAAAGAAAAGATATTATCCAATACGATAAGCTTAGGTTTTTTTTGTTTTAAAAAAACAAAAAAGTATGCCCTTTTTATTGCTTATTTGGTGGTTCTGAAAAGTTTTTGTTGATGGTGATGATTACTAACGAAGTTTCACTACCACCATCAATTTCACCCAAATGCCACCACCACGGTGATCTCATCAGCCACTCCAACTCCACTTTAAAATTTTTTTTTTGTTTTATTTTAAAAATTTCTCTCCACAGCTTTCGCTTTCACTTTTACCTAAATTTTCACCACTTGCCTGAACATAAACGTCTGGGTTTATTCCTTAATTTGGATAAATCGGTTACCAGAAAGTTTTGACAGCATGATTTTTGCCATCATCAAAGCCATCAGTCCTTTTCAAAATTTTCTTCACTACCGCTTTTGTTTAGCCTTATCATGACCGGTAATCAACCTGTCCATATCAACACTAATTTTGCGCCAAAAAATGGCCTAACCCAATCTTCTACTGAAAATGAAAAGATCATTGCTTCTCTCCGTATTTCTTTGGAATCTTTCATAGAAAAGCTCGCTGCAACTAACAATACCTTTGAAGTTTTGCGTTCTAAAATAGTTCTTTCTAGCCATGACAATGTTTCTGACCCTACATCCAATAGTACCCAACAACCAACTGACCGTATAAGCTTGACCCAAAATATACTAGATCTTGATGAAGAGATTGATGCCCTTCTTGCTTTTATTGGATCTCAATTTTCAGTCTGGATTTTTGATGACTTTGTTAATTCTACTTCGCTCCAAAACACTCTATGGAAATCGTTTTATTACACAGTAATTAAAAGCTATCAACATCATGTTGTTGACCGACCAAATAATTTTACTTTTCCCACTGAAGCCGAAAATGAGCAAGCTCGTCAACTTGCTCGTAATCGGTTCATTAAGCTTTGCAAACATATCAGCCACTACTATAAAGTACTCATTACTAGAATGGTGGAAATTTATGGATACACACCTCAAATTTTATATGTGGTCTCAGTTCTTCAGGTAGAGCCTGAAAATTTAAACACTTCACCTAGAGCCAACCAATCAGTCACACCAATTTTGCATACATCTATACATGATTCTTTATGCCATATGGGCGATTTATCCCGATACCGCTCCATGCTCCATCCCAGCTCTAATGAAATTTCGCTCGATTATAATCACTCGATTATTTATTATACTACCGCTTCCAAAATCAGACCTAGTTCGGGTATTCCCTTGAATTTACTTGGAAATATTAGTTTTTCTCGTGGAGACGTGTTCACTGCAACCTATTACTTTTTGCGTTCTGTTGCAGTTGATGAACCATTCCAAGATGGTCCAGCTAATTTGAGAATTATTCTCAGAAAACTAGTCAAGTTAAAAAATCTCTCAGAAAAGCCAATTTTTGGTTTAAGAGAGGTTGATGAAAACGATTCCTTCAATGATATTGATAATGAAAATTCGGTGACTGGTAACTCTCAGAAAGATGTAAAGGAAACCCTTTTGCAGATCATTCAGCTTTACAGTACCTATTACTTAGCCCAGCTTCCTTCCAAAACATCATCTGACCCTTTTAAGTTTTATGATCCTAATTCGGAAGACCGTCAGCAAGAATTCACTGATAGGCTTTACGAACTTTGTAAGGACCGAGAGATTCCCAGCAGAATTATTTCTAAACTTGTCATCATTGCTATTACTTTTGTTTGGTTACTACATCAATCCTGCGATGCTGATAGCAAAAGAGACTCTAAGAAGGTGAGTAATGCTGTGTTGACTCCCCAAAAGGCATACAAACTTGTAGTGGGCTTCACTCTACGCATTTTTGATAAGCTTCTTTCTGCTGCCCTTCGTAATGTTTCTGTTGTTGGAGATCGCAAAAAGCTCGCCTCAGGAATGGCTTCGCTTTTGCCCGCTTTTAGAATTTTAATGGATTGGCTTCATAAGCAATTAGCAGGTTCAGCTATTACGGAATGGGGCCAAGATTCGACTCAGTGCAATGCAATTTTTTTGAAAGCTTGGCAGTTGCTTGAACATTTACGAGAAGTTTATGGTTTCAAATTTGATATTTCAACTGCTGTTGCTCGTTCAAACTGGGATAGATTTGAAGAGATTTTAAAGCGTCAAAAGGAAAATGTTTCTCAAGAAGTTGGCAAAAAGGTTTTAGCCGAAAATTACGAGGAGACTCATTGCTTGGGATTAACACCTCTCGATGGAGGAATCAGTGACACTCCCACAGGTCTTGATCCGGCTGAATCCTTGTTGCGTACCGAACAGGACCTTTACCGTTCACAGTGTCTCTTGTTTTCAGGTGTTGAAATTAGCCGTCTTTACTTGACATTTTTGAGCCTTGACGAGTTCAAGGGCCAAGACTCTCATTTTAGCTTTGAGCCTATTGATTTTGAAAGCGTTGTTTTTGCCTCTGAAAAAGAAGAAGAAGAAGCTGTGGGGGAAGAAGAAGAATCTCAACCATTTCAGTATGCTGATATACCAAGGGCTCCCCAAGGATTTGGTAAAAGCCCGATTAATGATAAACAGCATTCTGAAAGTAATACTGGAAGCCAATTTTCTAGTTGTCTTAACAATGCTGAAGAGGAAGTTGTCGATGAATCTGAGTACTACAAGATTGGTCGAAATGATGCTGTTTTTAAAAATGGTACTGATGGAGATATGAATCGAAATCCCCAATTCAATGGCAACGGTAATCACAATAATGGCAACAGTCAGAATCGTGCACTGTTCCCCAAATTTTCTGATATGAACTCTGCCTCTCCTGCCTTTTTATCTAGGCTTTACAATTTGGAACATGCCCAGTTCAGCCATAAGAGCAGACGTTCTCGCTCAGACGGGCGGAATAATGCTCGTGGACACAGTTTGGGTACTTCTGAATCTCCTTTAGGCCAGAATAGACAAGGGTCTCGTGCAGTCAGTTCCAACAGCAGCAATAATACTAATACTGGAAATGAACCTGCGTCTCCCAAACGCAGACGGCGTCGCCGCCGGGGACGAAGAAGTAGACAACAGAAGAATGAGAATGTTTCTGCGGAGAATAATGGTGAGGTAGAGGATGATGATGAAAATATTGTTATGGACAAGGCTGCTTCTCATATGAGACAATTGGATCTTGATGAAGATGGTGATGAGGATGAGGAAGAAGAAGATGATGATGATGATGACAGCGAGGATAGTGACGAGGAGGTTGTTTTCCAAGGTCGTGGAAGAGGAAGAGCAACAGGTTAGACAAATCTTTGAACCTTTTTTTTTCTTATCAGTCTTATTATTTAATCGTTATAAACGATTAATGTTATTGATGGCAATGAGAATAAAAAAAGATACCAAACAAGACTTTATTTAGAACCAATCCTGACTCTTTTGTTTGCTCATGGTTGTTCTATCTATTCTTTTTAATTCAGGTCGTTTTTTTTTTTTTTTTTTGATTCGAATTAAAAAAAAAAGTGAAATTGAAGTGGAAGTTGAAGTTGAAGTTGAAGTTGAAGTTGAAGTTGAAGTTGTTTCGTTTGGCTATGCCCCCTGTTCTTGGTGCGACTTTATTTTTATTTTACTATATGTTCTGTTGGAAGAAATGTTTATCAAGAAGAAGTGATGTATTTGAATGAATGAGAATTAATTTTATTTATAATCTGTTAAGTAGGGATATAATTTATATATTATTAAAATATTATTTATATCAATTTGCTATACTTTTGATAATTTTCTATTAATCTAAAAAAGTATATCAGCATTCAAGCTATTATTTATGCTCCTACTATATAATTTTTCTGTTTTAAAATTAAATTTTGAGTTTTAAATTTAACTATGCTGTAGATAAAATCTTAAAATAAATCAGTTTATATTTGTTTGTCTTTATTCAAAAGTAAAGAAATCATTTTAATTTCTTTTTAGTGGTTTTGTGATTTTTGTAATTTGGTTTTAAATAATAATAACATTGTCTTGTTTCAAGTTATTCCTTGTGGCCCAATGGCAAGGCGTTCGCCTACGATTATTGTGTTGCACAGCGAAAGATTCCAGGTTCGACCCCTGGCAGGGAAGCTAAACTTTTTGCAGTTTGACTTTTTGTTTGCTATAAGTATGTAGCACTAATGTTTTGTGCAAAAATGAAATTATATTATACTTAATTTACAAAAATAAAGATCCAGCAGCAATGGCAATTGTGAAAAGAGTGTTTGGAGATCCCAAAATATTTGCAAAAGATGTACTACTGGTTGTTGCAGCAGCCGAAGCACTTGCCGAAGCACTTGACGCGGATGCTGAGCTTGAACTTGTAGCAGTTGCCTGTGTTTGATTCGTAAGGGTGCCATTAATGACAACAAAATGGGTACCATTAGAGTCAATGGTAGTTTTTGAAATGTTCGTTGGAAGGTTGTCAAAATAAGTTTGGTTTTCAGTCTTTTCGCAAGAGCAAGGATTGTACTGCATGCAAAAGCAACGGACAACATAGTCAGTTCCGTTGATAGTAGTATTATAGGAGTACTCATAGGTACCATAGTGGCCCCAATATCCTGGGTAAGCTGAAGAAGCAGCACCAGCTAAAAGAAACACGGCGCCGAGACCAAGACCAGTAACTGCTCCTGCTGCAAAGGGAGTTACTGCACCTCCAGAGTACAGGCCACTAGAAAGCCTTGAAGAAGAAGTAGAGGAACCCCGTGACGAAGAAGAAGTTGAACCACTTGATGAAGAAGATGATGAACCTGTTTTTCCAGAACCACTACTCGAACTACTTGAACTGCCGCTGCTGCTACTCCCAGATTTACCGCCGCTGGATCCACCCCGACGTTTTTCAAAAGAAAGATCCGGGTCGTCATCTTTAATTATCATTACTGGTTTGCCATTGACACTGCTGAACTTGAAGTTGACAAGTTTTTCTTCCAGAAAGGGCAAGTCGTCAAGAGGCACAAAGTGTGTATTTGCGGGGAGGTTGCGTGGAAGAATGGCAGGGTTTGCATTTCTTGGGTTGAATTTAGGAATCAACAAATCTGAGAGCGTTCTTCCAGAAACAAGTGAAGATGTGAAAAGAAAAGGGGTTAAAAAAGTAGTTGATATCTTCATTTTAAATGGATTTGTATAGTTTTTTTTTTTTTTTCAAGAAGGAAGGTATAAAATTAAGAATTGAAGAATTTTATATAAGCATAGTGTAAATAAAAAAAAATATTACAATTGTTGATGTGCGGATTGCTAGGGTTTTTATAGGTGGTAGGCTCAAAAAGAAAAATTTTAAGAAGTTTCTAAGCCTCTTCACAACAGCCCCAAAGGATCGCCTTATGACAGCTTTTCATGTTGGTTTGGTAGACTTTCAAAGAGGTAAAGTGGAGGATAATTGTTTGTAAAAAAAAATTATCGAAGGATTGAATGAAAAATTGGAAGTTTAAAAGAGTTGATATATTATAACGGTTCTACCCCAGGATGACGTAGCCTAGTTATGGACGATAAGAGATTGGTGTCGCCGTCACAACATTTATTATCAAATATAGTACTATATCATTTATCGTAATTAACAAGATCATCTTCTCAAGATTATAAAACTTTTTTCTGAAAAGAATTAATAAATAAATATATAAAAAAAAAAGTCATTTCGAACACACTGCCACATTCTTATGCAATCGGATCGTCATAGGTTTTTTTTTCAATATAGTTGCTGTGGCAAAATAAGCCCCCAACTGCGCCCAAACCACTATTTCTCAACTTATGACAGCATAACTATAAGAAACCATTTTGGAATGATGTTGATTAAATAAATGCTTATTTTTTTAAAAAAAATTAATATTGAATATTATAATACAGTAAAATTAAATAATTGATATATATAGATATAAATAATTTTGGAAAAAAAAAAGTTACAAATAAAAAATGCCAACAACTGAAATCGCCAAGAAGAGAAAAGTTTCTGGAATCATGAGAGCAATTCCCAAAGATTCCAAGACAGGAGCAACTGGTTGATTTTCAGGTGAAGACGATTGGGAACTTGAAGTGAGAGCTGTAGAATTAATCAAAGTTCCATTGACCATTACGGTACGTTCCCCAGTACTTGTGACAGAGATTTTGGAAAAGTTTCCAGAAAGATTTTCAAAGTAAACAAAGTTTTGAGTTTTGTCGCAAGAGCAGGGATTAAATACCATACAAAAGCAGCGAACAGAATATTGAACCCCATTAATAGTTGAATTGTATGAGTAGTCGTATACACCCTGAGTGCCCCAATACCCTGGATAGGCGGCAGACACAGAAGAAGATAGAAGAAGGACTGATTGAAGACCAGAATGGGTGGTAGAACCGGCTATATAGACAGAGTTGGAGCCACCAGCATACAAACCGTTAGAAAGTCTTGTTGAAGACGTTGAAATAGTGATGGAAGAAGAAGAAGAAGAAGAAGAAGAAGAAGAAGAAGAAGAAGAGCTACCGGAGCCAGGTTCATTTGAGTAACTATTGTCATTATCGTTTTCATTTTCATTTTCATTTTCATTGTTATTACTATTGCTATTGCTATTCGTGTTGCTATTAGTGTTACTGTTAGTATTGCTGTTTGAGTTTGAGTTGTTCGTGTCACTGTTACTATTGGTATTACTATTGGTATTACTATTGGTATTACTATTGGTATTACTATTGTTTATTGTATTGGTATTTGTATTTGTATTTGAATGATCAATATTATTGGTGTTGCTATTATTAATGATAGTATCACTTGTGCTCACTGAATTACTGTTTCCATTATTTACATTACTGTTGTAGTTATTATTTACCGTATTTGTATTTCCTCCAGTAGAAATACTTGTCGAAACACTATATGAATAGCTGCTGCTTCCAGGTACAGAATGCCTATTAAAGAGTACTTGAGATACATCGCTGGTTTGGCCTCTTTTTTCCAAAGCTGCGGTTTCTATCTCTGGGTCGTCTACGCTAAGTGTTTGGGTAAAGCGTATTTCTTTAATTTTCTTGGTACCCAGGATGCGCAGGTTACTTGTGTCAAGGTCCTCTAGTTCAGAAGAATCTAAAGCTTGTATAGCTGGAACCCCAGGAGCTGCAGTCAGAATAAGAGGAATCAAAAAAGAAGAGGAAAGGGTTAGAGAAAAAAATGAGGAATTTACTTTCATTGTGTATGTAATTTGATTGATGAAAAAAATATGGTCATTTTGATAGAAAGAAAATAAAAAAAAAAAAAAAAAAAAAAAAAGAGAAGAAGAAATCATTGGTATTTAAATGATTCTTTTGATAAAATGTTCTATATCAAACGGAATTTTTTCAAATGTATATTTTTAGAGTCGTTTCATCAACGGATTGATTCAAGACAAATGTCAACAGTATCGACACAATTTGCGGGAAAACTCCGAACAATGAAAATAACTATAAAAAAAAACTTCATATTGCTAGAAATTTTATGTCAAGTTTCTTTTTCTTTTCTTTCTTTCTTTCTTTTTCAAAGGCGTGACCGATCTCTTTTTTAAAAAATTTCCTATTTATTGGTAAGTTGATAATGGTTTAATTTTCTTTGGAATCACTTTCTTTTTTTTTTCTAGAATATATAACGTTTTGAACAAACGTCAACGGCGGGCAAAGATAACAAGATCTAACACCCAATTTCTCCTTTGGTCAAAAAAATATATATTGTTTGGCGTTTGGGATGAATCATGTTTTTAGTAGCAAAACACGCAAGCATTGAAACAATTCATGCCAACGGTTATACCGGTACAGGTAAGGAATTATGGAGAGGAGTAAAGATAAAAAAAAAAAAGCCTTGAAGGGTCTACGTGTGGGGTTGAACCACACATGAAAAACATACACAAGAGATTGTTTTTTTTTGAATAGGGGAAAAAAAGTTTATTGGTAATGATTCCTTGTTAATTGTTTTTTTTTGTCATGTGTGTTTCTGATTCAAAATATTTAAATTTATACTTTTAAAGTTCCTTTTTATTTTTATTAATATTAATTTTTCCTTCTTTTTTCATATCTAAATGACAAAGGGGACGTAAATCTTACGGTTCTTGGGGTATTTGTCACCAAACTCCTTACGGTATCTTCTGTGCTTCTTGACACCCCAGAACCACATTTGGGTAGTAGAAACAGTGAAAAACAAAAGGGATGTCCAGTTCTGGGTAATAAGAAGGATAGCGAACCAGCCGAGGGATTCGAAAAAGTAGTTCGGGACGGAAACAAGGTTGAAGCCATAGCCATAGGGAATCTTGCGGGTCTTTGAGCCGTCTGATCTCAAGGAAGAGAGAATGAGATGGGTCCAACCATTGGAGAGTTCAGCAAAGAGCCAAAGGGCAGAAAGAACATAGAGAGTGGTAGCACCGAGGGGGACAATGTTTCTGCCAAAAAGGAAACGAGAGATGATAGACTTTTCAGGAGCAACGTATGATTCAGGAGCATAGATGAAGTAAGCCAGGTTAATACCTGAAAGGAACCAGTAGTGAGATGAGTTTTTAAAGACATTGAAGACGGGCATGGTGTCAAGAGAAAAATGGTGAACAAAGGCAGTCTCAAATTCGCGCTTAATGAAATGGAGCATGGTGAAGATGAATGCAAGTTGCTGGACACGAGAGTGTTCAAAAGTGGAGCCGTAGATGGCCTTTTGACCAAAGTAGAAGATGGGGTGGATGAGGAGGGGTCCAAAGTATTCAATGAAGAAGACAGTGCGCCATTGGATCTGTGGGCCAAGGTCTTTGACGTAAATGATAGGAGAATTGGTAGAGGTAGCAGAGAAATAAGTAGAAAGAGGCAATGCCGGATCAAGAACGGTATCGCGCTTTTTCTGGTTAGGTTCTTGGGGCTTGTCGTCGGATGCGGTGGGGATAGTGAGACGGATTCTATGAACGGAAAGCCCAGTTTTGTCTGAAATGGACTTAATTACAGTTTGGACAGGCTCAGTAAGGGGGCCGTTAAAGGAAGTAGGGCAATTGGAAATTTTCCCACGCTTAGTCTTGATGGCAATTTCAGACATATTTTTGTTGGTCTTTTTTATTTTTTTTTTTTTTTTTGGCCAAATGTTTGGAAGGGGTTGGGTTGAAAAAGGATAGAGGAGGATGGGGAGGGGGGGTTGTGAAGAAAATTGGGTGTACCGATGTTATGCGTAATTTTAGGACTCTGCGAATAGTATGGTCTGTCCGCGTGCGTTTCCCAGCGAAATTTTTCATTTTTGATTTTTTTTTTTGATTTATTTTTTTTTTTTTTGTCAAACCACCAAAAAATCAAACAACACACATCCCCCCAGCAGAAAGCATTCAAAGCCACCCAAGGAGGAACAGTAAAGAAGAAGAAAAAGACGCGTCGGTTCAACATGAAGCTCGTGCGGTAAGTTTTTATAGAGGAGTTATTTAAGAAGAATCTTTCTAAAAAAAAAAAAAAATTTATTTTTCAAAGTTTGCTGACTGGAGAGAATTTTAGATTTTTAATGAAACTGACAAACGAGTCAGTCCAAATAGAGCTTAAGAATGGTGAGTTTTTTTTAATGATTTTAAAACAAAATTGATTTCATTTGATTTTATTTTATTTTATTTGCTAACAACTTTTCCCCCCCCTCCTCTAGGTACAATTGTTTCGGGCACAATTCTATCTGTGTCACCAAATATGAACACAACACTACGGGGCGTAAAAATGACAATACGGAACCGTGAACCGATATCATTAGAATATATCAACATTCGCGGCAGCACCATTCGTTACTTTATTCTACCTGAGTCGCTGCCGCTGGATACACTACTGATTGACGATACACCTAAGCCTAAGGTGGGCAGTGGTGCTGGTAATGCGCGGCAAAACTCGACACGTGGCCGGGGTGGCGGTCGCGGAGGTCGTGGAGGCCGTGGGGGCCGTGGAGGAGGTGGCGGTCGTGGTGGACGCGGTCGTGGGCAATCGAGTCGGGGGTTCTAGAGAAGGTTGTTATTATTATTATTATTATTATATATGGGTGTGTGTGTTTTTATGTTGTTTGTTATGATTATTACTATATTATTAGAGCGGTACCATTACATTTAATTACTATTTTGGAATTGAAGAAGCCATTGGAAGTACTCCAGGATCTTTTCCCAAATATTATAAAATATATATATATATGAATGAATGAATGAATGAAAGTTAGCATTTTGTTGATTTTGTTTAGTTGATTGTTGATTGTTGATTGTTGATTGTTTGATTGTTTGATTGTTTAATTGTATATGAAGATTGCGTTCTGACATTTACGCTTGAAACTCCGTAAACGCCGGACCGGACCTGAATCGGCGCTTTAGAGGTAAAGGTTTTTAACCGCCACAGCAGTGAATTTTTTTTTTTTTTTGTAAGGTATTTAACTGGCCTGAGATCCGCAAATTCCACGTTTTTTTTTTTTCTTTTCTTTCTTCTTTTTTTTTTTTTTTGATTCTTTTCTAGTATCTACAAATCTTTTGTTAGATTCACCATCCAGCTATAACCTTCATAATGACCAAGTACGTCTAATAATAATCACTAAATTATCCATTTCTATATATCATATACCATTACCTTCAATCATCTAGTCAAACTCTCCGGCAAACTGTCCCCGTGATGATGATGATGATGACTCAATTGGAATTTTTTTTTTTTTTTCTGATTAATCCAACCTCTCCCCCATACTAACCTCATTCAATTTCCAGATCCGTTCTCTTGCTCGGCTCCGGCTTCGTTGCCCAGCCCACTGTCGATGTCCTTGCTGCCACTCCTGGCATTGAGGTCACTGTCGGCTGCAGAACCCTTGCATCTGCTAAGGCTCTTGCCGGCGACAAGGCTAAGGCCATCTCTGTTGATGTCACTGACGAGAAGGCTCTCGACGCTGAGGTTGCCAAGGTCGACCTTGTCATCTCTTTGATTCCTTACATTTACCACGTTCTCGTTGTCAAGTCTGCCATCCGCAATAAGAAGCACGTTGTCACCACTTCTTACACTTCCCCTGCCATGCTTGAGCTCGAGGAGGAGGTCAAGAAGGCCGGTATCATTGTCTTCAATGAGATTGGTCTGGACCCTGGTATTGATCACCTTTACGCCGTCAAGACCATTGACGAGGTTCACCAGAAGGGTGGTAAGATTATTTCTTTCCTCTCTTACTGCGGTGGTCTCCCTGCCCCTGAGGACTCTGACAACCCATTGGGTTACAAGTTCTCTTGGTCTTCCAGAGGTGTTCTTCTCGCTCTCAGAAACAGTGCCAAGTACTGGAAGGATGGCAAGATTGTTGAGGTTTCCTCTGAGGACTTGATGAGCACTGCCAAGCCTTACTTTATCTACCCCGGTTATGCTCTTGTTGCTTACCCCAACCGTGATTCCACCACCTACAAGGAGCGCTATGCCATTCCTGAGGCCCAGACTGTCATTCGTGGCACTCTTCGTTTCCAAGGCTTCCCTGAGTTCATCAAGGTTCTTGTTGACATTGGCTTCCTTTCTGAGGAGGCTAAGGACTATTTGTCTGCCTCCAACGAGAAGCCCCTTGCCTGGAAGGATGCTCTTGCCAAGGTTCTTGGTGCTGATTCTAACGAGGAGAAGGATCTTGAGTGGGCCATTTCTTCCAAGACCAAGTTCAAGGACAATGACGACAAGGCTCGCATTCTCTCTGGCTTCAAGTGGCTGGGTCTTTTCTCTGATGCCCCCATCATCCCCCGTGGTAACCCTCTTGACACTCTGTGTGCTACTCTTGAGGAGAAGATGCAGTTTGAGGAGGGCGAGCGTGATCTCGTTATTCTCCAGCACAAGTTTGGCATTGAGTGGGCTGACAAGACCACTGAGACCAGAACCTCCACTCTTGTTGAGTACGGTGTTCCTGGTGGCTACTCTGCCATGGCCAAGACTGTTGGTGTCCCTTGCGCTGTTGCCGTTCGTCAAGTTCTTAACGGTACCATTAGCGAGTCTGGCATCCACGCTCCTGTTGTTCCCAAGTTTGCTTATCCTTTGATGAAGGAACTCAAGGAGGAGTTTGGCATTGAGCTTATTGAGAAGACTCTTTAAGTTATTTTTTTGTTGTTGGTTATGAAAGTTTTTGTATAAAAATTAAAAAAAAAAATTTAAATGATTTTATGATGAATAAATGAATAAATGAAGTAATGTATATATTATATATAATTTTTTTTGTTTTAGTCACTGTCGCTATCGTCGGAAGAAGATGATGAATCCTCCAAGTCACTTGCAATGGCACTAAGTCTGGGTTCAAGTTTCTCTGCATCTTCAAGGACAATACGTTTAGGTAGACGTGGGAGAGTAATATCACAGACACGGTCTTGGGTCAATAAGGTATCAATATACTCGTCCATGTAAGTGAGGCTGACGCCGGCCATTGATCTGAATCTAAGTTTGCGTTTATCGGCAAGAAGGGGTTCAAGGGTAGCAAAGACTTGATGTGGTTCAAAGAAAAGGCGAACATAGAATGCGGCAATGGCGGTAAGATATTTGAAATCATTTTGAGTGAGGTATAACAAAACAATGTCATGTTTAGGTTGTAGTAAAATAAGTTTGTAGAGAAGACAAAGAAATGGAGAGACTCTATGGTTTGCGTATTGGCCACCTATATATTCAAGCTCTACAGCACGGTCACATAATGTAGCGACGTTAAGACCGAAGCATTTTTCTTTATAGTAAAGAGATTCAAAGATACGTTCACGTAAAATCTTTTCAACCAAAAGACCCGGGTTAATGTTATGGATTGAGGTTCCGCCGCTCACGACGCCTAGATATTTTAAGTTAGAAAAAAAATAAAAATGAAAAAAAAAAAATAAATAAATAAATTAAAAAATAAATAACTTACCTCGGTCAATTATGTACCGTGCAGACTCAGGTTTAGAAGCAGCATCTGGTGCAGACATGACGGGGAGGGGGGGGGGATATTAAAAGGATGAAAAAAAAAAAAAACCAAAAATTACTGCTGGAATGGGATTATTTTTTTTTTATTTTTTTATTTTTTTAATTTTTTTTTTAAAGGTTTATTGTGAATATTTTAATTATGAGAGCTAAATATATAAGACATATATATTTATAATTAATTTATAATTTTTTTTTTTTTTTTGGAGGTAACAACAAAAAATTAAAATAAATATTAAAATAAATATTAAAATAAATATTAAAATAAAAAAAAAACTCCTCCCCAATCGTAAAAACGCCGCTTCTTTTTTTTTTTTTTCTCCCGCAAATTCAACACTTCCGCGTGGCCACTTCTTTAATAAAAATAAATAAATAAAATATTACACATACACACACACACAAATATTCTTCTTTTTTTTCTTTTTTATTATTTATTTATTTGTTAAAAACTTAACAACTTTGATTGATTCTTCTAAAGTAAACTCACTTTTTTTTTTTTTTTTTTTTTTCATAATCATCATCACCATATAACTCTGTAAAAATGTCTTTTAAATCATGGGGTGGATCAAAAAAAAAGTCTTCTTCTTCATCATCTGCTGAAGACTCACGTGGAACTTACTACCCCCATCATCAACAACAACAACAACAACAACATCAACAACAGCATCAACAGCATCAACAACATGATAGCTTGTACCAACCACAAGCTGTAAACCCTTATGCTCATACAGCTACTGGAACAGCTGCCCCCAATCCTTATGCAAATGGAACTGGTGGTACTGGAAGTTTGAGTGTGGGTTCTATTTCTGCAGCCAACATGGCGCGCAGACCGAGTCCCAACCCAGGCATGCATCAACAACCGTATCAACAACGTTCACAATCACAACAGCATTACCCTCAACCTCAACGATACCAACAACAAACTCCTCCCCCACAACAACAACAGCAACAACAATATCGATTCCAACCTCCTCGAGCTGCCTCTGTGGGAGGAGCAGTAGGAGTAGGAGTAGGAGTAGGAGCAGGAGCAGGAGCAGGAGCAGGAGCAGGAGCAGGCGTTGCAGATCTTAATAGTGGATATAACTTTAACAATGCAGTGAATGCTGGAGGACCCTCGAGAACATACACACCTACGCCACCACCACCAGGAACAGGTCCAGACGCTGCAGGAACATGGATGTCACGTAACAGTAGTGTATCATCATTGTCACCACGGACGTCTCAGTTTGATCAGCAACAGCAACAGCAGCAGCAGAAACAGCTACATTCACAGTCACAGTCACAGTCACAGCCACCGCCACAACCTAGTGAGCACGTGCTAGCGCAGCAGGAACCCGTATCATCTGGTGGTATTTCGTCGGTACTTTCTGGAGGATTTTTTTCACGGTTCAAGTCAAGTATTTCAAGTGCCACTCAGCAAGTATTTTCGCGTGATGTGGATGGCGATACGGATGATGACACATTGATTGCTGGAGCCTTGGTTCGGTACTATGCTGAAAATGGGACTGGAGTAATCCCCTCATGGCTTGCAGATGCAAAAGCTACCCGGACTTATAATGCTAAAATGGGTGGGGCTACTGTTAACATTGCACATGGTTCAAATGGAGTTATGAGTTCACCGGGATCATTTTCCGGGTCTTTGGCCGGAGCTCCTGGTTCTAATGAAGTGTACTATCCTCACCATCATAATCATAACAATAACAACAGCATGCAACAACAACGTGCATATTCTACAGCTACCGGGGCTGGGAGGTACGGTGGTGCAGGTGCGTCTCAGCTTCAGGATATTTATCGTAAAGCTTCAGCTGCAGAGCTGGCATATGGAGGAAATGCGGGAGCAGGAGCGGGAGCAGGAGCAGGAGCAGGGGGTTTACATGGTGGCAACGTGTCGGGTCCGGCGGGCCGGGCTGCATCGTCGCCGGCTGCAACAGGATACCAATACATGTCATGGAGCGCCAACAAGTCTGGAGTTACAGGAGTTGGAGCAAACAATAACAATAATAATAATAATAATAATAACGGTGCATCATCTGCAAACAGGTTTAGAGATAGACTCAAGTCGGCAAGACCGTCATTGGATCTGGGTGACCATTAATTAATTTATTAATTGATCTACGAGGTAATAATTAAAACATATTTTTAAACAGAAAAAAAAAACCCCCTCCCCCCCATAAGTATAGCAAGTATTTTAAATTCATCACTTCGTAATATTGTCTATTTTTTTTTTAAATATATATAGTTATATAGTCAAAGTCATAACATTCATCAATTTCTCCCATACCTTGAAAAATAAAAAGCCATGTCAAAAAAAAAAAATAAAAATAAAAACTCCGTTCTCTTCTTAATGCTCCCAAACCAAGGCCATATTTTTTTTTTTTTATCAATTAGCAATATTAAAATCACCACTTAATTATTTCAATTTTTTTCGAAAAAAAAAAAAAAAAATCAATCATCATTTCACATTTTCTCTTCAACTTTATCTCTTCTCTCCAATTGGCCTCTTCCTTTAATTTTTTTTTTTTTTTCAAAAACTTCCAAAGAAAAAAAAAACTTTTCTAAACTCATAGATTCGCACAACAATAAAAGTAGCCGCCGGCTTCGGCCAGTCGCTGCCTCTGGGGCGCGCCATTTGCCAGCCTGGCAGACCATCTTTAATCTGCGATAGAGAATCAAGTTTTTAATTCAAAAGGAAGGTAATTGTAAAAAAAAAAAAAAAAAAAAAAAGAAAAAAAAACCAATGTTGATAAAAGATAAAGATTCAAGAAAGGAAGAAAAGATAGAAAGGAAAAAAAAAGGGTGGGTTTTATAAAAGCAATTTCAAAAGCCAAAAGTCCGCAATAAGAGAAAATATGACATGGGTATTCTTCACAAGGTATTTTTGTTCTTATAATTATTCCCAAGAGAAAAAAAAATTCTCCAAAAGCTCTAAATTAAAACTTCCAAGACAATCAAAAACCAATATTGGAGTGATGCTAAAGTGATAATTTCTTTTCCATGGATCAAGAAAAAATCTCTTTCATAACAAGCATACAACAATTGGAGAAGGATTCATAGTGAGACGTCTCTCACAAGCCTCCAATCTGGGGATACTCAATCAAATGATCAAACCCACCCAAATCGTCGTCTTGGCCGGAAGCAATAATAAAGTCTGTTGCAGAAGAGTGGAGGCTCTTTTCACTGAACCACGAATAGTCCAATTCAAAGTCCACAAGGGTCGAAGGGTTCGACACAATGGTGGTATCATTATCCATTGTTGCAAGATTGTTAAAGACCACTGAATGATGGCGAGCAGATAAATCCTTAATTGGCTCTGGAACCGACGCTGCAGGTCCATTTCTTTCCTTTTAAAATTAAGAAAATAAAAAAAAAAAGGAAAAGAAATTCAAGTACACATCATTTCTGCGGGATGATGCGACCGGGTTTCGAGCAAGCCAAAAGGATAAACTGTAGCCGAATCAGGTTCAGTCTTAAACATAATGTCGAGGGGATATGACCGAGGAGAGCTTGCAGCAGATGAGCTTGAGCTCAAGCTAGGGGTAGAGACAGGACTGCCAGACTCTGACTCCAGGCCAGGAGAAAGGCTATTAAAGTCCTCGTTGGAGATTGAGGCGAGAGTAGTAGATGAAGGGATGACAGTCATGTCAGGGTTAGCAGCAGCGGCAGCAGCAGCAGCAGCAGTAGAGGCAGCAACAACTTCATTGGTTGTTGTTGTGGCTGTTGCAGTTGCAGTGGCTGTGGCAGTAGGTACGTCAGCAATAGGTTCAACCTTAATGACGGGCTCCATAGGCTCAGCCTTAATTATAGGAGGGCAAGTCTTTTTTGTGGTTGAACCTGTTGACTTTTTTGTAATCTTTGTTGTGGGTGTATTTCTAGTGGCGCCATTTAGAGCCTGTGTTGTAGGAATGGTTGCGGTGGTGGTGGTTGAGGTATTAGCAGCCGAGATTGTGGCGGGCTTAACCGGAGAAGTGGTGGGTGGCAGAGCTGCAAGCGCCGCATCTTGGGAAGTAAGTTTAGAAGCCCCATTGGCTGATACGGTTTGCGCGGTGGGTGACGTGCCAAAGGCAGCAGCTGCCGGGCTGATTGATGCCGCTGTGGTGGTGGTGGTGGCGGCGGCGGTATTAGTAGTAGAAGTAGTAATAGAAGTATTGGTTGTGGGTGTAGTTGTAGTAGTAGTAGTGGTAGTGGCGACGCCGGTGTTTGAGGCGACAGAAGCAGAAGAAGGCGGTTGAGAAGAGGTAGAGGAAGAAGAACCCGGCGACGCCAGCGAGGCCGGATAGGCGCTACTGGCGCCAGAGGATTTAGGAGAAGCAGCAAGTGAAAGATCATCTCTGATAGTTGAAGTGGCAGATTCAGTGACAGGAGCTGGAGATTGAGGGAGCTGAGGAGCAGGGCTATTTCCAGAGGAAGAAAGATCAAAGTCCATTGGAGAAGGTACAGGGACTTCAATGGGCTTCATAAGAGAGAGAGACTCGTCAAGAAATGTTTGAGCATTGATTGAAGAGAGATCACCAGAAGATTTAGCAGCTTCGACCATGGTGGCCAAACGCTTGAATTGTTCAAAGAGAAGAGAACGCTGGGATTGCATTTCAGTAAACCCAGAATGCAACTTTTCATTTTCTGAAGTAAGCGAAACACACTTCTTTTCAAGTTCCTCAACATGACGGCGCTTCTTTTCACGAGAAGCATGAGCAGCCTGACGATTACGCATGATGCGCTCAATGCGACGCTGTTCCTTTTCATCCTTAGTTTTGGCGCGTTTGCGAGGAGGCAAAGCACCAGGAGGAAGAGGGAGAGTCATGACTTCTTTACGCTTATTTGGTCCTGAACCGACAGTGGTTGTGATAGTAATTGGGACTCCGTTAGGGCCAATTTGGAGTTCTTCATAAGAACCAGGTGACATTGCAGCATCCATCTGTTGTTGATGTTGATGTTGTTGCTGCTGCTGCTGTTGATGCTGGTTGATTGAATTTTGAACTTGTTGCTGTTGCATCATTACAGGAGAAGATTGAAGAAGAACAGCAGGAGCTGGAATGGAAGGATGCTGTTGGGTAGCCTGCGAGATACAAGAAGCAGCAGCTGAGTCGTCAATGACAATAGCGGCAGGTGAGACGGAGGCGTCGATAGTAGGGATAGCCATTTTGAAGAGTTGATTAATCACAGTAAGAAAAACAAGGGCGGGTAGAGGAGTTTTACGAGGAAAACGGAGGTTATAGATAAAAAAAAACGTTTATATTAGTTTTAAATTTAATTTTTAGTTAATCAGAATTGAAAATGATGATATAGTTAATAATAATAATAATATATAATAAAGATTAGAAAATAGACAAGATGATGATGATGAATGATTTGAATTTCAACAAGAATAGTTTGTGGATGAAAATGAATAAATATATAGCAATAAATAAATTAAATAAAAAAAAAAAAAAAAGGAGAGGATCTGGCGGGAGTTTTATAACCAAAAGGGGGGGGGGGAGAGAAGAAGAAAGGGAGGTGAGGTGAGGTGCTTGTTATATATGGGGCCTAAGGAGTAGAGAAATAATAATAATAATAATAATAATAATAATAATAAAAAATAAAAAAAAAAAAAAAAAAGGCTGCTGCTATCGTAATAATTAAATAAAAAGAAATTATTAATAATATAAAAATAAAATAAAAATAAAATAAAAATAAAAGCCTGACGGGTTCTTTTTTTTTTTTTTTTTTTTTTTCTTCACCTGTTTTTTTTTTTTTTCCCTCCGCCGAGTTTATTTTTTTTCTTAAAATAAATTAATAAAAATATTTTATTAAAATAATTAAAATTAAAAAATAAAAAAATAATTTTGGGTGGCGCGTTTAGCTTCTCTCACTGTTTCATACAAACACACACACACAAAATCGTCATTATTTCACAAGTTTATATTTTAAAAGGCCTCCCACCGCCCAGATTGTTTTGTATGATGAAAAATTTCCAATGTTACTAAAAAAAGGAGCAGAAGGGGGAGGATGGATGGATGGAGGGAGAGAGAGAGAGAGAGAGAGAGAGAGAAAGAGAGGCATGGACTTTGAGAAGGAGTATTAAAATGACCGAAATTTATTTATATTTATATTTAATAAATGTAAATTATTAATACAAGTTAAAATGGAATTAATTGAAAATGAAAAATGAAAAATGAAAAATGGAAATGAAGATAATAATCATAATGGATTCAAGAGTTGTTGATTTTGGAACTTCAGTTAATGAAAAATGTATATTTATAGAAGAAGAAAAGAATTATATATCATATAAACATTAATTAGAACTGAATTGTTTTATATTATTATATCAACAACTATATATATATATAATTATAAGACATTTCAATCAAATTATTCTCTAGAAAAGTATTATCCCGTTCTGCATCATTCCAATGTTCACACCTTATTTTTTATTTTTTTTTTTTTTAAAATAAATAAATAAAAAATACCGTTATTATGTTGGTACGCACATCAATTAAAGGAGGTTTTACAAAAGTTTTTCTTTTAAAAATGGAAAGGAATCAACATGATAATGATAAACAATATATACAATCCAAAGTTAGAACATCCATAATTGAGACCTTTTTTATTATTATTATTATTATCATAAAATAAAAAAAGTTTATATATTATATAAAAAAAACTTTTTTTTTATATAAACTGAAATACAAGAAAGAAAGAAAGAAAAAAAAAAGTTTGGTAGTAGATGGCCTCCTTATATTCTTCTCCTGTCAACAACAACAACAACAACAACAACAACAACAACAACAACAACAACAACAAGAAATTCTTCCATGGTTCTTCTATCATAGACGCCCAGTTATTTCCTCTTTAGTAACCTCCCAAATTCTATCTTTATATATATCTCATATAGCCATTTTTATAATATCTTACGAAAAAAAAAAAAATTACCAATTGTTAAACTAATGAAAAAAAAAAAAAAAAAGAACTCAAAACTCTTCTATATATATATATTACTTTACGGTTATTCTTCTTTTAATTATCGAGATTCATGCTACTATGCATCAAACTTGCGTACCAGTTAAAACAAGAGAGAAGGAGTAGTCTCTATTTTTTAAAAAAAAAAAAAAAAAATCTCATCTCGTCTTCTTCTCTCCCCAGGCTTTAAACCCAGGGTTTCCTTTTTTTTTTTTTTTTTTTTTTTTTTTTATTTTTATTTATTCCTTCATCTTCTTCTTTACCTTCAATCCCCACAAAATTAAAATACTTGGCTGTAATATATATTATAATAATATTAAAATCATTAATTATTAATGTATATAAAATATACTATGAGACACTTTCTTGGTCCATTGAAAAAAAAAAAAATAATAATAATAATAATAGATCTGCCTAGGACTTAATTTCCCTTCCTGTTTTTCTTGTACTTACTTGATAGGAAAAAAAAATACCTACAAAATGATTAATTTATTATAATTTAAATTAATTATTAGTATTATCAATGATAAAAACTCTTTTTTTTTTCTTTTCACCAATGTCTCAGTCCATTGATGATGAATATATTCTAAAAAAAATAAAATAGAAATAAAAATAAAAATGTGTTTTTAAAAATAAAATATATATAAAAATAGAGCCGATCTGCTCAATGTTTAGTGATCCATAGTTTATCGAGTAAAATATCTTTTAACAATAACATAATGTCAATCATCAGTGTATTAACTTACATATTATTATTATTTTTTTAAAAAAAAAGGGTTTCTTATTCTTCTGATATCAAAGTTAATAATGTTTATCGGTTTAATTTTTGATTTTGAATTTTGTATTTATTACTGACGACAGACAAAAGTCATAATAATAATATTAAAAAAACAAGTAAATTTTACCAGTTACCTTTTTTAATATATTAGTAAAGTTTTTTTTTTTTTTTAAATTGCAAATAATCTAACGGTTATTATTATTATTATTATAGTATAAATGAAATCATCATCATATTCTTCTTCTTCTTCTTCTTCTTCTTCTTTTTCTTCTTCTTCTTTATTTTTACCTCTTTTCTTATCTATTGTTTCATAAGGCTATGCTTATTTATTTAAAAAAAAAAAAAAGTGGGCCTTTCTTCTTTAATTGATTTTTATGCTTATAATGAGAAAATAGAAAATAGGAAAAAAAAACTCCTCATCATTACAATATTACCATATAAAATACATATTGAATTACCTTTTAATGTCATCCCTTCATTTACTTTGTATTTTTTTTTTTTTTTTTTTTGAAAGATGAGCAGGAAGGGTTTTATTTTTTTTTTTATCTTTCTCCTTTTTTTTATTTATTTATTTATTTATTTATTTTTTTTCAAAAAAAAAAGGCTAGTTTCAGGGGCATTATTAGGAGGCATGGAAAAAAAAAAAAAATTGAAATCAGGGAGGCTTTAAGGCAACGCCATCCCATACTATGTCATATCAGACATATATGTATTAAGAATTACGATAGTTTTTTTTTTTTTTTTTTTTGAGCATTAAAGAAAAATTAAAATATTAGTAAAAATATATATATATATAGAAAAAAGAAAAAATAGAAACTGAAGTTCTTTTTTTTTTTGCTTTAACATTTTGAAATAAAAAAAAAGCGTTTTTTTTTTTGTAATATATATATTTTCATATTTTAAAATGTTAAATGAAGATCTAATTATGATCTTAAATAAGCTTAATGATTTCTCTCGTTTTTTATTTTTTTTTATTTTTTTTATTTTTATATTTCCCCTTCATTTTTTCTCATTTCGGATGACTGCTGATTTTCATTTTTTTTTTTTTTATATAATAAAGCTTTAT